TAGGAGAAGAAGGGGTTTACAAGGAAATTTCCATCCCTGTGAGTCAGAGAGGGCAAAGGCTGCTCTGGATGCGCCAGGAGGAGGGTGCAGATCCAAACCCAACCATCCCAGCTATAAAAAGCCAGAGCAGCCCCGTGTCCCCTCTGCAGGAGCTCAGTGGGGGGTCCAGGAGCAGCACCCAGACCCCACACCCACTGCAGGGCACAGGTAACACTTGAGGCTGGGGTCCCGGGGTGACGCCGTGGGGCTGCGGGGGCCGGGGTGCTGGGCACGGGGCGACAGCCCGTGGGACCAGGGTCAGGGGTCAGGGCAGTGCTGGGACGTGGCCGGGGGCTCCTGGCCAGGGGTGCAGGTGGGAGTGTCCCCCTCTCCCGGGCTGACCCCGCTCCCCCTCCCCACCTCCCCCAGGCCCTCACAGAGGAGCGGCCGCGGCCCCAGCTGCGTCCCCACAGTGCCTGGGCGGGTCCTTAGGAGTCTCTGCCCACCATGGAGCTCCTGCCACTGCTGCTGGTGCTGCTGGCTGTGACCCCGGCCACTGGCATCGAGGAGGTGGCACTGGACATGGCCCCCAACGCCTTTGATGACCAGTACCGGGACTGCCGGAGCAAAATGTTGAATGCTCTGCCAAACCTCAACCGCTCTGAGTTCACCACCAACAGTGCCTTCGCCACAGCTTGGGCCATGGCCGCTGCCAGCTGGAACAAACACCTGGGGTCTCTGAAACGGCAGGAAGAGGCCATCGCCCTCAGGGCGTACATCTGGAGACAAACCTGTACAAGGACTTCAACAGGGCTGTGCCCATGGCCGGGCACTCCCGCCAGGAATATCTGGACAAATTTCACTTCAAGGTGATGCATTTCCTGCTGACCACGGCAGTGCATGACCTGCGGGCTGCCCAGCCCCAGGGCACCTGCCTCCATGTGTACCGGGGGGTCCGAGGTATCCGGTTCACTGCCAAGCCCGGGGATATCGTCCGCTTTGGCCGCTTCGCCTCCAGCTCCCAGAACAAAACAGTGGCTGAGAGGTTCGGCACCGACACCTTCTTCGAGCTGGACACCTGCCATGGCGCTAACATCCAGGACTTCTCCATTAGCCCTGGCAGGAGGAAGTCCTCATGCCACCATTTGAGACCTTTAGGGTCACCAGTGTCACCCGTCAAGGGGCCAAAACCCACATCCAGCTCAGCCCCCACGGAATGCACAGCAACTACAGCTGTGCCTTGTTCTCAGGTGACATCCCTGGGGTGGGGACACCCGTGGTTGGGTGTGGGGACATGGTGGGGGTGGCAGCAGGGCACCAGCTCTGCTGGGACAGGGGCAATGGTGGTGGGGCAGAGGATGAGGATGGTGGGGCTTTGGGCATCACACAGCTCCAGCTGCTCTCCTGGGATGGGATGGATTGCTCTGGGCTGGGATTGGGATAGGGAATGGGATGGGATAAATTGGATGGTGAGGGGTGGGATGGATTGGATTGAGATGGGAGGGGATGGGATGACACAACACAACACAATATGGCAGGGTGTGAATTGTTGTGGGACAGCTGGGTCTGGTGGGAAACCCACCAACTGCCCCAACCTCCCCTTGGATCCTCCAGATACCTCCTGACTCCCCCTGAGACCCCCACCAGATCCTCCTGACCCCCTTCTCCTGCCCCCACAGGCAGCAGTGTCCCAAGGGACACCCCACACCTCGGGGGGCTCCTCCTGGCAGCCCTGGCCCTGGCAGTGGCCACCGGCACCCCCTGAGCCACGAGGACACTGCTGTCACCTCTGCCACCGTGTCCGGCCAAGACGAGGGCTCAGGAACGGAGCCACCAGTGTCACCAGGATGGCAGGACAGGCTGGGGGGCACGGGGACCCCCCGCTGCAGGGGGACACTGGACAAGCCCAGCGGGCGCCCTCCCTGAGCCATGGCTGGGGTGTTGGGGTGCAGCTGAGGAGGGTCATGGAGGGGGGCACAGGGAGGATTTGCTTCTCTTTGGGGCTTTTCTTCTCCCTTCCAATATTTTAACTTTTCTTTGCAGTTATTAAAGTGGTTTTAACACAACCCATGAGTTTCCTTCTTACTTTAATCCACCTCATCTGCTCTCTGCTCTGGCGACTGGTCTGGAGTGCCAGGACAAGGGGGAATGGCTTCCCACTTGGGGGCTTGGAGCTCCCCGGGCTGGTGGGAGGTGTCCCTGCCCATGGCAGGGCTGGGCCCGGCTGTGCTTTCCTGTGCCTCTCCCCCAGGCCGTGCCCGGACCCCCCCGGTGCCGGGACGGGGCGGACGCTCCGCAGCGGGATCAGCCCGCGCTGCCTCCTGGCCTCGACCCTCGCAGCTGCAGCCGCGGGAGGCGCGGCCGCCGCCTCGCTGCTTTCCCTGCGCCATTCCCGCCCCGCCACTCCACGGGAGCCACGGGCACGTGCGGGCTACAGGGGAAACCTGCCCCGGTTTGAAAGAGAAGGGGTTTCCTGAGGGAAAGACGAGCTTGCCCAGAAAGAAATGTGCGGCGGTGCCTCCCTCCGTCCCTCCCCCGCGGGCCGCTCCGTGAGCTCCCAAATGCTCGCCAGCCCTTGACGAGCAGCTCCTGTGCCGAGCTGCTCTCGAGCTTATCGGGATCTCGTGCTGGATAGCGAGCTCCTGCTTTAACGAGCGGCCGAAACTCTTTGGTTGCTTCCGTGTTTATTTTCTCCAGCTCAGGTGGTCTGGGGTCCGTGGCCACCCCTGGACAGGAGGGCACAGCAGGTTGTCCCACCGTGCTGGTGTGACCAGTGCCACCCGCTGGGCACACTGGTTCTCCCGCAGCAGCTGCTCCTGCTGATCCTGCAGCCGGATTTTGGCGTCCCTGAGGACCTGGGAGTGTTGGATGAGACCGAGCAGCTCCTGGCGCAGGCGCCTGTTCTCTGCTTTCACCTGCTCCACGTGCTGGATCAGAGCCCGCAGCGCCACCTCCTCGGCTCTCCAGGTGAGCCGCTGCATCCTCCGGTGCAATTCCCGCTCGCAGTCGGCCTTTTCCTGCAGGAACCTGCTCTTGATGTTGCGGGTTTCCTCGGCACACCGGATCCTGGTGACCAGCAATTCCTTCTCCAGCTCCTTCACCCTCAGCTCTGACTGGGCCAACACGTCCTTGTACGGCTCCAGCTCCTGCAGCTCCGTGTCCAGCTGAGAGGCCTCGGCCTCCGTGTCCCTCAGGGAGCTCGTCAGCTCCTGCTCCTTGCCAGCGTACTGCGGGATCAGCCGCTCCCTCTGCGCCTGGCTTTGGGCCAGATCCTGGCGATTCCGGTCGTTCAGGGTGATGATCAGATCCTGGTGCTCCCGGCTGAGCTTTGCTCCACAGGCCAGGAAAGTCTGGCTCTGCTCCCGAGTCCCCTGGGCTGCCTTTTCCAGGGCTTTGCTTTCCCGCAGGAGCTGCTCTGTTCTGCCCAGGTACGTGTCCAGGTGTTCCGTGAGGATCCTGCATTCCTCCTGCAGGTACAGTTTCCTCTCCTGGGGGAGCTTTTCCAGATCACTTATTTCTGTGGCTGTCTCTCCATCCTTGCTCCTCATTCCTTCCTTGGTTTTCCCAGCAGCCATGGGCTCTTCTTTCCCCTTGGGTTTGGATGCCATATCCCAGTCGATCTCTGGAAAACTGGAACAGAAGGAAAACAGACCAGTTCTGAGGGTGCATTTTCCCCTCAGCCCTCGGGTTTCCAGCTGGTTCTTCCAGCAGCTTAAATATTCCATCCCATTCCTCCCTCACAGATTCTGGTGTTTGAAGAGGCAGCTGCATCCCAAGACAGTATCTCCCATCCCACATCAGTACCTATGACCCCAACTTCAGGCAATTCAGGATTTCTAACAATTTTAACCATTAATTTAATGAAATTCAGTTTTTTTAAACATTTTGTAAGCATTAGTTTCAGGAGATTCCAGGGGTTTAAAATATTTTTAAACCTTAATTTGATGAGATTCAGGTTTTCAAACATTTTTTAAGCACGAACTTACTGTCAAGTCCGATGGTTTTCATAAATATTTGCAATTAAAAATTCCCTTTTCCCAATATAACTCGTGCCGATTTTTAAGGGAAAATTGCAAAATTCCAGGAGATAGGTGAAAAACCAGAGTAAATCCATTCCAATCCCCCAGCTCAGGCTGCACTGATGGTGGAATCTGGGGGGGGGGAATGAGCAGTTCTGTGGGGGCATGTGAGTGTCAGCGAATTCCCAAATCCCCGTGGGAGAGCCCGAAGTTGGGGCTGTGCAAAGTTTGGGATTTTAAGGCACCGACCTTCCCTGCTCCCGGGTTTTCCAGCTGCTTCCCCGGCCCCGCTGGCCCTGGAGCCCCGTGTTTGGGAGCCGCGTCCATGGGAACGGGACACGCGGGGCGCGGCGGGGGCTCCGCGGGGGATCCCATTCCCAGGGAAACTCCGGCTGCGACCCTCGTGCTGGGGGGTCCCGGGGGGTGCTGGGGGGTCCCGGGGGGTGCCGGGGGCTCCTGTGGAGTGCTGGGGGATCCAAGGGGTGCTGGGGGATCCAAGGGGTGCTGGGGGCTTCAGGGGTGCTGGGGGGTTCATGGGGGTGCTGTGGAGTGCTGGGGGTCCCGGGGGTGCTGAGGGGTCCTGGGGGGTGCTAGGAGGTGCCGGGGTGTGTCAGGGGTGCCGGGGACTCCTGTGGAGTGCTGGGGGGTGCTGGGGATCCAAGGGCTGCTGGGGGTCCCGAGGGGTGCTGGGGGTCCTGGGGATCCAAGGGGTGCTGGGGGTTCAGGGGTGCTGGGGGATCCAAGGGTGCTGGGGGTTCAGGGGTGCTGGGGGGTTCACGGAGGTGCCGGGTGGGTGCTGGGGGGCCCAGTAGTTGCCAGAGAGCCCTGGGGGGGCCCTGAGAGGTCCTGGGGGGTCCTGGGAGGAGCTGAGGGGTTCAGGGAGTTCCTGGGGGTTTAGGGGGTGCCAGGGGCTGCTGAGGGGTTCAGGGCAGAGGGACCGGGGTACCCGAGGTGCCAAGGGGGTGGGGGAACACGGCCCCCTCCCTACCCAGCCCGTGGGCATCAGTCGAAATACTCGGAAATCAAACTGTGAGTGCTCTGAGGAAAACACAAAGGGAAGCATCAGAAATCGGGGAGGTTCCAGCTCAGAACAGAAGGGCTCTGGATCCGGTGTTGGTCCCACAGGGGGACGCTGTACCACCGTAAATGGCAGGTGGTGGGTGTGGGGGTTTTTAGTGCTAACACAGAGGATATGCTGCAGCTGCGAGAACATAACCTTATATTGCAGGTATAGGGATTTATAATGCTAATATAGAGGATATTCAAAATGGAAATTTTATCTGTGAGAAGCATTTGACCATCTGCACTGAGTAAAGGGCTTTGAACCTGGTGTGTAGGACCGTAGGCTGTTTTCAGAGCCTCATAGAATCCCCTGGAGTCACTTATATCTGAGCATAATTGGATTTTTTCTGCTAGATTGGTCCACCACTTGTTCTGGACGTCACGAAGTTTCTGTTGGAGCTTGCTGCATGCGAGTTGAAAGGCTGCTTTTCTTAAATGACAGGACCAGCACGGCCAGGTCAGATATGGCGATGCACTTTCTGAGCCCTCTGCAATAACCAGTGGTGTGAAGCAAGGCTGCGTTCTTGCACCAACTCTATTCACAATATTTTTCAGCTTGATGCTCCAAAGGGCCATGGCAGACCTCGATGATGAAGACGGTGTCTACATTCGATATTGTACTGATGGGAGCCTTTTTAACCTAAGGCAACTGAAGGCCCACACTAAGACCTTAAATCATCTTATCCGTGAGCTGCTTTACGCTGATGATGCCACCCTCGTCACCCACACAGGAGTTCTGCAGCGTTTAACATCCTGCTTTGCAGAGGCTGCTGAGCTTTTTGGGCTGGAAGTCAGCTTGAAGAAAACAGAAGTTTTCTATCAGCCTGCACCTCAGGAAGTCTCCCATCATCCCCATATCACCATTGGTGAATCAGAGCTCAAATCAGTCCAGCAGTTTAATTACCTGGGAAGCATCATCTTCTCGGACAGTAAGATTGATGCAGAAATAGACAACAGGTTAGCAAAGGCGTACTGAGCTTTTTGTGAACTCCATAAAAGAGTGTGGCAAAACAAAAACCTGAAGAAAAGTACTAAGATCAGTGTTTACAGAGCTGTTGTACTGTCTACTCTTTTATATGGATCCGAATCATGGGTCATTTACCGGCATCACTTGCGTCTCTTAGAACGCCTCCATCAGCGCTGCCTCCGTACAATCCTAAACATCCACTGGACTGACTATGTGACCAACACGTCTGTCCTTGAACAGGCAGCAGTCACAGAGCATTGAGGCCATGCTGCTGAGAACACAGCTGTGCTGGGCAGGGCACGTCTCCAGGATGCAGGACTGCCGCCTCCCTAAGATCGTGCTCTGTGGGGAACTTGCCACTGGTGCCGCAAGAGAGGAGCCCCGAAGAGGAGATACAAGGACTGCCTGAAACAATCCCTCACCCTTGGCCATATTGATCACCACCATTGGTCTACCCTGGAGACACACCATCTATAACGCTGCTGCTGCTTTTGAGAACACACACAGGGTCACTCTCGAGGAGAAAAGACAACGCAGAAAGAATCGCGTCTCGTCGATATCACCTGGGGAGTCTTTCTGCTGTGCCTTCTGCAACCGGACTTGTGTATCCCCCCTTGGCCTTTTTAGCCATCAGCGCGCTTGTAGCAAGCGTGGGGAGAGCCCTTCTCAAATCTTCATCAACCATGATGATAGAGGATGTGCTGCAGCTGTGAGAACACAGCCTTACATTGCAGGTATAGGGATTTTTAGTGCTAACGCAGAGGATGTGCTGCTGTGAGAAGATTATCTTATGCTGCAATTGTGAAAACATGATCTGTTGTTCTGATGGCCTTCTGATGGCACCAGGATGTGAAAGATCTACCAAGAGAAACAGCAGCAAAACTAGATACGCAAAACCAGGGTCTCAGCTATCAGAGTGGGAAAGGACATAAAGAATGCTAGAAATAGAGCTGATAGAAGAGTATTGTTAGACAAGTGTATAAAAGACTGCTGCTTGATTCCAATAAACAGTGTTCTCTGCTCATCACATTGGTGTGCTGAGCCGTCCGTGCTCGTGAGAAACCCCCCAGGGGGTACAGACACATCACACCCAGGGACTCCTCTGAGGACAATCCGGGAACAAGTCGGGGTCTCACATCAAACACAAAAGGACCAAACTTCCTGGGGAGTTCAGGAGTTGCTGGAAGAGCTCATCCTGGTTCCCAGAGCTGAGAACAGTGACCTCAGTCTCCGTGTCTATTTATGGTGCTGCATTGTACAGGTGTATGAAAACGTGGTTTTAAAGGGAGAAGGAGAACAAAGGGTGGGAAGTGAGGCTTCCAAGAAAGATTCTGGAAAGCCTCAAAGGAGGGGAAATGTTGGAAAATCTTTCATTGTAACAAAGAGTGTTTAAGCCTTGTGAATTCCTTCAGCCTTAACACACAGGGCTTAGTCCTGTGTTCACCCACATGATTAATTAATGTGTGCAAGGGGATATCTGAGCCTGCAGAATAAAGGCTGGGCCTGGGCAACGCTGATAAGAAGGTGTATCTGGGCCAGACCACAGAGCTGGGGTGCATTCAAGGAGAAGAAACCGTTTTTTTAAGAGGCTTGTGACCATAATATGATAATTTGAGAAATGAGATGTTCCCCAAACAACCCCCAGAGACTCTGACTGAGTTCTGTTCTTCCAACCTTGGAAATGTGAAATTGGGAAAAAGTAGTTAATGCACCAGTTTTTATGAGAGGCAGACTGTCCAGTGCCTGATGAGGAAGAGACACTGAGCAAATTAAAAGCACAAATGTCCTCTGAGGAAAGGAAAAATAAAAGCTCCTATCCCTGAAACTGAGGCTCTGGAAGTTTTGACATCGCCTGAACAACCACGGGGAGGAGAAATCCCAGCTGAGGCAGAAAAGGTGGCTGTTCCCTTGGACTGGGCTGTGGATGGCCTGGGATTCCAAACTCGGCAGAACCTGTGGGAGTGTCACTAAAACCCCAAATCAAACCAGTGAGGCAGAAACAAGCCCCTGTAAAACTGGGTGGGAAGAGGGGCTGGGGAGTTAAGGGATATATTTCAATGACATGGAGGGTTGGTGGGCCTGTGTGTGGGGGGAGGGTGGTGACAGGGACCTGCTGAGGTGACATGTGTGTCGTGTCCCCCCCAGGTGCTGCTGGTGCATCGTGGGGAACATCGGCTGCACCCACCTGCTTGGGGTGGGGACACGGGGGGACACTGTGTGTGTCCCTGTGTCCATGTGTCTCTGTGTCTGCGTGTCCTTGTGTCCCTGTGTCCATGTCCCCCTGTGTCACCGTGTCCCTGTGTCCATGTCCCCCTGTGTCCTTGTGTCCCCTGTCCGTGTGTCCCCGTGTTGATGTGTCTGTGTGTCCATGTGTGTCCCGTGTCCATGTCCCCCTCTGTCCCTGTACCTGCCTGTCCCTCGGCCCAGCTGATGCCAAGGGGGGCAGGTGGTGACACTGTGTGTGTGTGCTCATGTCCATGTGGCCCCATGTCCCTGTCCCCCCGTGTCCATGCCTGTGTGTCCCTTGTCCCAGCTGACACCACCACCTGCCACGTGCACTGACCCTGCTGCTCCGGTGGCTCCGGGGGTCCCGGCAGTGCTGGGGTGGGTGGTGACACCGTGTATGTGTCTGTGTGTCCCCATTTCCACGTGTCCATGTCCGTGTGTCCCTGTCCCAGGTGATGCCACCATCCCTGATGTGCAGCTGACCCTGGTGCTCCTCGGGGGGCTCGGGGGCTGCCACCGCCCCAGGGCCTGTCCCCAACATCCCAACCCCGACAGTGGGGCCGGGGCTGGTCGAGGCCTTGGGAGGGGACACGGCCTGGACAGCAGAGCCCAGGGACCCCAGGGACAGCCCAGGCTGCAGGACCCTGGCTCAGACACAGAAGCTCAGGAGGAAGGGGGGACGTTCCTTATTTACAGCCTTGGCCTTCTGGAGCAGCCGTTCCATGGGCTGGAGCCCCACTTTCCGGGAACTGGGCAGACCTCCCGTTGAATGGGAGTAGAGAATAAAATCTTCGGGTTCTTTCCCTTTGCTTGTGCAACCTTTGCTTTTGCTTTTGTTTTTCATGAATTATCTCAGCCCACCACTCAGCTGGGTGGGAGAAGAGGAGGGTTTATCAGGGGGTTCCTTTGTGTCCTGGGGGGTGGAAGGGCAGCAGCTGGGAGAAAAATCTGGATCCAAGCCCAACCATCCCGGCTATAAAAAGCCAGAGCAGCCCCGTGTCCCCCTTCTGCAGGAACTCAGTGGGGGGGCCAGGAGCAGCACCCAGACCCCACACCCACTGCAGGGCACAGGTAACACTTGAGGCTGGGGTCCCGGGGTGACGCCGTGGGGCTGCGGGGGCCGGGGTGCTGGGCACGGGGGGTGACAGCCCGTGGGACCAGGGTCGGGGTCAGGGCAGTGCTGGGACGTGGCCGGGGGGCTCCTGGCCAGGGGTGCAGGTGGGGGTGTCCCCCTCTCCCCGGGCTGACCCCGCTCCCCCTCCCCACCTCCCCAGGCCCTCACAGAGGAAGAGGCCGTGGCCCCAGCTGCGTCCCCACAGTGCCTGGGCGGGTCCTTGGGGAGTCTCTGCCCACCATGGAGCTCCTGCCACTGCTGCTGGTGCTGCTGGCTGTGACCTCAGCCACTGGCATCGAGGAGGTGGCACTGGACATGGCCCCCAACGCCTTCGATGACCAGTACCGGGACTGCCGGAGCAAAATGTTGAGGGTGCTGCCGGAGCTCAACCGCTCTGAGTTCACCACGAACAGCATCTATGCCGGGGTCTGGGTCAAGGCCACTGCCATGTGGCAGGAAGAGGATCTCCAGGAGAACCAGCTGCAGCCAGAACAGGCCATCGCCCTGCTGGCATACACAGACAACGACCTGTACCCGGAATTCAACGCCGCTGTGCGCGAGGCCGCGAGATCCCGCCAGGAGTACCTGTGCAACTTCCCCTTCAAGGTGCTGCATTTCCTGCTGACCACGGCAGTGCATGACCTGCGGGCTGCCCAGCCCCAGGGCACCTGCCTCCACGTGTACCGGGGGGTCCGAGGTATCCGGTTCACTGCCAAGCCCGGGGATATCGTCCGCTTTGGCCAGTTCACCTCCAGCTCCCGGAACAAAACAGTGGCTGAGAGGTTCGGCACTGACACCCTCTTCGAGCTGGACACCTGCCATGGCACTAACATCTAGGGCTTCTCCGAGTACCCTGAGGAGAAGGAAGTCCTCATCCCACCCTTTGAAACCTTTAGGGTCACCAGTGTCACCCGCCAAGGGGCCAAAACCCACATCCAGCTCAGCCCCCACAGCGTGCATAGCAACTACAGCTGTGCGTGGCTCCGAGGTGACATCCCTGGGGTGGGGACACCCGTGGCTGGGTGCGGGGACACGGTGGGGGTGGCAGCAGGGCACCAGCTCTGCTGGGACAGGGGCAAGGGGGGTAGGACAGGGGATGGGGGTGGTGGGGCTTGGGACATCACACAGCTCCAGCTGCTCTCCTGGCATGGGATGGATTGCTCTGGGCTGGGATTGGGATGGGGAATGGGATGGGATAAATTGGATGGTGAGGGGCGGGATGGATTGGATTGAGATGGGAGGGGATGGGATGACACAACACAGTATGGCAGGGCATGATATGTGGGACAGCTGGGTCTGGTGGGAAACCCACCAACTGCCCCAACCTCCCCTTGGATGCTCCAGATACCCCCTGACTCCCCCTGAACCCTCCACCAGCTCCTCCTGACCCCCTTCCTTTGCCCCCACAGGCAGCAGTGTGCCAAGGGACACCCCACACCTCGGGGGGCTCCTCCTGGCAGCCCTGGCCCTGGCAGTGGCCACCGGCACCCCCTGAGCCACGAGGACACTGCTGTCACCTCTGCCACCGTGTCCGGCCAAGACGAGGGCTCAGGAACGGAGCCACCGGTGTCACCAGGACGGCAGGACAGGCTGGGGGCACGGGGACCCCCCGCTGCAGGGGGACACTGGACAAGCCCAGCAGGCGCCCTCCCTGAGCCATGGCTGGGGTGTTGGGGTGCAGCTGAGGGGGCTCATGGAGGGGGGCACAGGGTGGATTTGCTTCTCTTTTGGGCTTTTTTTTCTCCCTCACAATATTTTAACTTTCCAATTATTAAAGTGGTTTTAGCTCAATCCACCAGTTTCCTTCTCACTCCTGGCACTGACCCCTCCTCGCCCAGGGGGCTGCTGAGGACCCCCAGGTCGTGGGGCAGCTGCTCAGGTTCCCAAACTGAGGAAGCCCCTGTAGAGCTGGATCACAGCCCTGGGGCTGCCTCGGCAAAGCAGCAAAGCATGGAAGGGAACGTGCAGCGAGTTGGCAAAGGTCACTCTGCTGCTCACTGGATGGTAAGGGCACACAGAGAAAAAGTAAAAGAAAATCTAAAATCAGTCAATCTAAACCCAAAATTAACCCAGCCTGATTTTCTTATCAATTCAGATGACTCAAGAACCTGAGAGCAACACCCCTGGGACATTTGCTGTAGCACTTCACACTCGTGAGTTAAAGAGTTTGTACAAGGAACGTGCAGGTGTGTGCACAGGTGTACAGACAGGGTCACATAGAGTGGATTTGATCATTGTCATTTTCCATCCTGGCCACTGACTCTGGCCAGAAACTCTCCAGGAAAGTTCAATAATGAAAAAGTTGTTGCACTTGGGCTGTTCTTCAAGCAGCAAAAATCACTTCCCAAGGCTGTTCATTAAAGCAGGAGCTCGCTATCCAGCACGAGATCCCGATAAGCTCGAGAGCAGCTCGGCACAGGTGCTGCTCGTCAAGGGCTGACGAGCATTTGGGAGCTCACGGAGCGGCCCGCGGGGGAGGGACGGAGGGAGGCACCGCCGCACATCTCTTTCTGGGCAAGCCTCGTCTTTCCCTCAGGAAACCCCTTCTCTTTCAAACCGGGGCAGGTTTCCCCTGTAGCCCGCACGTGCCCGTGGCTCCCGTGGAGTGGCGGGGCGGGAATGGCGCAGGGAAAGCAGCGCGGCGGCGGCCGCGCCTCCCGCGGCTGCAGCTGCGAGGGTCGAGGCCAGGAGGCAGCGCGGGCTGATCCCGCTGCGGAGCGTCCGCCCCGTCCCGGCACCGGGGGGGTCCGGGCACGGCCTGGGGGAGAGGCACAGGAAAGCACAGCCGGGCCCAGCCCTGCCATGGGCAGGGACACCTCCCACCAGCCCGGGGAGCTCCAAGCCCCCAAGTGGGAAGCCATTCCCCCTTGTCCTGGCACTCCAGGCCAGTCGCCAGAGCAGAGAGCAGATGAGGTGGGTTAAAGTAAGAAGGAAACTCATGGGTTGTGCTAAAACCACTTTAATAACTGCAAAGAAAAGTTAAATTATTGGAAGGAAGAAAAAAAGCCCAAATGAGAAGCAAATCCTCCCTGTGCCCCCTCCATGACCCCCCTCAGCTGCACCCCAACACCCCAACCATGGCTCAGGGAGGGCGCCTGCTGGGCTTGCCCAGTGTCCCCCTGCAGCGGGGGGTCCCCATGCCCCCAGCCTGTCCTGCCATCCTGATGACACCGGTGGCTCCGTTCCTGAGCCCTCGTCTTGGCCGGACACGGTGGCAGAGGTGACAGCAGTGTCCTCGTGGCTCAGGGGGTGCCGGTGGCCACTGCCAGGGCCAGGGCTGCCAGGAGGAGCCCCCGAGGTGTGGGGTGTCCCTTGGGACACTGCTGCCTGTGGAGACAGGAGAAGGGGGTCAGGAGGAGCTGGTGGGGGTCTCAGGGGGAGTCAGAGGGTATCTGGAGGATCCAAGGGGAGATTGGGGCAGTTGGTGGGTTTCCCACCAGACCCAGCTGTCCCACAATTCACACCCTGCCATGTTGTGTTGTGTCATCCCATCCCCTCCCATGTCAATCCAATCCATCCCACCCCTCACCATCCAATTTATCCCATCCCATTCCCCATCCCAATCCCAGCCCAGAGCAATCCATCCCATGCCAGGAGAGCAGCTGGAGCTGTGTGATGCCCAAAGCCCCACCATCCTCATCCTCTGCCCCACCACCATTGCCCCTGTCCCAGCAGAGCTGGTGCCCTGCTGCCACCCCTGCCCTGCCCCGCACCCAGCCACGGGTGTCCCCACCCCAGGGATGTCACCTGAGAACAAGGCACAGCTGTAGTTGCTGTGCATTCCGTGGGGGCTGAGCTGGATGTGGGTTTTGGCCCCTTGGCGGGTGACACTGGTGACCCTAAAGGTCTCAAATGGTGGCATGAGGACTTCCTGCTGCCAAGGGTACATGGAGAAGTTCTGGATGGCAGCGCCATGGCAGGTGTCCAGCTCGAAGAAGGTGTCGGTGCCGAACCTCTCAGCCACTGTTTTGTTCCGGGAGCTGGAGGCGAAGTGGCCAAAGCGGACGATATCCCCGGGCTTGGCAGTGAACCGGATACCTCGGACCCCCCGGTACACGTGGAGGCAGGTGCCCTGGGGCTGGGCAGCCCGCAGGTCATCCAGGGCCTCGGTCAGCAGGAAATGCACTACCTTGAAGGGGAAGTTGTCCAGATATTCCTGGCGGGAGCGTCCAGCCATGGGCACAGCCCTGTTGAAGTCCTTGTACAGGTTTGTATTCAGGGTGTACGCCCTGAGGGCGATGGCCTCTTCCTGCCGTTTCAGAGACCCCAGGTGTTTGTTCCAGCTGGCAGCGGCCATGGCCCAAGCTGTGGCGAAGGCACTGTTGGTGGTGAACTCAGAGCGGTTGAGGTTCGGCAGAGCATTCAACATTTTGCTCCGGCAGTCCCGGTACTGGTCATCGAAGGCGTTGGGGGCCATGTCCAGTGCCACCTCCTCGATGCCAGTGGCCGGGGTCACAGCCAGCAGCACCAGCAGCAGTGGCAGGAGCTCCATGGTGGGCAGAGACTCCCCAAGGACCCACCCAGGCACTGTGGGGACGCAGCTGGGGCCGCGGCCGCTTCCTCTGTGAGGGCCTGGGGAGGTGGGGAGGGGGAGCGGGGTCAGCCCGGGGAGAGGGGGACACCCCCACCTGCACCCCTGGCCAGGAGCCCCCCGGCCACGTTCCAGCACTGCCCTGACCCCGACCCTGGTCCCACGGGCTGTCGCCCCCCCTGCCCAGCACCCCGGCCCCCGCAGCCCCACAGCATCACCCCGGGACCCCAGCCTCAAGTGTTACCTGTGCCCTGCAGTGGGTGTGGGGTCTGGGTGCTGCTCCTGGCCCCCCCACTGAGCTCCTGCAGAGGGGGACACGGGGCTGCTCTGGCTTTTTATAGCCGGGATGGTTGGGTTTGGATCCGCACCCTCCTCCTGGCGCACCCAGAGCAGCCTTTGCCCTCTCTGACTGATGGGAATGGAAATTTCCTTGTAAACCCCTTCTTCTCCTACCCAGCTGTGATGGGCTGAGATAATTCATGAAAAACAAAAGCAAAAGTAAAGGTTGCACAAGCAAAGGGAAAGAACTCGAAGATTTTATTGTTTACTCCCATTCAACAGGAGGTCCTCCCAGTTCCCGGAAAGTGGGGCTCCAGCCCATGGAACGGCTGCTCCAGGAGGCCAAGGCTGTAAATAAGGAATGTCCCCCCTTCCTCCTGAGCTTCTGTGTCTGAGCCAGGGTCCTGCAGCCTGGGCTGTCCCTGGGGTCCCTGGGCTCAGCTGTCCAGGCCGTGTCCCCTCCCAAGGCCTCGACCAGCCCCGGCCCCACTGTCGGGGTTGGGATGTTGGGGACAGGCCCTGGGGCGGTGGCAGCCCCCGAGCCCCCCGAGGAGCACCAGGGTCAGCTGCACATCAGGGATGGTGGCATCACCTGGGACAGGGACACACGGACATGGACACGTGGAAATGGGGACACACAGACACATACACGGTGTCACCACCCACCCCAGCACTGCCGGGACCCCCGGAGCCACCGGAGCAGCAGGGTCAGTGCACGTGGCAGGTGGTGGTGTCAGCTGGGACAAGGGACACACAGGCATGGACACAGGGGCACAGGGACATGGGGCCACATGGACATGGGCACACACACACAGTGCCACCACCTACCCCCCTTGGCATCAGCTGGGCCGAGGGACAGGCAGGTACAGGGACAGAGGGGGACATGGACGCAGGGACACACATGGACACACAGACACATCAACACAGGGACACACGGACAGGGGACACAAGTGTAACAGTTAATAAAAGCAAAGGTGGATAATTTGCTAATCAAATTAACTTTGTAATGTTAGTGGTTAGTTTTGAATTACAGGTGTCAAACCACAATGTTGTGTTACTATGGCAAGCTCTATCTTATTATGCTAAACAAGCTCTGAATGTGAGCTTTGAATGTGTCTGTGAAAATGTGGGGGAAAGGAGTCGTCCAGAGGAGTAGGAGGAGCTGAATCTGTTGTCTTCCCGCCTTCATCCAGGACCTGCTGCTGTCATCTGGGACCGCCTGAAGGGGAGGGGATAGCAGCACATCTAAAAGACCGGTGCTGGCCTTTTTGTGCGTGAATCGTTGGCAGGGCAGGAGACTCCCCCGGTCGCCCAGCGCCGTTTTGCTCATTTGCCTTTAATAAAATTTAATATTTTCCATTTTGTATTTGTGGTCTGGTGACTGTAACAATTTGGTGCCGTGATTTTTTGCTCCCATGGGCAATTTTGAGGTGGAATTGCCCGGTATACCCTTGAATAGTCCCTTGGGAATAACGATAAAATACTGGAATGATTACCCCTCTGGAGGAGGGAAGTCAAGGGAAAAGATGGTACATTATTGTACGGAAGCCTGGGGAGGAAAGCAGATAAGATTAGATCATTTATATTGGCCAGTTTATGGCACATTTGAGGACTGGATTTGCCAGGCTCTGACCATTTATGTGAATAGTAAGGAACCCTTCTGTTCAGAAGAGAGCGAGTATGCCAGTATACGGACAAGGTCAGGCACTAGAAACCTGTTTGGGAATTTTCCACACATCCCACCTGTACCTGCTCCCGCAATGGCCCCTCAGCCCACTGTCATAACAGCATCGGCCCTGTTGCCATCCTGTCCCCCCTCCCCTGCCACGGTACAGGAACCCTCTTCCCCAGATACTGCATCCCCATCCACACTCCCGGTTACTGAACAAATGCAGTTGTACCCCTGAAGGGAAATTGCCATGGGAGGACGCCAGCAAGGGGTAGGATTCGTGTCGGTCCCCTTAAGTTCAGGGGATGTTAGAGAGTTTAAAAAGGAAATGGAGAATTTATTAGAAAACCCCCTCGGTGTAGCTGAGAGGTTCGATCAGTTTTTGGGTCCTAATATATACACATGGGATGAAATGCAGGCAATATTGGGAATATTATTTACAGCTGAGGAATGGGAAATGATTAGAAGGGCAGGGATGAGAAATTGGAACCAAAGACATCAACAAGGACCAGCTGCGGATGTAAAGTGGCCCCTTCAGGGGCCCAACTGGGACAACCAGGACCCAGCCCATAGGAATCATATGTCCGATTTAGGGACAATCATAGTGCAGGGCATCAGGGAAGCTGTCCCCAGGGGACAGAACATTAATAAGGCATTTAGAGAACAACAGAAAAAGGATGAGACTCCTACCGACTGGCTGGAAAGGTTAAGAAAGAGCTTACAGCTCTATTCCGGTCTAGACCCCGATACTCCAATAGGGCAAGCTTTACTCAAAACACAGTTTGTAGCAAAATCATGGGAAGATATTAGAAAGAAGTTAGAGAAAACTGAGGATTGGCAAGAGCGAGGGTTAGATGAATCATTGAGAGAGGCTCAGAAGGTATATGTACGAAGGGATGAGGAGAGTCAAAAGAAACAGGTAAGGATTTTTATGACAGCAGTGAGGGGGGGACGGAAAGAGAATAACAAGCAGAGGCGTGGGACCCCTCGTGGGTCTGACAAACGAGCAGTCCCAAATAACCAAAAACAGACGGGTCAGACAGAAGTAGAATGCTATTACTGCCACAAGAAAGGACATTTGAAAAGGAATTGCAGGAAGTGTATGCAGGATGAGCAAATATTTCAAGAGGATTAGGGGGGTCAGGGGCTCTGTTTGCTGGGGACCAGGACAAATACAGAGCCCTTGATAAAATTAAAATTGGGTCCCCAGCAACAAGAATTTGAGTTCCTGGTGGACTCAGGAGCAGAGAGATCAACTGTTCAGGAAATACCTTGGGGCTGTGTAGAATCCTCAGACTCGGTACAAGTTATAGGGGCAAAAGGAGAACCATTTAGGGTACCCCTTATTAAGAATGTAGAAATAGAGACTCCTAAGAAATATGCTGTGGGATCATTTTTGTTAGTCCCTGAAGCAGAATATAATTTATTGGGAAGGGATTTAATGACTGAATTAGGAATAGGTTTAGAAGCAAAGGAACATGGATTACAAGTAAAGTTATATGCTCTTACAGTTGAAGATATGGAAAAGATAAACCCTGAAGTCTGGTATACTCCAGACTCTGTGGGGAAATTAAATATAAAACCATTTGGAAGTCATTATTCAGAATCCTGAGGAACCAAATAGAGTAAAACAATACCCTATTTCCTATGAAGGAAGGGTAGGATTAAAACCTACTATAGAAAGGCTTATCACACAGGGACTATTGGAGCCTTGTATGTCACCACATAATACCCCTATTTTACCAGTAAGGAAACCTGATGGAACCTATTGATTAGTCCAAGATCTGAGAGAAGTGAATAAGAGAACAGTCACCCGATTTCCAGTGGTTGCTAACCCATACACTTCACTGAATCAACTCACCCCCAGCCATAAATGGCACAGTGTAATAGACCTGAAAGATGCCTTTTGGGCTTGTCCCCTTAAGGAAGAAAGCAGAGACTATTTTGCCTTTGAATGGGAAGACCCTGAAACCCACTGAAAGCAACAGCTGAGGTGGACAGTTTTACCCCAGGGGTTCACAGAGTCCCCCAACTTATTTGGACAAGCTTTAGAACAATTATTGGAACCTTTTGGGACACACCAAGGTACTGTGCTAATCCAATATGCAGATGACTTACTAATTGCGGGAGAGAACCCAGAGACAGTTAGAGAAGAGAGTATTAGATTACTAAACTTTTTGAGTTCAAAAGGATTAAAAGTGTCAAAATCAAAGTTACAGTTTACTGAGGAGGAAGTTAAATATCTGGGACATTGGTTAAGTAAAGGACACAAGAGACTGGACCCCGAACGAGTAAATGGAATTCTGTCTTTGCAGGCACCTAAAAACAAAAGACAGATAAGGCAATTATTAGGATTATTGGGGTACTGCCGACAATGGATTGAAAACTATAGCAGTGAAGTTAAATTCTTATATGAAAAATTAACAAAGGACGGATTAATCAAATGGAATCATGAAGATGAGGAGCAATTAAAGAGATTAAAAGAAGGTCTAATAAATGCTCCGGTATTAAGTCTGCCCGACATCCGAAAACCATTTTATCTTTTTGTGAATACTGAAAATGGGACAGCCCATGGAGTCTTAACTCAAACATGGGCAGGACAAAAGAAACCAGTAGGATACTATTCTAAATTATTAGATCCACTAAGTCGAGAGTGCCTACCTGTCTGCGAGCTGTTGTAGCACCATCTTTATTGGTAGAAGAAACCAGAAGAATAACCTTTTTGGAGGGGAGCTGAAGGTTTTTACCCCTCATAATATAAGAGGAATCTTTTACAACAAAAAGCTGATAAATGGGTAACAGATAGTCGCCTGCTAAAATATGAAAGTGTCCTACTACGCTCACCCAAGTTAGAATTAGAGATGACAAATTTGCAAAATCCGACCCAAATCTTATGTGGGGAACCTGAAAGAGAATTAGAACATGATTGCTTACAAGCCAGAAAAAGTTGCTGTAGTACACGTAAAAAGCCACCAAAAAGGACTAAAGGCCACAGTTAGGGGAAATAACCTAGCAGATGAAGAAGCAAAAAGAGCAGCTTTATTAGTATTAAATAACTCGAAACCCGAAAATTTAAATCTCCCCAAAAGCTTTAGCAACCAAGAAAAAGAAAAATTACAACAAGTAGGGGCAAAGGAAGAAAATAATAGATGGATGTTACCAGATGGTCGAGAAATACTCCCAAAGGGCCTTGCTCAAAGGATTAGGGCTGAATTACATGAACAAACACATTGGGGAACACAAGCCTTAATAGATCAATTCGAAAGTAAATATGTTTGTGTTGGGGCAAATGGAATTGCAAAAAGGATTCTAGAGGGATGCATAACTTGCCAAAAAAGTGAACAAAAGGCAACTGAGAGAGAGGATTCAAGGAGGCCGAGAGATAGCTAAAAAACAAGACACAGCTAAAATACAAGCAGACATTACTGAATTACCTAAAGTAGGGAGGTATCGTTACTTATTACTATTAGTAGACCATCTTATTTTGTAGAAGCTTTTCCTGTAGCACGATGTGCGGCCAAAACAGTGATTAAGATTTTATTGGAAGAAATAATTCCGAGATATGGTATTGTAACCATCGTAGATTCAGACAGGGGACCACATTTTACCTCTAGAATAATTAAAGAAACAGCGGAGCTTCTTGGAACTAAGTGGGAATATCACACACCTTGGCACCCACAAAGTTGAAAGGATGAATGGAGAAATTAAAAAGCACTTTTAACTAAATTGATGATGGAAACTAAAATGACTTGGGTAAAACATTTACCATTAGGTAAAATGTTGTATATTCAGACCCAACCATGTGCTGATACAGGGATCTCACCATCTGAAATGATATATGACGCCATATGATTTTGGTGGCCCTCTGGAACATCCGAAAATAGAAGATAACTTTTCTAAGGGAATATATAATTGAATTAATGAAGAGAAGACAGGAGCTAAGAAAAAGGGTAACAGGAACTCCTCAGTTTCTCCCTCTGTGCTGTGAAGTAGAAACTGAAATACCTGAACCATGGAGGGAACTTTGGGGTATATCTTGATAAAGCACCCCACTTTGGGGCATGTGGGGTGGGTGATTTGTAAATGCATCCAGTGTGACAAGAAATGGTTTTGTGCTTCGACCTTACGTCATATTCATTGTATGGACTGTAGAGACCGTCCCTTGGTTGTAAGGGAACAAAGAACTAGTGTGAAAGTTTGTAAAATTACTTTGTGGGTGGGAATTATTAATGCCTGAAACCTGGGAAATATAAGAGAAAGATTGGCATAACACTATAAATGTTAATAAAAGCAAAGGTGGATAATTTGCCAATCAAATTAAATTTGTAATGCTAGTGGTTGGTTTGAACTGCAGGTGTCAAGCCTCAGTGTTGTGTTAACTCTGGCAAGCTGTATCTTGTTGTGTTGAATAAGTTCTGAATTTAAGTTTTGGGTGTGCCTGTAAAAATGTAGGTTGGGGGGAAGTCGTCCAGAGGAACAGGGGGAGGAAATTTTAAATTTTATATTTGTGGTCTGGTGGCTATAACACACAGGCTGCAGCTTCCCCAAAGAGTCTCACTCTCTCTAGATGTGCTGGTGGGAGGAGATCCCCCCCAAAAGGTGGGGGCAGCAGCACCAGCCGTGGGCAGAAGCTTCGTGGGGGAGAGGTTTGTTTGCTCCTGAGGGATGTGGAGGCCACCGTGGCCCTGAGGGACCAAAGAGATCTGTCCTGTTCAGCTGGACTGGGTTTAAGGTGCCAGAACGGGACATTCTGAGTGGGAAAAGGGACTTTAGTGCTCAGCCCGAGCTGTCAAACAACTGGAGCCACTCAGGGGTGACTTGTCCCGACAGACCCGACTGAAACTTGGGTTGTTTTCTCTTCCCAGGAATTACCCTGGGAACGGTGCCAGGACACCCCTCTGAGGATCCAGTTCCCCATGGAAGGATGGCTTATTCTTCTTTCAGGAGCCTCCCCTGCCAGCATGGACCAAACCTGGGCAGCACACCAACCAGCTCAACCCGCAGGGGGGACACCCTCCCTTCGTTAGTTATGCTAATGAGTGTGGTAATTACAGCATATTCTGTCCCCCCCCTCAGCTCTGGGGGCCATTTACTGGGGTATTCACTCAGCTTTCATTGTGACCCCAGCAGCTGTAAACCCACAGCTCTGTTTTGGGGTATCAGTTGTTGTGGTCTGGCCTCATCAGTCGTTACAGACCAATTGTACCTCGATCCAAGCCTGGGGGGAACCTCCCGCTGGTGGAGGAGCTGCTGCAACACGAGGAGCTGAGACCTTCCCTGGAACAGGCCAGAGAAAATGGACAAAGGAGCCGAGACCTCCCCTGGAACAGGCCAGAGAAAATGGACAAAGGAGCCGAGACCTCCCTGGAACAGGCCAGAGAAAATGGACAAAGCACTCTGATTTCTGCCCATGGGAATGTGGGGAAAAACACATTGTGTGTTGGGATGGACGGGGAAGGGTGGAGAACATGGATGGTGGGACAGCCTCTGGATGGCCACTGGCAGCCACTGCAATTCCCACCCCAGAGCTTCCCTGGATTCACTGATTACTGAGGCGATCAGGAGTGGGCAGGTTGGGAAAATTTTGGGGGAGTAAAACAGGAGGTGATCTTTGGGGGAGAGGAGGAACAAACTCAGGTAAACGGGGCCAGTCTGGAGCGGGCAGGTAGGAAACGATTGGGGGGTGAACCTTGAGGGGGCTTGAGAATCATTGGCCCAGTAACACCTCGCAGTTTGTGTTTCCGGGGGTGTTTGGTGGGTTAGGATCTGACATTTTCACTGCCCAGGACCCCGCTGTGGGGTGTGTGTTCAGTGTGGTGGCACCTCTGTGCCTCAGGAGTCACCTACAGGTAACAATTAATAATCACACCCTTTGCTTTTTCTCTTCGGAAAAAATAACCAAAACGTGGGGGGGATGCCTTCCTGTGTCTTTTTCCCTCCTTTTTTCCTCCCTTGCCCCCCAAGGCTGATCACAGGAGTCAAGAATTTTGAATATCCCTTGACTACCCTTGAAACCAACTCGGTGTTTTTGCTGGGAGCCAGCAGGATGTTCAGGGTCAGGTAAAGAATTCAGAACTTGGCCCGGAGATGTGCCCAGAACCTGGGCAGTTCAGAGTGGGGACCTCCAAGGGGTCTGAACCTCCTCCCTGGACAAGTGCAGGGCCCAGAAGAGCCAGTAAAATATTGAAACTCCAGTAGTATCTTTTACCAGTGAAATATTTTAAGAAGGTGTTGTGGTGTCACCCTGGCACCCCCAGAGAGGACCCAAAGGGCTGCAGCCTGTTGGGGCCTGGCCCAGGGCTCTGGGGTCCAACGCTGCTCAGAGCCCTCCGGGGGAAAAGAAGGTCCCTGGAGCCCACAATGGGACAAGCACAGGCCCTTCAGCTGCTCCAGCCCCTGACACCACGGAAACAAGGAACCCACAGTGCCAGTGATGGCTCCCCGGGGCAGGAGCAGAAGAAATGCACACAAAAGCCCCCCCTTAACAAAGCTCCAGCCAAAAGTCAAGGAGCAGCAGGAGGGAGAAGGGGATGGAGCAGCAGGAGGGAGGGGATGGAGCAGCAGGAGGGAGAAGGGGATGGAGCAAGCAGGACCATCACAGGGGCCGCCTTCAGTGCCACCAAGGCCAGCACAGGAACGGGGAGGGGAGACAGAGGAGACAACCACGACTCCATCCCTGTCCCTGAGGGAGACACAGGCAGATTCCAGCCTCATCCAAGTGATACTCCCGCCTGGCTGCTGTGGGATGATGGAGCCAACGCTGTGGAATTAGAGGCAAGGAGGGCAGGCATCCCCGGGATCGCTCACTGAGGAACCGGGCACTGACAAAGCCTTGGGACAGAAGACACAAAAGACACAAGCTCCTCACTCCCTGTCCTTGTGGCTCCCTCCCAGCCCGGTGTGTCCCATGATCCTGGGACTCCTCCCCAGTGTGAGGGCCAGGGGTCCCTACAAAGACATTCCTTGTCACCCAGGGCCAGGGAGGGCAGTGGGGAAGGGGATCCAACACCTGAGGGCACCAGCCATGTAGGGAATTCTGTGTTTTGACCAGGAGAGTCCCCACAGACCCAGGTGACACCACCTTATGCCAGCGGCTCACGTGGTGGAAACTCACCCAGAGGCACCCCCAGCACATGGCAAAGCCCTGGCAGTGAGGTTTTGGGAACATGAAGCACCCCCAGCAGTGGCTGAAGACATTTTGCACCTCCAGGAGCACAAAGACAGCGTTCCTTCCCCCATCACTGTGGCTGTGGGGAAGATCCCACGCAAAAAGGCAGATAAAACTCCCTCAGGAGTTCCAGGTAATTCAGGATCTGTCCCACTCCCCACCCAGGTGGGAAAAATTCCAGGACCCAACCACGGGATGCTCTGGCTCGGGAGAAAGGATGCAGGAGGATCCAGCCCTGGGGACCACGGCCAGGACACGAGGAAGAGGGATGGACAACCCCCCTCGATCCTTGGAGGTGGGAACTACACGGAACACCAGCCAGGAAGGGGGGTTTTCCCAGGAAAGGGGCTGCTCCCATCTCCAGAGGGCACCTTTCCAGGCAGAACAGGGGAGCTGGCAGTGCCCCTGGCTCCAAGGAGGGGAGTTCTGCTCCTTTCCCACAGCGGGTTGGGGGGGGAACCTCGAGCAGAGAGCTGACCTGGCCTACTGGGAGCTGTCCCCACCCACGGCAGGAAGGAACAAGATGGGCCTTGAGGCCCCTCCAAGCCCAGACCATGCTGGGATTTCAGGAAAATGGACAATAAAGTGACAAAAGAGGACAAACTGATGTTAAAGTAGAGAATAAAGTGATAAACCGGAGCATAAAGTGGAGCCAAGGGATCCCCAACCATGGGGGGTCCCAACCCCAACTCCCCCTGGGTGACAGTGACCCCCCAGTGGGGAACAGCAACATCCCAGAGGGAATCCCCCAGGAACTGGGGGTGAATCCCAGAAATCCTTTATTGGCAGGACACTCCAGTGCTGTGGAATTCCGAGCTCCCTGGGGCAGTTTGAGTGGGGGGACCAAGGGGGCTGGGGAACCCTGTGGGAGGGGGGCACAAACCCAATCCCAAGGACCCAGAAGAGCCACCAGTGGGAACAGCGGGATGCCCACGGCACAGGGGGCTCTGCCTGGCCCCTGCCCCACTCCTGGGGGGCTGCAGGTGTTTGGGGGGGCTCAGTGGCCCCTTGTTGTGCGTGGTCAGCTGGACCCCCCAATCTGGAGGGGGAATGTGGCCAGAATCAGACCCTGGAATCCAGACCTGGAGTAGGTGCGGGGGACTGGTGGGACCCCCCCATTCCACAGCTGGTTCCCCTTTGGGATGGGGGTGGGACACCCCCCCTACTCCAGAGCCCAGATCCCCCTTGGGGGCGCAGATGGGACCCCCTGCTCTGAAGCCCCCTTAGGATGGGGGTTGGATCTCTCACTCCAGAGCCCGATCCCCATGGGAGGTGCAGGTGGGACCCCCCCCAATCCCAGAGCACTGCCAGATCCTGGGATCACCTGTCCCAGGTCAGACCCCCCAGGAAAGCAGAGCCTGGAGCAGGAGAACAGCGAAGCCGAACTCTTGAAACACACGGACTCGGGGGGGGCTGGGGGAAGGTGGGGCAGCTTTTGGGGGGCTGGAGGGTCCCCCAGGCAGTGGTAGGACGGACGGATGGGGGGTCAGCAGTCCGGAAAAGGGGGAATTGGGGGGTCAGTGCAGCCGAGGAGCCATAAAGTGCAGCAAAGCTTCCCGGAGCTCCCAGGGGGCCGGAGGGTCCCGGCTCAGGTGGCTCCGGGTGCCCGGGGGGCTCCAGTGTCCGGGGGCCGGGACACACCGGGGGGATACAGAGCCCAGTTCGGGAGGACACGGCAGTGCCGGGATGGGGGAGCGGGGCTGGATCCCATCCCGGATCTGTTCCTGCTTTGGGGCCGTTCCTGCTCCCTTTTCTGGAGCTGTTCCTGCTTTGAGGCCAATCCCATTTCTGGCCCTGTTCCCAGTCCTGTTCCTGCTGTGGGGCCGGTCCCATTCCCTGCCCTGTTCCCAGTCCTGTTCCTGCTGTGGGGCCGGTCCCGTTCCCGGTTCCATTCCCAGTTTGTCGCTGGTTCCAGAGCCGGTTCCGGTGCTGGTTTGGTTCCCAGTCCTGGGGCTGGTTCCGTTCCCGGTTCCTGTCCCGGTCCCAGGCCCGGTTCTGATGCTGGTTTGGTTCCCAGTCCATTCTCAGTCCTGTTACTGGTTCCGTTCCCAGGTCCGTTCCTGGTGCCACCGCGTGGCCTCTCGGATCCGGGCTGGAATCTCACATGCACATCACCTGCAGCCTGGAGCGGAGGGCAGGGGGGTCAGGGGGGTCACCTGCCCCCCTGTGACCCCCCCGTGACCCCCCCGGCCCAACACCCACCTGTCCTCCTCGATGCCTCCTCCCTCGGGGTCCCCGCTGTCGCCCTTCTCCGTGTCCCCCTCACCCAGGTCCATGTCCAGCTCGTTCCCGGTGTCCGGCCGGGTGTAGGCGTAGCCACTGCGGGGGGAAGGGCGGCAGGGCCTCAGCTCCTGGCCGGAATTCCGGGGGGACGCCCCCGGGAACGTCGGGGAGGCCTCACCTGATGGAGCGGCAGGTGAAGAACACGATCCTCTTCAGCCTCTTGTTGTAGAAGAAGTAGTTGAAGGACCAGAGGCTCCCGTCCTCTCCGAAGGGATCCGAGTCCAGGTCCGGGTTGTAGCTGCGGCAGGAAGGGGAGAAACACCGGGATGGGTGGGATGGGATGGATGTGCCACAGAAAATGGGAGAACTGGGAAAGCCTGGAATGAGTCTCAGCAGCCACCCCAAATCCCAGCTGGACGAGGGAGCAGGGGGAGGCACAAACTTCCAAGCACGGGGTGAGGGGAGTGAATTCCAAAGGGCAGGAATGCCAGGGGGTGGGAGGGAATTCCAAAAGGTGGGAATCTCAAGAGGGTGGGAATTCCAAAGCAGCAGGAAATCCATGGGGGTGGGATGGGACGTTCCCATCCAGGGAAGCTCTGGTGAGGCAGGACCGGCCCCGCTCCGGCCACGTCCCCGCCCCCCAAAACGCCCCTTTCCCGTGGGAAGGCCCCTGTCCCGGTACCTGTAGATGTCACACTCGGCCAGGCAGATCTCCTCGTCCACCGCGTCCCACAGGAGCGGCTTCAGCGCCTTGAAATCCTCGCGCACGGCCGAGAACAGGCTGCAGTTCACCGCGTTCACCACCTGGGGGCGCAACGCAATGGAACGGGAATGGGGAACGGAACCCGGCTCCGCAGAGTGGGAACGGGAAAGGGAATGAAATGGGAACAGAACAGGGAATGGAACCCGGCTCCGCAGAACGGGAACGGGAATGGGAATAGGGAATGGGAATGGCAACAGGACAAGGAATGGGAACAGGACAGGGAATGGGAACAGGGAATGGGAACAGGGAATGGGAACAGGACAGGGAATGGGAACGGGACAGGGAATGGGAACGGGACAGGGAATGGGAACGGGACAGGGAATGGGAACGGGACAGGGAATGGGAACGGGACAGGGAATGGGAACGGGACAGGGAATGGCACCCGGCTCCACCGAGTGGGATGGGAATGGGACAGGGAATGGAACAGGGAACGGGAAAAGGAACAGGACAGGGAATGGGAATAGGGAATGGGAACGGGACAGGGAATGACACCCAGCTCCGTGGAGCAGGATTGGGAAAAGGGAATTGGAACAGATCTCCACAGAACAGGGAATGGGACAGGAGCTCCATGGGAACAGGGAGTGGGACTGGAGTTTCACAGGAACAGGGAACGGGACAGGAGCCACCACGGGAAAAAGCTTCCCAGAGCAGCTGTGGCTGCCCCATCCCTGGAAGTGTCCAAGGCCAGGTTGGACGTGGCTTGGAACAACCTGGGATAGTGGGGAGTGTCCCTGCCCACGGCAGGGGGGCACTGGGTAGGCTTTGAGGTCCCTTCCCACTCCATGGAGTGACGGGACGAGGGTTCTGACTGGAAGGGGCAGGTTTAGCCGGGATATTGGGAATGGTCAAGGGCCAGAGCTGGACGGGGCTCGGAGCCACCTGGCCCATGGGAGGCACCAACGGGATCGGCCCCTCCCAGCCCCATCTCCCCCGTTCCCAGGACCCCAGGGGATGATCCCACAGTCCCAGGGACTGATCCCACAGCCCCAGGGGATGATCCCACAATCCCAGGGGATGATCCCACAATCCCAGGGGATGATCCCACGATCCCAGAGGATGATCCCACGATCCCAGGGGCTGATCCCACAATCCCAGGGGCTGATCCCACGACCCCAGGGGCTGATCCCACGGTCCCAGGGGCTGATCCCACGGTCCCAGGGGATGATCCCACAATGCCAGGGGCTGATCGCACAATGCCAGGGGATGATCCCATAATCCCAGGGGCTGATCCCACAATCCCAGGGGCTGATCCCACAGTCCCAGGGGATGATCCCACAGTCCCAGGGGATGATCCCACAATCCCAGGGGATGATCCCACAATCCCAGGGGATGATCCCACAGTCCCAGGGGATGATCCCACAGTCCCAGGGGATGATCCCACAATCCCAGGGGATGATCCCACAATCCCAGGGGATGATCCCACAATCCCAGGGGCTGATCCCACAGTCCCAGGGGCTGATCCCACAATCCCAGGGGATGATCCCACAATCCCAGGGGATGATCCCACAGTCCCAGAGGATGATCCCACAGTCCTAGGCGATGATCCCATAATCCCAGGGGCTGATCCCACAATCCCAGGGGCTGATCCCACGGTCCCAGGGGATGATCCCACAGTCCCAGGGGATGATCCCACAGTCCCAGGGGCTGATCCCACAATCCCAGGGGATGATCCCACAATCCCAGGGGCTGATCCCACGGCCCCAGGGGCTGATCCCACAGTCCCAGGGGCTGATCCCACAATCCCAGGGGCTGATCCCACGGCCCCAGGGGCTGATCCCACAGTCCCAGGGGCTGATCCCACAATCCCAGGGGCTGATCCCACAAACCCAGGGGATGATCCCACAGTCCCAGGGGATGATCCCACAATCCCAGGCGATGATCCCACAATCCCAGGGGCTGATCCCACGGCCCCAGGGGCTGATCCCACAGTCCCAGGGGATCCATACCCAGTTGAGGCTGGGCTCCCTGCTGAACTCGTGGCTCTTGGCGGCGCTGAAGTCGTAGTCGGGCCGGAAGGACTCGTTGAGGGTGGTGATCAGGTAGAACAGGGTCTTGCGGCTGCACGTGTCGCTCAGGGGACCCTCCTCATCTCCACTCTGGCTCTTCCCGAGCCTGGCACAGCACAGGGAGCTCAGGGGGGTGGGAATGGGGCACACAGGGGACAGGGACATGGGAATGGGGGCAGTGGGGTCAGGGATGTGGGAATGGCTGGGGGACACCAGGACACGCCCTTGGGAGGGGTTTGGGGTGACCCCCACATGCAGAGGGGGATCAGGTCAGGCAGGGGAAGGGGAAGGGTTGCACAGGGCTGGGGGGAGGTGTCTTTCCCACAGGGACCCCCAGAGGAATTCGGGATCCCTGTGAAAGTGGCCCCTGGGGACACAGGTGGGGGGGCCCCTGGCTGGGGGACGTTGGGTCTGACCCCAAAGGTCCTTCCTTGGCCATTGGGTCTGACCCCAAAGGTCCTTCCCAGCCTTCCCATGACTCCCAGAGCTTCTTCCCAGTCAATACCAGTACATGTCCCAGCCTTCCTGTCGGCTCCCAGTACTCCCCAGTTAGCTCTCAGTCGCTCCCCAGTCAGCCCCAGTTCTCCCCAGTCAATCCCAGTTGCACCCCAGTGCCTCCCAGTTCACTTCCAGTGCACCCTCCAGCCCCCCACCAGCACTCATCCCCTCCAGCAGCTCCCAGTCCCCCCCAGTGCCTCCCAATTGCCCCCCAGCCCCCACCAGCAGCTCCCAGTCCCTACCCAGCTGCCTCCAAGTTACTTCCCAGTTCCTACCCAGTGCCTTCCAGTCACCCCTCAGCCTTCCTGAACAGCTCCCAGTGCCTCCCAGTTCACCTCCAGTCCCCCCCAGCAGCTCCCAGTGCCTCCCAGTTCACCTCCAGTCCCTCTCAGCAGCCCCTAGTGCCTCCCAGTTCACCTCCAGTTCACCTCCAGTCCCTCCCAGCAGCCCCCAGTGCCTCCCCAGTGCCCCCAGTTTACCTGCCCGGGCTGAGCCCCGAGGTCTGGGGTGGGGACAGGGCCTCGAGCACGTGGGGCTGCCCCTCCTGGCAGAACTGCTTGAACATGTGCTTGTCATCCCCGGCCATCTTGCACGAGTAGCTCTCGATCCTGCGGGGAGGGGACACTGCAGGGGCCGGGAACGCCGGGAATGGGGGCCCAGGGGGGGCTCAGAGGCCCTGCCAGGGCCTGAAGGGGCTCCAGGAGAGCTGGGGAGGGATTTGGGATGAGGGATGGGGGACAGCACACAGGGAATGGCTGCCCAGGGTTAGGTGGGATATTGGGAAGGGATTCCCGGCTGGGAGGGTGGGGAGGGGCTGGGCTGGAATTCCCAGGGAAGCTGTGGCAGCCCCTGGATCCCTGGAGTGTCCCAGGGCAGTGGGAAGGATCCCTGCCCCTTCCCAGCCCTGACATTCCCCAGTCCCTGACCTGCCAATGATGTGGGACACCCTGGGAGGCTCCAGACCCTTCCCATTCCCAATCCCTGACCTGCCAATGATGTGGGACACCCTGGGAGGGTCCAGGCCCTCCCCAATCCCTGACCTGCCAATGATGTGGGACACCCTGAGGGGCTCCAGACCCTTCCCATTCCCCAATCCCTGACCTGCCAATGATGTGGGACACCCTGGGAGGCTCCAGGCCCTCCCCAGTCCCCAATCCCTGCCTGACCTGCCAATGATGTGGGACACCCTGGGGGGCTGCAGACCCCTTCCAGCCCCAGCATTCCCCAATCCCTGACCTGCCAATGATGTGGGCGTCCCCCGTCTCCACCGTCAGCTGGGAGTTTATGGCTTCGAAGCTCGAGTTCTCCAGCAGCTTCATCCTCCCGGAGTGAGACTCCCAGAGCGGCTCCTGGGGCTGCAGCTCAGCGTCCTGGGGGGCAGCGAGAGAGTCCCTGGGAGCGGGAAGGGGAGCGGGGAACGGGGAGAGGGAGGAGGCGGAGAACGAAAGGAAAAGGAAGGGAGGAAAAGGGAAGGGAAAAGGAGAACGGGAGAGAAAAAATGGGGAAGGGAAAAGGGAAAACTGGACACGGGAAAAGGGAGAGAAAAAGAGGGAAAGGGAAAACGGAGAAAATGGGAAACGGGAAAAGGAGGAGGAAAAGGAGAAAAGGGGGGAGGGAAAGCAGGCGGAAGAGGGAAGAGGAAGCACAGGAGATTCAAGGGGAGCTGCCAGCGGCACCACAAAGGGGAAAAGGGAAGCGTGAGAAAAAGAAGGAGCAGAGGGAGAAGCAGAAAGAGGGAAAAGAGAAGCAAAAGGAGCAAAAGGAGTGGGAGAGGCGGAAGATGCTGCGGGATCGGAGCGCCCCGGAAGAGCCGTTCCCGGCGTGCCCCGCGCCGCGGACTACAGCTCCCGGCATGCCCCGCGCGGCGCCGCGCACCGACCCACAACGGACTACAGCTCCCGGCGTGCCCCGCGCGGCGGGCTCGGCGCCATTGGCCGCCTACTGTTCCCATGGTGCCCCGCGGGGGCGCCCCGTGCCGGGCCGCGCCTGTGCCGCGCGGGGCACGCTGGGAGCTGTAGTCCCGGGGGCTCGGGGCGCAGAGGGGAGGGGGCGGCGAGCGGACTTACCGGCGCGTCCCGCTCCCGCTGTCTCCTCGCCGCGGCAGCGCCTTCAGGCTCGGGGCGCGTGTAAGAGGAGGCGTCTCCGGGGAAAGCTCGAGGAGGGCGCTCGTGCCGCGGCCGCCGCCCGCCGTCTGGCGCCGGCCCACCGGGCGTCCGCCCACCTCGACATGTCCCCGAGTGCTCGGGACTGCGCGAGCGGCTGAGCGAGACCTGGGAGTTCCCTCGGGGCGGGCGGGCGAGCGAAGCGACCTTCTCCTGCGGCACCGACCGGGCGGCAACAGCGGCACCGCCCCTCCCGCCCCGCCCCGCCTCGGCGGCGCCGGCGGCCCGCGGGCCCATTGGCGGATGGGCCCGTCCATCATCGGATCTCCGCGTTTCCATTGGCTGGTAGCGACGTCACTCCGCGGGCCCTCCCCCCGCGGGGGCGCTCGGCGTTCCGATTGGCTGGTGCGGACAAAGACGGGGGGCGGCTGTCAATCAGCGCGGGGGGCGGGGCCGAGGGAGCGCGGGGCGTGGTCACGGGCGGGGCCGCAGGCGGAACGTTCGGTCCCGGAACTGCCCCGGAGGGGCCGCGTTTCCCTCGCCCCGCCCGCCCGCGGGCACCGGTTCTGTGCGGACCGGGCGGGGGCCGGAAGTGGCGGGGCCGCTATGGCGGCGCCCGGAGCCCCCGGGCCGGGCCCTGCCCCGGGCGCTGTGCCGGGCTCTGCCTCGGGATCTGCCCCGGGATCTGCCCCGGGATCTGCCCCGGGATCTGCCCCGGGCGCTGTCCTGGGCCCTGCTCCGGGGTCGCTCCCGCCTCCTGCCCCGGCGTCGCTCCCGCCGCCGGTGCCGCTGCCGCCCACCGTGCTGATGGCGGCGCGGGCTCAGCTCGCCGCTCCCTCTCTCCTCCTGCCCGCGGCTGCCGCCGGTGCCGCGCTCCGCCTGCAGCTCAGCGTGGAACCGGCCCCCGGCGGCCGCCGCCGCTTCCGCCTCGGGATGAGGCTGCCGGAGGCGGGGGGGGGCGCGGTGAGGGCGGGCGGGGGCGGTGAGGGCGGGGGCGGTGAGGCGGGCAGGGGGCGGTGAGGGCGGGCAGGGGGCGCGGTGAGGCGGGGGAGGCGGTGGGTCCGGTGGCGCCTTTCCCGCGGAATTCCCGTGAAATTCCTGCGCAGACCTCGGGATCCGGAGGCTCCGGGGTCACCCCCGGGAGCCCTTGGAATTGCCACCGCGGGAATGTCCCGGGGGGTGCCGGGGTGGGGGGCGGAGCCGATCCCGTTGGGGGCGGGGTTTGTATCGCAGCCCTGTCGCGACAGGAGCCTGTCGTGACTCTGCCCCGGTGTCCCCCTGCCCCAGCCCCTGGCGGAATTCGACCTGCGGGACGTGTCCTACCGCGTGCGGGGCCCCGCGAGCCACGAGCTGGAGCTGCCGGGACCGGGAGCGGGAGCGGGATCGGGGACAGCAGCGGAGACAGCACCGGGCACGGTGACGCTGTGGTTCCCCGAGGAGCGGGAGGCACAGCAGTGGTGGACGGTGCTGAGCAGCTCCCTCAGGGAGGCCCGGAGAGGTGGGACAGGGACACGGGGACAGGGCTGGGGACACGGGGACACAGGGCTTGGGGACAGGGCTGGAGCTGGGGGACACAGCCAAGGTGGTGGGACAGGGACACGGGGATGGGGACAGGGACACGGACTGGGGACAGGGACACGGGGATGGGGACAGGGTATGGGGCTGGGAACACAGCCGGGGCAGGGACATGGGGACAGGGGTGACAGTCCCACCCTGGTGCCGGGAGGGAGCTGATCCATCAGGTGACCCCAGAAGGTCCCTGGGGTGTCCCCTCCCCATGTCCTGAACACCTGAGGGGCCCTGGGGGTGGCTCTGTCCCAGGACACGGGCTGGGGCCACCATTCCCACAGGGATGTCCCAGGGTGTCCCCTCCCACCTCAGGAGGGACCCCTGGGGACAGTGGGGACGGTCCCATCCCTGACGTGCCCCCACAGCCTCGGAGTGCCCAGTGACAGCCCCGGGGGACACGGGGACAGCCCCGGGGGGCACGGGGACAGCCCTGGAGGCCCCGCCCCCATCCCTGCCCACGCCAGACCCAGAGCAGGACCTGGAAGAACTGCAGACCCTGGAGCTGGCAGAGAGAGGTATCCCTGGAAATCTGGGAATCCTGGAGCTGGGAAACACCCCAGAGCCCCCTGAGTGGCCCCCCAGCCCTGCCCAGGCCACTTCTGCCCTTGTCCCCAAGTGCCACCTCCCCAGGGATGGCCAATCCCCCCCAGGGATGGGGATCCAGGGCTGGGCAGCCCCTCCCAGGAGGGGTTTTCCCAAGATCCCAAATAAAGCTCCCCTGGCACAGCTTGGGGCTGTTCCCTTTATCCTGAACCTGTTCCCCTGGGAGCAGAGCCCAAATTCCCCCCCAGTGTCACCTCCTGTCACCTCCTGTCCCCGTGGTGTCCCCAGGCCGGGCCTGGCTGGCTCCCGGCCAGCTCTGGGGTGTGTGGGGTGTGTGGGGTGTGGTGCTGTCCCTCAGTGTCCCCCATGTCCCCAGAGGAGCTGTGCCTGCGCCTGGCCGAGGCCATCGCGGGGGGGGACGAGGCGGTGGCGGCGCAGAGCGCGGTGGCCCTGGCGCGGCACCACACGGAGCTCAGCGTCAGCCTGAGGGACACCAACTACCCCGGGGGGGAGCTCAGGTCAGCCTTCAGCCCCTCCTCCTTCATCCTCCTCCTCCTTCATCCCCCTCCTCCTTCACCCTCCTCCTGCTCCATCCCCTCCTCTTTCATCCTCCTTCTCCTTCATCCTCCTCCTCCTTCATCTCCCTCCTCCTTCATCCTCCTCCTGCTCCATCCCCCTCCTCCTTCACTCTTCTCCTTCATCCTCCTCCTCCTTCATCCTCCTCCTCCATCCTCCTCCTCCTCCATCCTCCTCCTGCTCCATCTCCCTCCTCTTTCATCCTCCTCCTCCTTCATCCTCCTCCTGCTCCATCCTCCTCCTGTTCCATCTCCCTCCTCCTTCATCCTCCTCCTCCTTCATCCTCCTCCTCCTTCATCCTCCTCCTCCTCCATTCCTCCTCCTCCTTCATCCTCCTCCTGCTCCATCCCCCTCCTCCTCCATTCTCCTCCTCCTTCATCCTCCTCCTCCTTCATCCTCTTCCTCCTCTATCCCCATCTTCTCATCCTTCCTCCTCCTCATTCCACTGCATGTGGGAGAGGCCCAACCCCCAGGGGAGGGATCAGGTGGGCCTTCATCCTCCTGTGCCTCCTCTTCCTCCTCCTTCCTTTCCCTACTTTTCTCTTCTGCTTTTTCTTTCTCTTTCTTTTTCTTCCTCTTTTTCTTTCTTTCTTCCCCTTTTTGTTTTTCCTGCTTCCCTTTTCCTTTCTGTTTTCCCTTTCGCTTTCCACCTCCCCCTCCTTCTCCCTCTGCTCCATTCCCTGCACCCCGATCCCGGTGTCCCGGTCCCCCCTGTCCCACGTCCCTCTCTCGTTCCCACTGTCCGGGTGCCCCCCATGCCATTATCCCGTGTCCCTGTGTCGTTCCCAGCATGGCTGTGTGGGTGGAAGATGCCACGTCCTCGGCCAACATCACCCTGCGGGTGCGGCCCCACGTCACCATCGGCACCCTCAAGGAGCAGGTACGGGGGGGACACCTGGGGGGCACCTGAGGGCTGAGCCAGAGCCCGGCCTGAGGGAAAAGGGGGCTCCCAGGATCTCCTGGGGGCTCACCTGGATCTTACCTGGGGCCCTGCCTGGTGAGAATGGGACCCCTGACGTCACCTGGGATGTCATGGGGCTCACCTGGGACATCACCTTGGGGGCTCTCCCAGAGATCACCTCAGGGGTCACCCCAGAGTCTCCCCTCACTGTATTCCAGGAGTTTGGGTTCCCAGGTCTCCTCTGTTCCCCCTGCCTCAGGTGTTCCAGGAGTTGGGGTTCTTGTCTCTTCCCTGCTTTTGTCTCCCCTGTCCCGGGTGTTCCAGGAGCTGTTTCCCCTCTCTCCCCCTCCCCTGTTCCATTTGTTCCAGGAGCTGATCCCATCTCTCTCCCATTCCAGGTGTTCCAGGAGCTGTTTCCCCCTCTCTCCCACCTCCCCTCTCTCCCCAGGTGTTCCAGGAGCTGATCCATCTCTCTCCCCTGTCCCAGGTGTTCCAGGAGCTGATCCCAGGTGTTCCAGGAGCTGGATCCCATCTCCCCCCTGTCCCAGGTGTTCCAGGAGCTGATCCCATCTCTCCCCTGTCCCAGGTGTTCCAGGAGCTGATCCCATCTCTCCCCTGTCCCAGGTGTTCCAGGAGCTGATCCCAGGTGTTCCAGGAGCTGTTCCCATCTATCTCTCCCCTGTCCCAGGTGTTCCAGGAGCTGATCCCAGGTGTTCCAGGAGCTGATCCCATCTCTCCCTTGTCCCAGGTGTTCCAGGAGCTGATCCCAGGTGTTCCAGGAGCTGATCCCATCTCTCCCCTGTCCCAGGTGTTCAGGAGCTGATCCCAGGTGTTCCAGGAGCTGATCCCGTCTCTCCCCTGTCCCAGGTGTTCCAGGAGCTGATCCCAGGTGTTCCAGGAGCTGATCCCAGGTGTTCCAGGAGCTGATCCCATCTATCTCTCCCCTGTCCCAGGTGTTCCAGGAGCTGGGTTTCCACCCGCGGGTGCAGCGCTGGATCATCGGGCAGTGCCTGTGCGCGGACGGGCGCTCGGTGGGCTCGTACGGGGTGCGTCGGGATGGGGACCCCGCCTTCCTGTACCTGCTGTCAGCGGGGGTGGCGGGGCTGAGCCGCGAGGAGCAGGCCCAGGCGCTGCTGCGGGCCCTGCCCGGGGACGGCGCCGCCGGGGAGCCCCACAGGGCCCACGCGGGGCCTTCGTCGCCTCACAGGGGTACGGCCTCCTCCTCCTCCTCCTGCTCCTTCTTCCTCATCATCCTCCTCCTGCTCCTTCCTCCTGCTGCTTCCTGGCTCTTCCTTCTTACTGTCCTTTCTCCTGGTCTTTTCTCCTTTTTCTTTCTCCTTTTCCTGCTCTTGCTCCTTTCTCCTTCCTGCTCCTTCCTTCTTTCTCCTCCTGCTCCTTCCTCCTGATCATTCCTCTTTTCTGCTCCTTCCTCATTTCTTTTCTCTTTCATTTTCCTTTTTCTTTTCTATTTTTTTCTTCTCTATTCCTTTTCTTGCTCTTCTCTTTTTTCTTCTTTTCTTTTGTTCTTCTCCTTCTTTTTTTGCTTTTCTTTCCTTTATATTTCTCATTCGTTCTTCTTCCTGCTCCTCATTCCTTCTTCTCTTCCTCCTTATCTTTGCTCCTTCTCTTTTCTCCTTCTCCTTCCTCTGCCTTTATCTTTCCTCCACTTTCTCCTTCCCTTCTCCTCTTTCTCCTCTTTCTCTCTTTCTCCTCTTTCTTCTCGTCCCCTCCCTCCCCTCCCTCCCCCAGCTCCCTGCCCTGACTCCCCGGTGCCCCCAGGCCGTGTCCCCGAGCCGGGGGATCGTATGGACATCGGGACGATCCGGCAGCACCTGGACTCGCTGCAGCTCCAGGACGGCACCGGGACCCCTCCTGGGACCCCCGCACTGAGACCGCCCTCCCCTGAGCAGGTACGGGGGTGCTGAGGGATCCCTGCTCCCAGCAGCATTCCCAGGGATCCAGGCTGGGCACTGCCCCCATCCCAGATCCCTGCTCCCGGTGGCATTCCCAGGGATCCGGGCTGGGCACTGCCCCCATCCCAGATCCCTGCTCCCAGCAGCATTCCTGGGGATCCGGGCTGGGCACTGCCCCCATCCCAGATCCCTGCTCCCAGCGGCATTCCCGGGGATCCGGGCTGGGCACTGCCCCCGTCCCCAGTGCCATTCCCAGTGTTCCAGGCAGCCTGGCCCTGCCCCTGATTCTCATCCCCATTCCCAGCACCGTTCCTGGTGATCCCTGTCCCTATTCCCCTTCCCAGGGCTGACCCTACCCCCATTTCCATTCCCATTCCCAGTGATCCCCATTCCCATTCCAGGGCTGGCTATACCGCATTCCCCTTCCTGTTCCCACTGGCCATGCCCCATTCCCGTTCCCATTCCCATTCCAGGGCTGGCCGTTCCCCATTCCCGTTCCCATTCCCAGGGCTGGCCGTGCCCCGTTCCCATTCCCGTTCCCATTCCCATTCCCAGGGCTGGCTGTGCCCCATTCCCGTTCCCATTCCCATTCCAGGGCTGGCCGTGCCCCGTTTCCATTCCCATTCCCGTTCCCATTCCAGGGCTGGCTGTGCCCCATTCCTGTTTCCATTCTCATTCCCATTCCCAGGGCTGGCCGTGCCCCATTCCCAGGGCTGGCCATGCCCCATTCCCATTCCCATTCCCATTCCCGTGTCCCATTCCTGTTCCCATTCCCATCCCAGGGCTGGCCATGCCCCATTCCCATTCCAGGGCTGGCCGTGCCCCATTCCCATTCCTATTCCCATTCCTAGGGCTGGCTGTTCCCCGTTCCCATTCCCATTCCCATTCCCAGGGCTGGCCGTTCCCCATTCCCGTTCCCATTCCCAGGGCTGGCCATGCCCCATTCCCATTCCCGTTCCCATTCCAGGGCTGGCCATGCCCCATTCCCATTTCCGTTCCCATTCCAGGGCTGGCCATGCCCCATTCCCGTTCCCATTCCCATTCCCGTTGCCATTCCCAGGGCTGGCCGTGCCCCATTCCCATTCCCGTTCCCGTTCCAGGGCTGGCCGTGCCCCACGTGCACGTTCATCAACAAGCCCACGCGCCCGGGGTGCGAGATGTGCAGCTGCGCCCGCCCCGCGGGGTACCGGGTACCGGGGGGGCACCAGCCCGACCCCGCCGAGAGGCAGCGCCTGCAGAGGGAGCGGGACGGGGCACGGCAGTGCCAGCAGGTAATGGGGACGGGGGATCCATGGGGGGTGGGATCACAGGGATCCTGGGGGATGGGAGCAGGGGGTACCGGGAGGGCACCAGCCTGACCCTGCTGAGAGGCAGTGGCTGCAGAGGGAGCAGGATGGGACACGGCAGTGCCAGCAGGGAATGGGAATGGGGGATCTGCCAGGCAGTGCCAGCAGGTGCGGGATCACTGGGATCCAGGGGGTGTGGGATCGGGACAGGGGGCTCTGGTGGATATGGGATCGTGGGGATCTGCCAGTGGCAGCAGGTACAGGATCACGGGGAACCCAGTGGTGCTGGAATCACAATGGGGAGCCACCAGTGCTGGGATCACAGGGATCTGGTGGCATTGGGATGCAGCAGTACCGGGATTGGCAGGGATCCAGCGGTACTGGGATCAGAGACATCCAGTGGGATTGGGACTGGAGGATCCACCAGGACCTGTAGGAACGGGATCAGGGGGTTCCAGTGGTACTGGGATCCCAGGGGAGAGCTGCCAGTGCCAGCAGGGACAGGGCTGGGACAGATCCAGTGGTCTTGGGACTGCGGAGATCTGGCAGTGCCAGCAGGTCCGAGGGATCCAGCTGTACCGGGATCGCAGGGGAGGTCTGGCAGTCCTGGGATCAGGGAGGGATGTGGCAGTACTGGGATCAGGGAGGGATGTGGCAGTACTGGGATCAGGGAGGGATGTGGCAGTACCGGGATCAGAGAGGGGTGTGGCAGTACCGGGATCAGGGGGGGTGTGGCAGTAGTGGGATCAGGGAGGGATCCGTCAGTACTGGGATCAGGGAGGGATCTGGCAGTACTGGCAGGGACAGGATCGGGGGTCGGGCAGCAGGGTATGGATCCGGCGTTTGTGGGGAGGAGGGACGTGGATCCTGCGCCGCTCCAGGGAATGGGGGGGGTTGTGGGGTCACACAGACACCCCCAGTCCCACCTGGTGCTGGGGCTCTGCCAGCATTGGGATCTGGCACCGGGATCTGCCCGGGAAGGGGCTGGTGGTGATCAGGGAGAGGAAGCTCTTGTGACCCACCCAGGGACAGAGCAGGGGCTGTGACCCCCCCAGGGATAGGGCAGGTACCAGGACTGGGGCTCCACCAGTACCAGGACTGGAAGGATCTGGCAGTACCAGGATGGGGGGATCTGGCAGTGCTGTGATCTGGAGGATCCTGCAGGATCCCACCCAGGATCAGGGGGTCCCTCTCTCCGCCCTCCCCTCCCCTGCACTGAGGAGCCGTCGGGCCGCTCGTTCCCAGCCCCGGGATCCATCCCCGTTCCACAGCCCCGTGGGGGGGCTCCCCTGGGACCTCGGGGGGCTCCGGGCCCGGCACTGACGGATCCTTCTCCTCTCTCTCCCCTCTGCCCGTGCCGGATCCCGCCGGGAGCAGCCCCGGAGCGAGGACGGCCCCGCCGGGCACCACGGCCCGGGGTCCCTGGAGGACTTCATCCACCTGTGCTCCGAGTTCGGATAGTGCCTGGGATCCCCAGGGACCCCCCGGGACCCTCCCGGACCCACCAGACCCCCAGGGACCCCTCTGGACTCCTGGGATCCACGTGGCCTCTGCCCGGGACCCATCCCCAACACCCAGGGATCTCCCCGAGACCCCCCATGCCCGGCCCCAGGGGGGTTCCAGAATGTTCTGCCGGAGGAGGGTGGGGATGTGCCGCTCGCCGGGGGGTGGGGGGCTCACAGAGGGGTGCCAGCCCCCCGGGGTGAGGGGAGCAGGGTCAGTCCCAGCACTGCCCCTTCCTGGGGGGCACCATCAGGGCCCTGGGGGGTCCTGTGCTCTGGGGGTGCCACAGCTGGGGGGTCTGAACTCAGGGAACTGCGGGCTCAGGGGTGGGGGCTGCGCTCTGGGGGTCTCTGGGGCTCGGGGGTCCCGGGCTGGGGGCGCTGCTCTGGGGGTCTCAGCCTCGCCTGGCACCGTGGGAGTGGGAGGTGAGGGGTCTCCCGTCTGAGCCGTGACCCCGGGTTGGGGTCCCTGGGTCCTGAGCCCCCATTAAAGCCTCGTCCCACCCAGGTGGCTCCGCCGGCTCCTTGTGCTGGGGGGGTCTGGGAGGGTGACTGGGGGCAGCAGCGGGGGGGGACCTGTTCCCAGCGTGGCAGAGCCCGATCCTGGGGCTCCCCTGGAGCGTCTCCAGGGCCCAGATATGTGAAAGTGCCCCCAGGATATCCCTGGGGACCCTCAAGATGTCCCTGACTGGGGCCATTCCCATTCCTAACCAGGGCCGTTCCCTGCCCAGGGCTCTTCTCCTTCCCTGTCCAGGCTGTCCCTCACTGGGGCTGTTCCTGCCCAGGCCAGTCCCTTTCCATGAATGGTGCCATTCCTTACAGCTCCCATTCCATGACCAGGATGTCGCTCACGAGGCAGTTCCTGCCCGGGACTGTTCCTGTCTCTGATGGGGCTGTTCCCATTCCTGCCGGGTCTGTTACTATTCCTGGCTGGGCTATTCCTGTCACTGGCGGATCATTCCCATTCCTGATGGGGTCATTCCCATTCTGTGACTGGAGCCGTTCCCAGTCCTGACTGGGGCATTCCTTACTGGTGCTCTTCCTTACGGGTCTCGTTCCTGCCTGGGGCTGTTCCCATTCCCACAGGGGCTGTTCCCATTCCCACAGGGGCTGTTCTCATCCCATGAACCCTGATGGTTCCGTCCCTCGGCAGTTCCCATTCCCACTGGGGCCATTCCTGTTCCCTCCTGGGACTATTCCGTGGCCAGTGCCATTCCTGCTCCTTAGCGGGACCGTTCCAGTTCCTCCCAGGGCCATTCCCATTCCCGAGAGGCTGTTTTGGTCTCTTACTGGAGCTGTTCCCGTTCCTGATGGGACCATTCCCGCTGGCCCTGCTGGGCTGTTCCCTGAGCAGCGCCGTTCCCGTTGTGTCCCAGGACTGTTCCCCTCCCTGCTGGGTCTGTCCCTCGCCGTTCCCGCTCTCGTCGGTGCCGTTCCCGTCCCCGTTCCCGCCGAGGCGGTTCCCATTCCCAATCCCGCTGCCGTTCCCACCCGTGCAGGCTCTGGAGGCCGAGCGGCAGCAGAACTTCCAGCAGCTGCTGCGGGCGGAGGAGTCGGAGCTGGTGCCGAACCCGGAGCCTCTGGAATGTGGGATCTGCCTGCAGGACGTGCCGGCCGGGCAGGGGGTGCTGCTCCGGGACTGCCTGCACAGCTTCTGCAGGTACCCCGGGACCCCCCCACTGCCAGAGCCAGCCCTGAGACCCCCCTCCAGCACCCCCAGGACTGGCCCCAGGACCAACCCCCCATCACCATGACCCAAGACCCCCCCTCTGTCACCAGGACCAGCCCTGAGCCCCCCCATCACCGTGACCAACCCCAAGACCCCCCCACTGTCACAGTGACCAGCCCTGAGACCCCCCCACCATCACCAGGACCAGCCCCAAGGCCCCCCCCCATCCCCACAGTGACCAGCCCTGAGCCTCCTCCACCATCGTATTGCCCAATCCTAAGGGCCCCCCCACCTCACAGTCACCCCACCACTGCCATGACCAGCCCCAGGACCCCCCACCTTGTAGTGGCCAGCCCTGAGCCCCCCACCATCAACAGTGACACCCCCTCAGCCCCCCCATCACAGCGAGAAGCTCCAAGACCCCCCCCCATTACTGTGACCAGCTCTCAGAGCCCCCTCAAAACCCCCCAAACCTCCCACCCTCCTGGTGACCGTGAATGCCCCCCAGTGACCCTCCCCCTTTGGCAGGGAGTGCCTGCGGCAGGTGATCAACTACAGCGAGGAGCCGCTGGTGGCCTGTCCCTTCCGCGACGCCACCTACACGTGTGACAGTCACCTGCAGGAGCGCGAGATCCGCGCGGTGGGTGGGCCTGGGGTCCCAGCCTCGGGGCAGGAGTGCGGGTGGGTGGTCCCGTGGGTGTGTCCCCACGGGGGCTGTCGCTGACCGGGGGGTCCCGGCAGCCCCGCCCCGATGTCCCCGTGTCGCAGCCGGTGTTCCCCCCGGGCGCCGGCTGTTCCTGGAGTGGGGTTGGGTGAGCCGGGGGTGGGGATCTGTGGCCCGGGGGTCCCGGCAGCCCCACGGCAATGTCCCCAACCCCCAGCTAGTGTCCCCCGAGGAGCACCGGCGGTTCCTGGAGCGGGGCCTGGCCCTGGCCGAGCGGCGCAGCCGGAACAGCTTCCACTGCCGGGGCCGGGACTGCCCGGGCTGGTGCTTCTACGAGGACGCGGTGAACGAGTTCCCGTGCCCCGTGTGCGGGGCCCTCAACTGCCTCCTGTGCAAGGTGAGCCGGGGAGGCCGGGGGGCTCAGGGGAGTCCCGGGGGGCTCCAGCGCTGACCCCCCCTTCCCCCAGGCCATCCACGAGGGGCAGAACTGCCGGCAGTACCAGGACGAGCTGCAGCTGCGGGCGCAGCACGACGCGGCCGCGCGGCAAACCAGCGACATGCTGCAGGTCTGGGGGGCTCGGGGGGCGCGCAGGGGGGCGCCGGGGGTGTCCCCGCGCCCCTGACCCCCCTCCCTGTGCCCCCCCAGACGCTGGTGCAGCGGGGGGAGGCCATGCACTGCCCCACGTGCCGCATCGTGGTGCAGAAGAAGGACGGGTGCGACTGGATCCGCTGCACCGTGTGCCAGACCGAGATCTGCTGGGTCACCAAGGGGCCGCGCTGGGGGCCGGCGGTGAGGGGGGGTCCCTGGAGGGCTGGGGATCGCCTGCACCGCGGGCCAGACCGAGATCTGCTGGGTCACCAAGGGGCCGGTGGTGAGGGGAGCACCGGGAGGGCCATGGAGGGTCCGAGGGGGGCTGGGGGTGAGAGGGGGTCCCAGAGTGAGCGGGGGGGTCTGAGTGGGGCTGGGGGACCCCGGGGTCACCAAAGGACCGGGCTGGGGGACGGGGGTGACAAAGAGGGTCTCGGGGGCTCCTGGGGGTCACCAAGGGGCCGTGCTGGGGACTGGCAGTGAGGGGTGTCCTGGGAGACCCCAGGGCTTTGGAGTCACCAAGGGGTCACGATGGGGGGGGCTGGTGGTGAGGGGAGGCTGAGGGGGGGTGTCCAGAGGGAGCTGGGGGACCCCAGGACTCTGGGTGAGTGACAGGGACACAGAGTGACCCCAGGGTGGCCTCTCACAATTGACTTGTCCCCCCCCAGGGCCCCGGGGACACCAGTGGCGGGTGTCGCTGCAACGTCAACGGGCAGAGGTGCCACCCCCGGTGCCAGAACTGCCACTGACCCCCCTGGGCCACCCCCGTGGGGACGGGGACGGGCACAGGGACCCCCGGGGACACCGAGGGACAGACGGAGCCGGGCCGGGCCCAGGGCCGCGTGTGGGCATGGGGAAGGGCCACGGCCTTGGGGACAGAGAGGACGGACACGGGGACAGTGGCTGGACAGAGGGACAGAGCAGAGGAACAGACACGGCGTGTGGAGGTGCCGCAGGCACCGGGACAGCTCCAGGGGCTCTGCCCGCAGGGAGGCCCCGCGGTGGGCACGGCACGGCCCGGGGGCCAATAAACCACCTGAGTGTCACAGCTGCCAGCACGGGGACATGGCGGGGACAGCGTCACCACCCAGCACGGGGACAGGGACAGGGGATCACGCCTGGGGTGGGGCTGTGGGGAACCAGCCCTCAATGAGACCCCAGAAACACCGGGGCTGCAGTGGGCACGTGGCACTGGCACAGCCTGACCCACAGCCCAGGGACACCCAGAACCACACCCTGCCCCACGGGCACAGCCTGAGCCACAGCCCAGGGACACGCAGAACCAGAGCCAGGGGCACAGCCTGAGCCACAGACACAGCCTGACCCACAGCCCAGGGACACCCAGAACCACACCCTGCCCCACGGGCACAGCCTGAGCCACAGACCAAGCACACCCAGAACCAGAGCCAGCCCCAGAGCCAAAGGCACACCCTGCCCCACAGGCACAGCCAGACCCACCATGGGCACAACCTGACCCCCCACCCAGACCCCTGCCTGGGTACAAGTAGATCCACCCCATGGGTACAAGACCCAAACCCTGACCCACACATGGGCACAGCAGGGACCACCCCACGGGCACAGCACAGCCCCCCAGCCCAGGCACAACCTGGCCCACCCCCAGACCCGCTCCATGGGCACAACCAGATCCTGCCCTGGGCACAACTCAGCCCTCCACCCAACCTGCCCTTGGCACAGCCAAACCCTTTCCATGGGTGCAGCTGGCCCCACACCCTGGAATCATCCTGCCCCAAATCCAGTCCCACCCCACAGACACATCCAGCCTCACACTCCGTGTTTCCCGTGGAACCCCGAGCCTTTATTCCCGTGCCTGGAGCCCCCCTGGGGGCCAAGGCCCGGCTTAAATACGCGGTGGGGGCGGGGACTCCCCACCGCCCCTCCCTGGGGGGCCGACAAACCATCCCCCTCCTCTTCACAGGGGGAAGGGGGGCCCCCACCCCCCTGTGCAAGGGGCTGGCAGACCGAGGGGGGGGCCCCCTGCCCCCTGTCTGGGGGGGCTGATGGACAGGGGACCCCCCCAGGGCCCCCTACTTGGGGGGCCGATAGACCATCTTCCTGCTCTTGAGCACCGACCACTTGTGCCGCTTCATGTAGTACAGCAGGGGGATGAGCATCCCCGAGATCATCAGCATCTAGGGGGCAGCGGTCAGGGGGGGCACTGGGGAGCCCGGGGACCCCCTGACACCCCTGCCAGAGCCCCCCGACCCACCTTGAGCCCCATGCGCTTGCGGTGGTCGTGCTCGGGCTCGGCCGCCCAGCGCAGGAAGGTGCACACGTCCTTGGCGATCTGGGACATGGTGGCGGGGGTCCCTGAGGGCACGGGAGAGTCAGCACCCCACAGACCCGGGACTCCCCAGCCCCCTGAGCCCCCCGTACCGTCATCGAACTCGAGCACCTCGTCGTAGATGGCGGGCCATCCTGATGGCCTGGCCCGGGAAGTAGGGTTGTAGTGCAGCCCCTCCTCAGAGAGACCCCGCGGGGGGTCACAGTACCCCGTCAGCAGCGAGAACACGTAATCCTCCCCACCGTGCCTGCGGGGACGGGGGCACAGAGGAATGGGGGCAGTGAGGGAATGGGGGGCAGAGAGGAATGGGGGGCAGAGAGGGAATGGGGGGCAGAGAGGAATGGGGGCAGAGAGGAATGGGGGCAGTGCAGGAGCAGAGAGGTCAGTGTGGGAATGAGGGATCAGTGCGGGAAGGGGACAACAGGTTGGGAATGGAACAACAGGTTGGAAATGGGATCCCCTCTCCTCTCCCCTCCCCTCCATGGAGACCCCAAGCCCCACGTGCACCTGGAACCCCCCAAACCCCTAAGTCTCCCCAAACCCCTTGGGCACCCCCGAAGCCCGACCCCCTGACCGGGACCCCCCCACCTTCTGAGGGGATCCCCAACCCTGTGGCCCCAAAACCCTGGGGACCCCAACCCCCTAAGGACCTCCCAGACCTGGCACTGATGACGTAGCTAAGACTGGGAGGCAAGGCCTGCTGTGTGACCCCACCTCCGTCCCCAGTGACCCCAGGACCCCCAAAGCCCCCACCTGGCACTGACGATGTAGCTGAGGTCGGGGGCAGGGCCCTGTTGTGTGATCCCCCAGGACTCCTCCCAAAGCCCCCACCTGGCATTGACGATGTAGCTGAGGTCGGGGGCAGGGGCCTGCTGTGTGACTCCTCTATCCCCAGTGACCCCCATCCCCAGTGACCCCCCAGGACTCCCTCCCAAGCCCCCACCTGGCACTGACGATGTAGCTGAGGTCCGGGGCAGGACCCCATTGTGTGACTCCCTATCCCCAGTGACCCCCCCATCCCCAGTGACCGCCCCCCACCGTCCCCAGTGACCCCCAGGACCCCCCAAAGCCCTGACCTGGCATTGACGATGTAGCTGAGGTCGGGGGGCAGGGCCCCGTTGTTGGCCGCCCGGGCAGCCTCGGGGTTGGGGTAGGGCCGAGGGAAGTAGTCGGAGATCTTGCCAGGCCGCATGAACATCTCCCCGTTCTCGTCCGGCCCATCCTGCACCTCCACCTGGGCACGGGGACACAGCTGAGCCAGCCCACCAGGGCTGAGCAAGCCCACCGCGGCTCCAGGGGCAGCAGGGCTGGTACCAGGACCACGGGGACGGCACAACGGGGCACCGGGAATGGCAGTGAGGGGACACCGGGAATGGCAGCGAGGGGACACCGGGAACGGCAGCGAGGGGACACTGGGAACGGCAGCGAGGGGACATGGGACACCAGGATGGGGATATGGGACACTGGGACAGCAGGATGGGGACACTGGGAATGGCAGTGTGGGGACAGGGGACACCAGGATGGGGACATGGGACACAGAAATAACACTGTGGGGACAAGGGACACAGGAACGGCAGGGTGGGGAGACGGGACACTGGGATGGCAGCATGGGGACATGGGACACCAGGATGGGATACTGGGACACTGGGACAGCAGTGTGGGGACACTGGGAATGGCAGTGTGGGGACAAGGGACACTGGGATGGCAGGGTGGGGACATGGGACACCAGGATGGGGACATGGGACACTGGGACAGCAGTGTGGGGACACTGGAACGGCAGAGTGGGGACACGGGACACTGGGAATGGCAGGATGGGGACATGGGACACTAGGAATGGCAGTGTAAAGATATGGGACACTGGGAATGGCAGGATGGGGACATGGGACACTGGGAATAGCAGTGTGAGAACAGAGGACACTGGGAATGACAGGATGGGGCACAGGACACTGGGAATGGCAGTGTGGGGACACAGGACACTGGTGGGGATGGCAGGATGGTGGCAGGAGGACACCAGGAACGCCCAGAAAAGGGCAATGGGACATGAAGACAACGGCCCTGCAGGGGACAGCAGGACAGGAGGGATGGGGCACCAGGATGGTGGCACTGGGGACAGCAGGACAGCGGTGATGGGGCACCAGGATGGTGGCACTGGGGACAGTAGGACAGCGGTGCCGGGGTACCAGGGGTGGCCCACACGGGCTGTGGGACACCAGGCATGGCAGGGCAGTGGCACCAGGGCACAGGGACAGCAGAACGCTCAGTGGGACACCAGTCAGAGCAGGACAAGGCCACCAGGGATGGCAGGAGAGTGGCACCAGGACACTGGGGCAGTGGGACACTTGGCACGGCAGGAGAGGGCAGTGTGACCCCAGGGGGGGGACAGTGTGACCCCGGGGCGGACAGTGTGACCCCAGGGGGGGTCCTGTCCCCTAGGGGGGTCGGGGGTCTCACCTCCTCAGCCAGAGCCTTGGCCTCGGCCTCGGTGTGGGTGACCCCGATGAGGTTCCTGAAGGCCACGTACTCCAGGCTGTGACAGGCCGAGCACACCTGGCGGTACACCTGGAACCCCCTGCACAGGCTGGGGGCACAGGGGGGGTCAGAACACCCCCCAAAACACCCCCCCTACACCTGGAACCCCCTGCACAGGCTGGGGGGGCCACAGGGGGGGTCAGAACACTCCCCAAAACACCCCCAAAACACCCCCCCTACACCTGGAACCCCCTGCGCAGGCTGGGGGCACAGGGGGGGTCAGAACACCCCCAAAACACCCCCCCTACACCTGAAACCCCCTGCACAGGCTGGGGGCACAGGGGGGGTCAGAACACCCCCAAACACCCCCAAAACATCCCCCTACACCTGGAACCCCTGCGCAGGCTGGGGGCACAGGGGGGGTCAGAACACCCCCCAAAACACCCCCCAGAACACCCCCCCTACACCTGGAACCCCCTGCACACACCATGGGGACAGGGGGGCTCAGGGACCCCCAAACCCCCCCAGAACACCTGGTGGGGTGCCTGGAACCCCCTCCAGCCACTGCAGAGCAGGTTCGGGACTTGGGGGGGGGGGGCTGGAAGCTGCAGCCCCCCAGGAACACTCCAGAGACCCCCAGGCCCGCCCCCCATACCCGGCGTGGTCCAGGGCCTGCAGGACCCCGTGCCCCCAGGACCCCCCTGCCCCCATACCTGGCGTGGTCCAGGGCCTGCAGGACCCCGTGCCCCCCAGAACCCCCTCCGTGCCCCCATACCTGGCGTGGTCCAGGGCCTGCAGGGGCCCCCCGTGGCTCCAGGGGAAGGCCGGGGGTGCAGCCCAGCTCCCCGCACTGAGGGGCCCCCCAGCGACAGGGCCAGGGTCAGGGACCCCCGCTGCTGCTGCCAGGACCCCCAGAGCAGCCAGAGCCCGCCGGGAACGGCCCCCGGAGCCGGGGGGGGCGGAGGACACGGACACCTGGGGGACACGGGGGTCAGGGGACACGGGGTCAGGGGGACACGGGGGTCAGGAGGACACGGGGACACCTGGGGGGACACGGGGTCAGGGGCACAGGGACAGCGGGGGCACCGAGAGGGCACTGAGGGGACGCCGGGCGGGGAGGGCACCGGGAGTTCGGAACAGGGAAGAGTGGGCAGGGCTGGAGCGAACCCGCCGGGCACGGGCGGGACAGCGGGCAAGGGACCCCGGGCAGGGGCACCGGGACACGAGACGGGGGAGAACCGCGCAAAGATGGGCGACACTGCGGGCCGGAGACAGCACGGGGAGGGACCGGGGACCGGAGGGGGGCTGGGAACACCGGGCGGGGCTGGGGACACCGGGAAAGAACCGGTGGCACCGGGGAGGGACCGGGGACCCGGAGTGGGCCTGGGAACACCGGGGACGAACCGGGGGCACTGGGTGGGGCTGAGGACATCGACATCAAGGAGGGACCGGGGACACCGGGCGGGGCTGGGGACACCGGGAAAGAACCGGGGACACCGGGAGAGACCGGGGAGGGACCGGGGACCCGGAGTGGGGCTGGGGACACCGGGAAAGAACCGGGGACACCGAGGAGGGACTGGGGACACCGGGCGGGGCTGGAGGACACCGGGGAGGGCGGGAAGGGAAGCAGAAGCCCCGCGGAGCAAAGCGGGACCCCCGGGCGGACCCGAGGGGGGGGTCCCCGCGGTCCCTGAGGGGGGGGCTCCCCCTCCCCGCCCCCGTGACCTTCCCGCAGCGCCCGGCGCGGGGGGCACTCACGGCGCTCGGGACGGCGGCGGGGCGGCCCCGCGGCAGCAGCAGCGGCGGGCGGGGGGTCGGGCCCGGCGCCCGGAGCCGCCGCAGCCCCGGCAGGCCCCGCAGGCCCCGCAGCGCCGCCATCGCCGAGGTCGAGGGGACGCGCCGCACCGACCGGAACTGACGTAACGAGGAGTGACGTCACGGGAGACACGTGACACGCAGGGAATCTCTGTTTATTGCGGCGCCCCCTGGCGGGCCGGAGGACCGAGACAGACGCCCAACGAGGGCCACGCCCCCTCCGCAGGCCCCGCCCCCCCGGGGGGTCCCAACAGAGTCCCCCAAGCACCGGTCTGGGGTCCCGGCCCTGGAGGGGATCGGGGACGTCACCCCAGGAAACCCCGCCCCCCCACGGGGTCCCAACAGACCCCCCCAAACCCCCGGTTTGGGGTCCTGGTCCCAGGAGAGGAAGGGGCAGGGATGTCACCCCGGGAGTGCCTCCCAGGGGTCCCATCAGACACCCTGAACCCCCAGTCTGGGTGGGCACAGGGGTGTCCTCACCCCAGTCAGGGGTCCCAAGAAACTCCCCTGCACCCTCAGTTTGGGGTCTTCAACCAAGGGATTAACAGGGGTGTCCTTAACCCCCTGAGGGTCCCGACACAGCCCCAAAGCCTCAGCTGGGGCTCTCAGTCCTGGGGGGGCTGGAACAGCCCTGACCCCTCAGCGGTGCCATCACACCCCCAAACCTCCAGTTTGGGGTCCCAGCCTTGGTAGGGGCACAGGGTTGTCCTCAATGCCCTGGGGGTTCCAACAGACCCCCCCAAACCCCCCATTTTGGGGTCCCGGTGCCAAAGGGATGAAGGGATGTGCCCACGCCCCAGGGGTCCCAACTGACCCCCCCAAGCCCCCCAGCCTGGGGCTGGGCTGGGGTCTCAGCTGTGGGGGGAGCACAGGGACATCACTCCAGGCAGCACCTCGGGGGTTGGGGGGGATCTGGGGGTCCTTAGGGGGGCTGCAGGGTTTGGGGTCTGTCAGGGGTCTGTCCATGGGGCTGTCCAGAGGTGTCTCCGTTTGGGGTCCCACTGTGGGTCTGTCCATGTGTCCGTGGGTCTGTCCATCCATCCCTGGGTCTGTCTGTGTGTCCGTGGGTCTGTCCATCCATCCGTGGGTCTGTCCATGTGTCCGTGGGTCTGTCCATCCATCCCTGGGTCTGTCTGTGTGTCCGTGGGTCTGTCCATCCATCCGTGGGTCTGTCCCTGTGTCCATGGGTCTGTCGGTGTGTCCGTGGGTCTGTCCATCCTTCCGTGGGTCTGTCCATGTGTCTGTGGGTCTGTCCATCCATCCCTGGGTCTGTCCATGTGTCCGTGGGTCTGTCCATCCATCCCTGGGTCTGTCCATGTGTCCGTGGGTCTGTCCATCCATTTGTGGGTCTGTCCATCCATCCGTGGGTCTGTCCATCCATTTGTGGGTCTGTCCATGTGTCCGTGGGTCTGTCCCTGTGTCCGTGGGTCTGTCTGTCCGTGTGTCCATACATCCATGCATGGATCTGTCCTTGTGTCCACCCCGCGCCCCTCACTTCCAGAAGAGCACGTTCCAGAGCAGCAGCCAGCAGGGATAGGCCCCCAGGGCGAGCAGGGGGCTCAGGAAGGCCCCGTGCAGGTGGTCCTGCAGCAGCCCCTGGCCCAGGACCCCCAGGAAGCGCTGCCAGGCCTCCCCCAGCCCCGCCGGCGCCTCCAGCAGCTCCCGCTCCAGCAGCACCGCCAGGAACAGGGACACCCCCGGCGACGTCAGCACCAGCAGCACGGCCTGGGGCAGCCTGCAATGAGGGGAGGGGGGTCAGGGACCAACCAGGGACCACCCAGGGCACCCAGAGATCACCCAGAGCCCCCCAGGAACATGGACACCCCCAGCGACGTCAGCACCAGCAGCACGGCCTGGGGCAGCCTGCAATGAGGGGAGGGGGGTCAGGGACCACCCAGAGACCACCCAAGGACACCCAGAGACCCTCAGGGCACCCAGAGCCCCCCAGGAACATGGACACCCCCAGCGACGTCAGCACCAGCAGCACGGCCTGGGGCAGCCTGCAATGAGGGGAGGGGGGTCAGAGACCACCCAGGGACCACCCAGAGACCCCAGGAACAGGGACACCCCCGGGGACGCCAGCACCAGCAGCACGGCCTAGGGTAGCCTGAAACTCATTGGGGGGGTCAGGGACCACCCAGGGACCACCCAGGGACCTCCAGGGCACCCAGAGCCCCCCAGGAACAGGGACACCCCTGGGGATGCCAGCACCAGCAGCACGGCCTGGGGCAGCCTGCACTGAGGGGAGGGGGGTTCAGTCAGGGACCACCCAGGGACACCAAGAGCTCCCCACGTCCCCACACACAGGGGGAGACCCCAGGCCCCTCCCCTGTGCCCCCCCCTCACCTGTGCCCCGAGGGCGTGACGGCGGCCGCGGGGGGCACGAGGGTGACCCCCAGCAGGAAGCCCAGGGAGAAGTTGAGCAGGGCCAGGCAGGTGAGCAGCAGGGCCAGGGCCAGCAGGGCCAGCAGCTTGAGGGACATCCAGCCCCGCTGGCCCCCCCCGGACAGGGCTCTGGGGGCAACAAACGGGGGCTCAGAGCCCTGAGAGACCCCCCCCCACCATGCCAGGGACAGCCCCCCGTGCCACCCAGGGCACCCCCAGCGGCTTGAGGGACATGCAGACCCCCCAGAGCCTCCCCAGGGCTCCCCAAACCCCCTGTGCCAGTGGGTGCTGGGGGCAGGATCAGCCTGGACCCTTCAGGGACCCCCAAACCCCTCGTACCGGTGTGTGCAGTGGGGCAGGGCCATCCCAGATCCCACCAGGACTCCACAAACACCCCATATGGTGTGTGCAGTGGGGCAGGGTCATCCCAGATCCCCCCAGGACCCCCATACCGGTGTGTGCAGTGGGGCAGGGCCATCCCAGATCCCCCCAGGACCCCACAAACACCCCATACGTGTGCGTAGAGCGGGGTAGGGCCATTCCAGCCCCTCCCAGCCCCCCTTAGGGACCCCCAAACCCCCGTACCGGTGCATGGAGTGGGGCAGAGCCATCCCAGATCCCCCCAGGACCCCACAAACACCCCATATGTGAGCGTGGAGCGGGGCAGGGCCATTCCAGCCCCTCCCAGACCCCCTTAGGGACCTCCAGGACGCCCGTACTGGTGTGTGGAGTGGGGCAGAGCCATCCCAGACCCCCCCAGGACCCCACAAACCCCCCGTACCGGTGCGTGGAGTGGGGCAGGGCCATCCCAGCCACGTAGATGCCGATCAGGGCCAGCACCACGGCCTCGGCCTCGCCCACGGGGAAGTGCTGGGTGGCCACGCGCTGCCCCCGCACCGGCAGCAGGTACAGGGCGGCCCCCGCGCCCCCCGACACCGCCACGGGGGGCACCAGCGACAGCAGCCCCCCCCGTGCCTGGGGGACACGGGGTCAGGAGGGGGGCACTGCGGTGACAGCGGGGCACTGGGGAGGAGGGGCACTGGGGGTCGGGGAGGGGGTCCCAGGGGTGAGAACAGGGGTCCCAGGGGTTGGGAGGGGGTCCCAGGGGTGAGAACAGGGGTCCCAGGGGTGAGAACAGGGGTCCCAGGAGCCGGTGTGGGGGGGCCCTGGGAACGAGCTTGAGGGTCCCAAGGGTCAGGACAGGGGGCTCTGGGTCGGGGTGGGGCACAGGGACGAGGAGGGGATTCCAGGGGTCAGGGTGGAGGAGGCCCTGGGGACGAGGATGGGGGTCCCAATGGCAGGGTGGGAAGCTCTGGGGTGAGATCAGGGGTCCCAGGGGTGAGAACAGGGGGTCTCAGGAGTTGGGGGGGAGATGCCCTGGGGATGAGGTTGGGGGTCCCAGGGGTCAGGGCAGGGGGTCCCATAGGGGATGGGGGGTCCCATAGGGGATGGGGGGTCCCAGGGGTCAGGATGAGGGTCTCAGGGGAGTTTGGGGTCTCCTCACCTCCCCGGGGGGGGGTTCCCCTCCCCTCAGCCCCTCCCTCGCTCCGGCTCAGCCGCATCCACAGGTCCAGGGCGTGGGGGGGAGTCAAGGAAAGGGCCGGGACATTGGACACCCCCAGACCCCCCTTTGGACCCCCAACTTACCCCCTTCTCGTCCCCCAGTTGCCCCCTTGCCTCAACCCCACCCCCATCCCCAGCTCCCAAATCCCCCAATTCCCTCTTTTCCCCTCAGTTCTCCCTTCCTGGCCCCCAAACCCCCCTTTCCCCCCCCAGTTCCCCCTTCTCCCTTCCCAACCCTCCCCAATTCCCCCAGTCCCCCTCTTTTCCCCTCAGTTCCTTCCCCAGGACCCCTCCCCAGGATATCCTGAGCCCCAAGGCCAGCCTGTAGGACCCCCCAGAACCCCTCAGGACCCTCCCCAGGATATCCTGAGCCCCAGGGCCGGCCTGTAGGAACCCCCAGGACCCCTCCCCAGGATATCCTAAGCACCAGCACGAGCAGGATGAGGCCCCCAGGACCCCCCTCCCAGGATATCCTGAGCACCAGCACGAGCAGGATGAGCTCCCCAGGACCCCCCAGAACCCCCCCAGGACACTCCCCAGGATATCCTGAGCCCCAGGGCCGGCCTGTAGGACCCCTCAGAACCCCCCCCGGATATCCTGAGCACCAGTACGAGCAGGATGAGCTCCCCAGGACCCCCCAGGACCTCCCCCAGGATATCCCGAGCCCCAGTACGAGCAGGATGAGCCCCCCAGGCCCCTCCCCAGGATATCCTGAGCACCAGCACGAGCAGGATGAGCCCCAGGGCGGGCACGTAGGATCCCCAGGACCCCCAGGACCTCCCCAGGATATCCTGAGCCCCAGTACGAGCAGGATGAGCCCCCAGACCCCCAGGACCCCCCCAGGATATCCTGAGCACCAGCACGAGCAGGATGAGCCCCCCAGGACCCCCCCAGGATATCCTGAGCACCAGCACGAGCAGGATGAGCCCCAGGGCGGGCATGTAGGAGCCGATGGAGACGAAGCGGGCCAGGGAGGGCAGCAGGTACAGGAAGTAGGACTGGTGCAGCCGCTCCAGAAGGTTGTTCAGCTTCCGGAACATTCCCTCCAGGGTCCTGCCAACGGCACCAGTGGGGGGGGGTCAGGGGAGACACCCCAGCATCCCCCACCCCAGGGAAAGAGCCCTGGGAACCCCCTGTCCCGGGGAGAGACCCCCCCAGTGTCCCCCCAGCCCAGGGAGGAACCCAGAGCTGCTCCAGGACGTTGTTCAGCTTCTGGAACGTTCCCTGTGGGGTCCTGGGAATGGGGCAGAGAGACCCCTGCAGTGCCCATCTTGGGGAGAGACCCCCCCCAGGCATCCCCCAGGACCACCCAAGCCCCCCAGGACCCCAGAGCCTCCTGCCCGGTGCAGTCAGGTCAGGCTTGGGCTGCCCCTCCAGACTCCCAGGATCTGCAGGGACTCCCCCTGGAGACACCCTCGGGACCCTCCCAGAGCCCCCCCAAGGTCTCCAGGACCCCCAGACACCCACAGGACCCCCAGGCCCCCAGCCCACCTGCCCAGCGCCCCAGGTCGAACTTGTGCTGCCTGAAGCTGTTGATCCCACGAGGTCAGGGACACCCTAAGACCCCCCAGAGCCCCCAGGACCCCCAGGCCCCCAGACCCCCCAGCCCACCTGCCCAGCGCCCCCAGGTCGAACTTGTGCTGCCTGAAGCTGTTGATCCCACAGGGTCAGGGACACCCCAAGACCCCACCCCCAGACCCCCCAGACCCCCCCAGCCCACCTGCCCAGCGCCCCCAGGTCGAACTTGTGCTGCCTGAAGCTGTTGATCCCGCGCAGGTCAGGGCCTCCACTGGAAGCGCAGGAAGAGCCCGTGGGCCCCCAGGCCTCCCAGCCTGGCCCAGCACCATCAGCCCCAGGGTCTGCAGGCTCTGCCCGTACCCCGGCCCTGAGGGACCCTCCGGGGGCAGCTGGGAGACACAGCAGAGAGGGAAGGGGGGTCACCCGGCAGCCCCCACCCTGGGGAGGGACAGCACAGGGACCCCCACCCCAGGGAGAGACCCCCCACAACCCCAAACCCCAAGGAGAGGACCTCCATCATAACCATGAGAGACACTCCATCACAACCCCCCACCCCAAGGAGAGACTCCCCAGTATCCCTCTGTCCTTGGGAGCCCCCAGCACCCCCTGGCCCAGGGATACCCCTCAGTGTCCCCCCACCCCAAAGGGAGCCCCCGGTGTCCCCCAGTACTCCTCACCCCAAAGGGAGCCCCCGGTGTCCCCCCAGTAGCCCCCACCCCTGCAGAGGCATTCCCAGCGTCACCCCAAGGGACCCCCTCTGCTCCCCCCACAACCCCAGAGTGCCCTCGAGCCCCAGGGGAACCTCCAGCCCTCCCAGAAGGACCCCCTGATTCCCCTGTGCCCTCCCAGCGCCCCCAACGCCTCCCCTTACCCTGCAGGGTGCAGAGCAGCCCCTTTTTGTGGCAGAAGGCTCCCCCAGCACCCCAACGCCCCAGAGAGGGTCCCCCCGGCCCCCCCCAGGTCCCACCTTGCCCTGCAGGGTGCAGAGCAGCCCGTTCTTCTGGCAGAAGGAGTGGAAGAGGTTGAGCAGGTCCAGGTTGGGCAGCTGCCCGTTCAGCCCCTCCACGGCCACGTCCACGCTGGTCACCACGTCCGTGCTCAGCTCCAGGGCCACCGCGGCCTGGATGGCCCCTGCCCGGCCCGGGGTGCCCCCCGACTGCACAGCTGGGGGGGAGACCCCCATCACAGCCCCCACAGCGCCCACGGGACCCCCACGGGACCCCCCGGACACAGAACCCCTGAGGGACCCCCGTGTCCCTGCTGAACTCCAGCCACAGCCCCCTGGATGGCTCCTGTCCCCTCCCAGTGCTCCCAGTGCCACTAGTCAGGGTCACATCGTGGTCCCCTCACCCTCCCAGTGCCTCCCAGTGTCACCAGTCAGGGTCACATCGTGGTACCCTCACCCTCCCAGTGCTCCCAGTGCTTCCAGTGCCACCAGTCAGGGTCACATCATGGTGCCCCCTCACCCTCCCAGTGCTCCCAGTCTCACCAGCCAGGGTCACATCATGGTACCCTCACCCTCCCAGTCCCTCCCAGTGCTCCCAGTCTCACCAGTCAGGTTCACATCGTGGTACCCTCACCCTCCCAGTCTCACCAGTCAGGTTCACATCGTGGTACCCTCACCCTCCCAGTCCCTCCCACTACTCCCAGTCCCTCCCAGTGCTCCCAGTCTCACCAGTCAGGTTCACATCGTGGTACCCTCACCCTCCCAGTCTCACCAGTCAGGTCTCACATCGTGGTACCTCACCCTCCCAGTCCCTCCCACTACTCCCAGTCCCTCCCAGTGCTCTCAGTCTCACCAGTCAGGTTCACATCGTGGTAGGCCTCCAGCCAGGCCTCGGTGCCCACCAGGTCGTGCTCAGTCACCAGGAAAATGATGTCCTTGGCCCAGTAGATCTGGCCTGGGGGCAACTGGGCTGCTGAGCTTGTACTGGGACAGCCCCAGTGCAGCCCAGCCCAGTCCCAGCCCAGTCTCTGCCCAGTGCTGGCCCCCCCAGAACCCCAGGGTCCCCCAGGTGCCCTCCACTCCCAGCCCTCACATTCCCCCTGGGCAGGGACCACCAGGGCACAGGGACCCCTCAGCTCCTCAGGGACCCCCAGGGTGCCCCCCAGGCCCTGGTGCCCCCCAGCATTCCCAGGGATCCCCCAGCATTCCCAGGAATCCCCCAACTCCCCAGGACCCCAGCTCCCCAGGATGCCCTCAGCCCTGGTGACCCCCAGCATTCCCAGGGACCCCCCAGCTCCCCCAGGGACCTCCCAGCATTCCCAGGGATCCCCCAGCATTCCCAGGGGCTCAAAGCATCCCAGGGGATCTCTGTCCCTCAGGTGCCCCCAGGGACCCCCATGCCCCCGGGTGCCCCGTGCCCACCTCTGAAGTACCCAGCCAGGGCGAGCAGCAGCCCCACGGCCTGGTTGTTCTTGGTGCCCTCGGGAGGGCACTGAGCAGCACCAGGCCTCGGTGCTGGCGGCGCGGGCGCGCAGGATCCTGTACACGTTGGTGCCCCGCACCAGCTGAGGGCACAGGGGTCAGGGGGCAGCCTCGAGGACACCCTGGCCCGGGGACTCCCAGCACCCCAGGGACCCCCGGCCCTCAGCTGGCTCCCCTCGCTGCAGACGCCTCCCAGCCCCTCAGGTGTCCCCTCAGCCCCAGGTACCCCCAGTCCCCGACCAGCACGGCCCCATCACCCCAGGGACCCCATCACCCCAGGAGACCCCATCACCCCAGGGACCCCAGCCCCAGGGGACCCCCGTGCCAGGTGATCACCAGCCCCTCAGAGAACCCCCAGCACGGCCAAGGAACCCCATCACCTCAGGGCCTCCCACGCTGCAGGGACTCCCCATCAGCTCAGGGCCCCCCATCAGCTCAGGAGCCCCCCCAGGTGCCCCCCAGGTGCCCCCACTGACGTATCTCTCGTGAGCCTCGTCGGGGAAGGGCAGAGTCCTGGAGAAGGGCTGCCGGTGCACCTCCAGCCCCAGCGACCACATCGTCTGCTCCAGCCACGCCACCGGCAGCCCCCTGCCCGGGGGGGACACACTGAGGTCAGGGACAGGCCTGGGACAGCCCCAGGGACAGCCCTCCAACCCCCAGGGACACCCCCAACCCCCAGGGACACCCCCAACCCCCAGGGACAGCCCCCAACCCCCAGGACACCTCCAACTCCCAGGGACAGCCCAACCCCAGGGACAGCCTCCCAACCCCCAGGGACAGCCTCCCAACCCCCAGGGACAGCCCAAACCCCAGGGACATCCCAAACCCCCAGGGACAGCCCTCAACCCCCAGGGACAGCCCCCAACCCCCAGGGACAGCCTCAACCCCTAGGGACAGCCCAAACCCCAGGGACAGCCCTAACCCCCAGGGACAGCCCAAACCCCAGGGACAGCCCCCAACCCCCAGGGACAGCCTCAACGCCCAGGACACCCCCAACCCCCAGGGACAGCCTCCCAACCCCAAGGACAGCCCCTGCCTGGGGGACACTCTGCACTCAGGGACAGCCCCAGGGACAGCCCCCAATCCCCAGGACACCCCCAACCCCAGAGACACCCCCAAGCCCCAGGGACACCCCCAATCCCCAGGACAGCCCCAACCCCAGGGACAGCCCCAACCCCAGGGACAGCCTCCTGCCTGGGGAGACACACTGGGGTCAGGGACAGGCCTGGGACAGCCCCAGGGACAGCCCTCCAACCCCCAGGGACACCCCCAACCCCCAGGGACAGCCCCCAACCCCCAGGACAGCCCCCAACCCCCAGGGACAGCCCCTGCCCGGGGGTCACATCATGGTACCCTCACCCTGGGGTCCAGAGCCTCCTGAGGGCACCCGGAGGGCAGCGGGAGATGGGGAGGTGGGCAAGGGGGCAGTGGGGAAGGGCTCAGGAGAGCAGGAAAGGGCTGGGGGTGGTCTACAGTCGTTCCCCCCAGATCCCCAAGCACAGCCCCTCATGGAGCCCCCGGTCCCCTCTCACCTTTCCTCCTGTGCCCCTGGTGCGGGTGCAGCCCCAGCCCCCTGCTCTCCTCCTGTGCCCCGAGTCGCGGGGCCAGCCCCCATTCCCCGCCACCCCGCCTCTGCGGTGCCCCCGAGTCGCGGGCGAGCCCCCAGCCCTCCCATCCCCCGCTCACCCCGCTCTCTTGCGGTGCCCCCGAAGTCGCGGCGAGCCCCCAGCCCTCCCATCCCCCGCCACCCCGCTCTCTTGCGGTGCCCCGAAGTCGCGGGCGAGCGCCAGGCGCGGCGGCCAGGTCGGAGCCCTCCTCCACCATGGTGGAGCCCATGGCGTTCTCCGACAGGTACGTGCAGGGGGCCAGGGGGCAGCAGCAAGAACCAGCACAGCCCCCAGGTAGCTCAGCACACTGCGGGGGACACAGAGGGTCACGGGGGATCCTGAGACCTCCTGAGCCCCCAAACCTCCCCAGACACCCCAGAGCTCCTGAGCTCTCAAACCCCGACAGGTCCACGGGAGGGCCAGGAACAGCACCCCCAGGTAGCTCAGCACACTGCGGGCGGGAGATAGAGGGTCGGGGATTCCAAACCCCCGAGCCCCAAACCTCCCAGACACCCCAAAACATCCCCGAGCTCCCAGCCCCCACGCGGCTCAGCACACCGCGGGGAGCCCTCAAAACTCCTCCGGCCCCACCTCAGGCTCGCCAGAGCGGGAGGCACCCCAGGCCCCCAAAGCCCTCCCAGCCTCCCCGAAGCCCCCGCTCACCAGAGGGGCGTGTTGAGACCCCAGGCCCCCAAAGCCCTCCCAGCCTCCCGAAGCCCCCCACTCACCAGAGGGGCGTGTTGAGCCCTGCCCCTCCCAAAGCCCTCCCAGCCCTCCCGAAGCCCCCTGCTCACCAGAGGGGCGTGTTGAAGCCCCTGCCCCTCCCAAAGCCCCCCGCTCACCAGAGGGGCGTGTTGAGCCCCTGGGCCCCCAAAGCCCTCCCAGCCCCTCCCGAAGCCCCCACTCACCAGAGGGGCGTGTTGAGCCGCAGCACTAGCCAGGCCAGGGCCCGCCGGCACTGGGGTCCGACAGCAGCCCCATGGGGGGTCTGAGAGGCTTCGGGGGCCTGGAGGGGGACAGGGGTCCACTGGCATGAGGGGGAACGGGGTGCGCATCTCCCGGCCCGCGATGCTCCCGCCCCGCCGCCACAGCCCCTGCAGCCCCCTCCCACCCCACTCAGGAACCCCCTGACCGCTCCCTGGACCCCACAAGCCCCCTCCTTCCCCACCCCTGGCCCAGTACCCACCCCACAGAGCCCCCTCACCCACAGAGCCTCCTTCCCTACACACCCTGGCCCAGTACACCCACAGAGCCCCCTCCCTTCCCTACACACCCCTGGCCCAGTACCCACCCCACGGAACCCCTCCCCACCCCCAAGAGCCCCCTCCCTTCCCTACACCCCTCAGAGCCCCCTCCCCCACACACCCTGGCCCAGTACCCACCACAGAGCCCCTCCCCACCCCACAGAGCCTCCTTCCCCACACCCCTGGCCCAGTACCGACCCCAGAGCCCCCTCCACCACAGCGCCCCCGAGGCCCAGGCCTTGCCCCACCACCCCATGGCCTTATCCCACGTTTCCCCCGCACCCCACGGGCCCACACTGGCCCGTCCCTGCTCCCCGGCCCGTCTCTGACACCCCAAACCCCGCCAGGACCCCCAAAACCCCAAAATCCCCCCAAAACCCCCCAAAATCCCCCCAACCTGGGGGAGCGCGGCCCGGCCAGGCCGCTCAATCGCTGCCGGAGCAACGGCACAGGGCGGGGGGCGGAGCGCGGAGACATCGATCGAGCGAGCGGCACCGCCCCGCGTCCGCAGGGGGCGCCAGGGAGCGGGGCGGGGCAAAGGGAAAGGGGCGTGGCAAAGAGAAAGGGGCGGGGCAAAGGGAAAGGGGTGTGGTAAAGAGAAAGGGGCGGGGCAAATGCAGTAATAGGGGCAGAAAGGATTTGGGGTGGCGAAGCAGAGTTTAAACGGGGGAACAAAGGGGAAATGTGAGGGAGGTCAAGGGAGGGATAATGGGGGTAGGAGGGGGATAAAGAGAGGGTAAGGTCCCACAAAGGGGTGGGACAGAGGACATGACATGCACTCACATGTGACACACACCAGAGTTTATTGCCACAGTGACAGCGCCCTCGGCCCCCCTGCCCCCATCAGCCACTCGGCCAGGGTGGGGTCCTGCTGCCAGAGCCAGGGGTCAGTTGGTCACACCGTGTCCCCAGGGGTCAGTTGGTCACACTGTGTCCCCAGGGGTCAGTTGGCAGCACGGGGTCCTTGTACTTGTGTCCACGGGGTCAGTTGGCCATGGCAGTGTCCCAGGGGTCAGTCGGTCACTGTGATGTCCCCAGGGGTCAGTCAGCCACGGCACTGCGCTGTTGCCCATGTGCCCCCACTGCTGGTGTCCCTGCTGGTCACTCTGCCACGGCGATGTCCCCAGGGCTGGCCACTGCCAAGGTGGTGTTGCAGGGTCGGTCACTCATCCCTGGTGGTGTCCCCAGAGTCAATCACTCATCCCTGGTGTTGTCCCCAGGGTTGGTCACTCATCCCTGGTGGTGTCCCAGTGTCCTGGGGGTGTCCCTGGGGTCAGTCACGCAGCCACAGCGCTGTCCTGGCGGTGTCCCCACGTGTCCCTGGGCGCTGGTCACTCTGCCAGGGCCGTGTCCCTCCTCAGCCTGTCCCTGACCACGGTGTCCAGCACGGCGTGGAGCCCCTGGCAGGCGTGCTGGGCCATGTCCAGCACGGGCTGGAGCCGCTCCTGGTGCAGGCAGGCGCTCAGCTGGCACAGGGCCAGGTGGCCCGAGGCGGGCAGCGTGGCCACCACGAGCCTCGGCCCCCCGGCCGCCTCCTCGGCCGCGCTCAGGTCGGCCAGGGCCAGGGGGGGCCCCGCGGGGGGCTCGGCCAGCCCGGCGGACCCGGCCACCACCGCCCCCCGCATGGGCACCCCCGCGTCCAGCAGCGCCAGCCCCGCCGCGCTCACGCTGGCACCCAGCTCGCCCCCGTCCGCCTGCAGCACCTGGGGAGGAAAACAGGGGTCAGGGCACCCCAAAACACACCCAGACACACCCCTGGCTCGCCCTCGTCCGCCTACAGCACCTGGGGAGGGAAACAGAGTCAGGGCATCCCAAAACACACCCCCAGCTCACCCCCGTCCGCCTGCAGCACCTGGGGAGAGAAACAGGGTCAGGGCACCCCAAAACACACCCAGAAACACACCCAGACACACCCCCAGCTCGCCCCTGTCCGCCTGCAGCACCTGGGGAGGGAAACGGGGTCAGGGCACCCCAAAACACACCCAGATGCACCCCAGCTCACCCCCGTCTGCCTGCAGCACCTGGGGAGGGAAACAGGGTCAGGGCACCCCAAAACACACCCAGACATATCCCCCAGCTCTCCTGCAGCACCTGGGCAGGGGGAAACGGGCTCAGGGCACCCATAAAAACACAGCCAGAGCCTGAGGGACCATCGGGATCTAACGGGACCAACACAGACCCTGAGGGACCCCCAGGATCTACTGAAAACCCTCCCAGGGCCCGAGAGACCCCAAGGACCTCCCAGGGCTCCCCCTACAACAGCCCTGGGACCCCCCCGGGGTCTCGTCCTGGCACCTGAAGCCTCACAGTCTCCCCACTGGGACCCTCCCCCAGAACCCCTCACCCCCAGAGTCTCCTCCTAGGACCCCCCAACATGTTCCCCATTGGGACCCCCACAGGACATTCCGAACCCCTGACCTGTCCCCAGCCCCTCCCCCAGAGCCCCCGGCCGCACCTGGACGTGCACGTCGATCTGGGAGCGGGGGTACAGGTGGGTGAGCACGGCCCCCTCCAGGACCCCCCTGAGCAGCAGCGCCCGCTCCCCCGACCTGCGGTCCCCCTGGGGGGGTCTCCGGCGCCGCTCCCCGCCCCCCGCGAACGGCGCCGAGCTGCAGCGGCAGCTCAGCAGGGCACGGTCAGGGGGGGCCTTGGCCCGGGACCCTCGGACCTGGGGGGGCAGAAACGGGGGGTCAGAGAGCTGGGGGCATTTTGGGACCCTAGAGTTTGGAGGGGGCAGAAAGGGGGTCAGAGAGCGGGGGCATTTTGGGACCCCAGAGTTGGGAGGGACAGAAACAGGGGGTTAGAGAGTGGGGGCATTTTGGGACCCCAAAGTTGGGAGGGGGCAGAAAGGGGGTCAGGGGGGGCACATTGGAACCCCAGAGCTGGGAGGGGACAGAAACGGGGGGTCAGAGAGTTGGGGGGCCATATCGGGACCCCAAAGCTGGGGGTCACCATTCCCGAGGGCAGAGGGGGTGGAGGGTCAGGGAGGATGCGGGGGCATCGGAAAGGCCCCGGGGGGGCTCTCAGTGCCCCGAGGGATCGGGGACACGCGTGGGGGGTCCCGCAGCGCCGGGGGGGTCCCGCTCACCTCGTGCGGGCCGTACACGGCCGCCAGGACCTTGGTGTTGCCCTGCTCCAGGTAGGCCGAGCCGTCCGCCCGCGCCAGCACCCCCAGCCGGGCCCGCACCTTGCGCAGCTCGTCCGGGCGGCGCCCGTCGGCCCGAAAGCCCGCGTCCGACACCAGCTCCAGCCCCGCCATACCGGCAGCGATCCTGGGCCGATCCCGGGGCCGATCCCGGACCGATCCCACGTGGGCCCGGACCACAACTCCCGGCGTGCCCCGCGCGCCGCCCGCCAACGGGCGGCCACGCCCCCAGTGGCGCAATTCCCGCAGAGGCCACGCCCCTCTAGCTGAGACCACGCCCTCTCCAGCAGAGACCACGCCTCCATCCATGCCACGCCCCCTTCACATGCCCCGCCCATCCCCAGGCCCCGCCCCCTGTGCCGGTGGCGGCGGCCCCGGTCGGGACCGGAGCGGCCGCAGCGCCCCCTGGCGGCCGGGACGGCCCGGAGCGGCCCGGGGCGGGCACGGCCGCCCCTCCGCCCCCCCGCCCCTCGGGATCGCCACCGGCACCCACCGGGCCGCTCCGACCCCGCGCCATGGCGGCCCCGGCCCCCGGCGGGTTCCAGTTCGCCATCGACCGCGGCGGGACCTTCACGGACGTGTTCGCCCGCTGCCCCGGCGGCCGCGTCCGCGTCCTCAAGCTGCTCTCCGAGGACCCCGCGTACCGGGACGCGCCCACCGAGGGCATCCGCCGCGTCCTGCAGGAGGTGCGACCCCCGGACACCCCGCGGGAACTCGCCAGGACCCCCGGGCACCCCGCGGGAACTCACCGGGACCCCCGGGCACCCCTCGGGAACCTGCGGGGACCACGGGGAATCCCGGGACACCCCGCGGGAGCCCTGGGGACACCCCACGGCAACCCCGAGCCCCCACCACGGGAACCCTCTGGGAACTCACCCGGGCTTCCCGGGACCCCATGGGAACCCGCCGGGACCACTGGGACCCCCGGGAACCCCGGGACGCACCCCGACAACCTCCCGGGACCACCGGGGCACCCAAGACCCCCGCCACGGGAACCCTGCGACCCCCCACGGGAATCCTCGGGTCACCCCTGGGAGGACCCACCGGGATCTCTGGGAGCCCCGGGACACCCGGGTCACCCCCACGGGAACCTGCGGGACCCCCGGAACACCCCCCCCGAGTGCCCCTCCAGGGAAGCCCCCAGGACACTCCCCAGACCCCCGGGAACCTCCCGGTTCCTCCCATAAAGCCCCTCCCCAGGGACTCCTGTGGGAAAGCCCCCGGGAACCCCCCCAGACCCCCTGAGATGACCTCCCCAGGACCCTCCTGGGACCCCCCGGGACCCCTTCAGCACCTCCTGAATCCCCCCAGGACTCCCGATCTCCTCCTGTGGCCCCTCCCCACTGGGACCCCCTGGGACCCCCTCCAGACCCACCCTGGGACCCCTCCAGATCCCCCCACCAAGACCCTTCCCCCACCAAATCTCCTCCTGGGACCCCCTACCCCATTGGTCCTTTTGGGACCCTCTGGGACACCCTGGGGTCCCCCCAAGGCCCTTCCTACCCTCCCCCCGGGATCCCCTCCTGGGACCCCCTTGAGTCCCCCTGGGCCCCTCCGACCCCTCTGGCCCCCCCTACTCTGGGGGTCCCTCAGTGGGGCTGGGGTCCTGCAGGGGGGCTGGGGGTCCTGCAGTGGGGCTGGGGTCCCACAGGTGAATTTTGGGGCCCCCCAGGAGCTGGGGGTGCCTCTGCCCCGGGAGCAGCCCCTGGATGGACCTGGGATCCAGTGGATCCTCATGGGCACCCCGGGGATGGGCCTGGGGGTCCCTGATGGGCCTGGGGTCCCCCTGTGGGGCTGGGGGTCCCACAGTCGGTCAGGGGTCCCATAGGTGAATCCCCCAGGAGCTGGGGGTGCCCCTGCCCCGGGACCAGCCCCTGGATGGATCGGGGATCCAGTGGATCCGCATGGGCACCACGGTGGCCACCAACGCGCTGCTGCAGCGCCGGGGCGAGCGCGTGGCCCTGGCCGTGACCCGCGGCTTCCGCCACCTGCTGCACATCGGGACACAGGCACGGCCCCGCATCTTCGACCTGGTGAGACCCCTGCCCTCACCTGTGCCCCCACCTGTGCCCCCATGTGTACCCCACCCACCCTCACCCACCTGTACCCCCACCTACACCCTGCTTTACCATGACCTGGTGAGACACCTGGCACACCTGTACCCCCACCTGTACCCCCACCTGTACCCCCACCCACCCCTACACCCACCTGTACCCCCACCCCTACACCCACCTGCTGCACATCGGGACACAGGCACGGCCCCGCATCTTCAACCTGGTGAGACCCCTGCCCTCACCTGTACCCCCACCTGTACCCCCACCTGTACCCTCACCCACCCCTACACCCACCCTACACCCACCTGTACCCCCACCCCTGCACCCACCCTTACACCCACCTGCTGCACATGGGGACACAGGCACGCCCACATCTTCGACCTCTGAGCACCTGGCACAGCTGGCACCCACCTGTACCCTCACCTGTACCCCCACCTGTACCCCCACCTACCTGTACCCCTCACCCACCTGTACCCCCACCCACCCCTACACCCACCTGCTGCACATGGGGACACAGGCACAGCCCCGCATCTTCACCAGCTGAGACACAGCTGTACCTGACACACCTGGCACCCACCTGTACCTGCCCCTCTATGCACCTTTACACACCTGCACTCTCACCTGGGCACACACCTGCCCCCAAACCCTCCCTCACATTGGTCCCCAAGCCTGGCCCCACACCTTCGACCTGATGAGACACACCTGGGCACACCTGGCACACCTGGGCACACCTGGACCTGGACCTGCCCCTGCACTGGCACTGCCAGGACCTGGGGTGCCACATCCCCCTGCCCCACGCCCTGTGGGGTCGGGGTCCCCGTGTCCCACAGGGCTCAGGGTGCCACGTCCCCTCTGTCCCATGCCCAGTGCCCCAGGCGGTGACCCACGGCTGCCTGGCACGGGGCTGGCACGTCCCGCGACCGGCACGTCCCGTGACCGGCACCGTGTCCTCATGTGCCCTGCTGTGGGTCACAGTGTCCCCGTGTGCCCCACACTGTCCTGCTGTGGGTCACGGTGTCCCCGTGTGCCCCACAGTGTCCTGCTGTGGGTCACAGTGTCCTGCTGTGGGTCACGGTGTCCCCATGTGCCCCACTCTCCCCCCTCGGGCTGGCACTGTGTCCCCGTGTGCCCCATCCCCTGGGCCTGGGGTCACCGTGTCCCCCCTGTGTGGGGCTGTGTCTGGGCCCGGCGCGGTTGTCCTTGGCGGTGTCCCCTGTCCCCTGTCCGGTGTCCCCTGTCCCGTGTCCTCTGTCCCGTGAGCGCCGCCGGGCCCGGGGCCAGTCCCGGCGAGGGGCCAGCGCTGCCCGGCCAGGAGCCAGCGGGGGAGGGGGGACAGGAGAGGGAGGGACGTGTGACAGTGCCACCCCGGGGTCAACCAGTCCTGTCCCAGCGCTGTCTCTGTCCTGGTGCTGCCCCGCTGCCACCTCTGTGCCACCCCAGTACCTGTCCCAGTACCTGTCTGGTGACATCCCCGTGCTGTCCCAGTGCCGCCTCAGTGCAGTCCTGTCCTGGTGCCATTCCAGTCCTGTCCCTGTTCCGTCCTGGTGCCATCCTCGTTGCACCCCTGTGCCGTCCCCACCCCACCCCGATGCCATCCCAGTCCTGTCTTTGTGGCATTCTGGTGCCACCTCAGTGCCGCCCTGGTCCCATCCCAATGCCACCCTCGTGCCATCTCGGTCCTGTCCCAGTACCGTCCTGGTGCCACCCTTGTCCTGTTCCAGTGCTGTTCTGCTGCCGTCCCTGTCCCATCTCGGTCCCACCCCGGTGCTGTCCCTGTCCCATCTCGGTGCCACCCCGGTGCTGTCCCATCCCGGTGCCAGGGCGGTGTCCCCGCTGTCCCCGCAGGAGGTGGCGATGCCCGAGGTCCTGTACGAGGAGGTGATCGAGGTGGACGAGCGGCTCATCCCGGAGCAGCCGGGCTGTCAGCTGCCCGGCAGTGACACCTGGCCCCGGGTGGAAGGTGGGACACTGAGGGGTGGCCCCGGAGCTGTCACCTGCCCGGCAGTGACACCTGGCCCCGGGTGGAAGGTGGGACGGGGGGGGGGTGACAACCATGGGGTTGACAACCCTGTCACTGTCACCCTCCCACTCCTGGAAGGTGGGAGGGGGGGGGTTTGGGTTCTGCGGGGGGGAACACCCTGTGACTGTCCCCCGTGTCCCCCCCAGGCTGCTCTGGGGTGACCCTGCTGGTGCAGCGGCCGCTGGATCTGGGGGGGCTCCGGCGGGAGCTCGAGGGGGTCCTGGCCCGGGGCATCCAGAGCCTGGCAGTGCTCCTGCTGCACTCCTACATGTGAGTGGGGGCTTTGGGGGTCCCGGGGGGTCCTGGGGGGGTCCCACAGCCTGGCAGTGCTCCTGCTGCACTCCTACATGTGAGTGGGGGCTTTGGGGGGTCCCGGGGGAAACTGAGGGGTTTTAGGGGTCCCTGGTGACCCTACAGGTGGCTGGGGCACGAGGAGCAGGTTGAGGCACTGAGGAGGCCCCTGTTTGGGGTATTTGGGGTCCCTGGTGACAGGGGTGTCCCCCAGGTGGCCGGGACACGAGGAGCAGGTGGGGGCGCTGGCCCGGGAGTTGGGGGTCCCTGTTTGGGGGATATTTGGGGTTCCCTGGTGACAGGGGTGTCCCCCAGGTGGCCGGGGCACGAGGAGCAGGTGGGGGCGCTGGCCCGGGAGTTGGGGGTCCCTGTTTGGGGGGATTTGGGGGGTCCCTGGTGACAGGGGTGTCCCCCAGGTGGCCGGGACACGAGGAGCAGGTGGGGGCGCTGGCCCGGGAGTTGGGATTCCGGCAGGTCTCGCTGTCCTCGGCGGTGGCCGGGATGGCCCGGGCGGTGCCCCGGGGCTTCACCGCCTGTGCCGATGCGTACCTGACCCCCGGCATCCGGCGCTACCTGCGCGGCTTCTGCCACGGCTTCGCCGACCAGCTGCGCGTGAGTGGGACAGGGCACTCCCTCCGGGGGCACCCATCCCCCTGGGACCCCCACCATGGGCACCCATCCCCCTGGGACCCCCTCTATGGGCACCCATCCCTCTGGGACCCCCCCATGGGCACCCATCCCCCTGGGACCCCCCCATGGGCACCCATCCCCCTGGGACCCCCTGTATGGGCACCCAATCCCCCTGGGACCCCCTCTATGGGCACCCATCCCTCTGGGACCCCCCCATGGGCACCCGTTCCCCTGGGACCCCCTCTATGGGCACCCATCCCCCTGGGACCCCCCCAGCCTGCTGGTACCCCCACTGGGATGCCCACCTTACTGAGACCACCCCTATGAGCACCCACACCCCTTAGAAGCCCCCCAGCCTGCTGGGACGCCCCCTATGAGCACCCATCCCACTGGGACCCCCAATCCTGCTGGGACCTCCCTGGGGACACCCATCCCACTGAGGCCCCCCCCATGGACCCTCATCACACTGGAACCCACGCCCCCCGTGGGCACACATCCCCCCCAGGACCCCCCAGGGGCCCTCATCACGCTGGGACCCACGCCCCCCGTGGGCACACATCCCACCAGGACCCCCTCATGGGTTCCCACCCCACTGGGACCCCCTGGGGGAACCCGTCCTACTGGGACCCCCCCCAGGCCTCAGCACACCCTGCAGGGGGTGTGCCTTCTGGTCATGTTGGGGGGCTCACCCCCAGGGACCCCCCTGAGCCCCCAAAGGACCCCTGAGACTTCCCTATTCCTGCTGTTCATTGGGGGGGCTCGCCCCGGGACCCTCACCCTGGGACTCCTGACCCCCTCGATCCCGCAGGGGGTGCGGGTGCCACCCCAGGCCCCCCTGACCCCCTGGATCCCGCAGGGGGTGCGGGTGCTGTTCATGCGCTCGGACGGGGGGCTCACCCCCATGGGCAGCTTTGGGGGGGCCCGGGCCATCCTGTCGGGGCCCGCGGCGGGCGTGGTGGGCTACGCCAGGACCACCTACAACAGCCAGGACGGGACCCCCGTCATCGGCTTCGACATGGGAGGTGAGGGGGCAATGGGGCAGGGGCTCATGGGGATGGGAGGCTGCCCAGGGTCAGGGGGCTGCCCGGGGTGGGGGTCCCACTGGGATTGGGGCTCTGTGGGGGTCAGGGGTTCCACTGGGATTGGGGGTCCCACCAGGGATGGGAGTCCAGCCAAGGCCAGGGGCTGCCCGGGGTGGGGTCCCACTGGGGTTGGGGGTCTGCTGGGCTTGAGGTCTGGTTGTTTTGGGGTCCCACTGGGTTTGGGGTGCAGCTGAGTTGAAGTCTGGTGATTTGGGGGCCTGTTGGGTTTGGAGTCTGTCGGTTTTGGGATCCCACTGGATATGGGGGTCTGGCTGGATCTGGGGGTTCACTGGGTTTGAGGTTCAGCAGTTTTGGGGTCCCACTGGGTATGGATGGGGGTCTGGCCGGATCTGGGGGTTCACTGGGTTTGGGGTTCAGCAGTTTTGGGGTCCCACTGGGTTTGGGGTCGGTCAGTTTTGGGGTCCGTGGCGCTGCCCCCAGGCACATCGACCGACGTGAGCCGCTATGCGGGGGAGCTGGAGCACGTGTTCGAGGCCACCACAGCGGGGGTCCCCATCCAGGCCCCCCAGCTCGACATCAACACCGTGGCGGCCGGAGGGGGCTCCCGGCTCTTCTTCAGGTGGGGACGGGGGGACACTCCACGTGTTGGGGGGCCCAGTGGGATTGGGGGCCAGGTACTGGGGGCCCGGGGAACTGCGGATCTTGGGGAGGGTTAGGGTTGAAGGGGTCCGGGTACTGGGAAGGTCCAGGGAGCGGGGGCTCTGGGCACCAGGGGGTCCTGGGGAGACAGAGGGGCTCTGGGCACTGGGGGTGTCCCAGGGGGACGTGGGGGCTCCGGGAGGATCCTGTGGGATGGGGGTCTCCGGGCACCGGGGTGTGCGGGGGAAGGAGGGCTCCAGGCTCTGGGGAGTGTCCCGGTCCCGGGCGGACCCCTCTGTCCCCCCACGCCCCCCAGGTCCGGTCTGTACGTGGTCGGCCCCGAGTCCGCGGGAGCCCACCCGGGCCCCGCCTGCTACCGCAAGGGTGAGTGCCCCCCGCGCCCCCGCGGCCGCCGCGCCCCCGCGGCCCCCTGACACCCCGCTGGGACACAGGGGGTCCCCTGACCGTCACGGACGCCAACCTGGTGCTGGGCCGGCTGCTCCCCGAGTACTTCCCGCGGATCTTCGGGCCGGGCGAGGACCAGCCCCTGTGCCGGGACACGGCCGTGGCGGCTTTCGGGGACCTGGCGGACACCATCGCGGCCTTCCAGCGCGGCACTGGGAGCACTGGGAGCACTGGGGACGCTGCCACCGCCTCCGACACCAGCGCTGGCTGCGGCGGCCGCGGCTCCAGCGGCGGCGGCACCGGCTGTGGTGCTGGCGCTGGTGACACCGGCGTCCCCGGTGTCGCCCTCTCGGTGGAGGAGGTGGCCCTGGGCTTCATCCGGGTGGCCAACGAGGCCATGTGCCGGCCCATCCGCGCCCTCACGCAGGTGGGTGCCCTCCCGGGAGGGGTGGGGGTTTGGGGGTGCTGTGGGTGACAGGGGTGTCACCGCGGTGTCCCCTCCCCTCCCCGTGCCAGGCGCGGGGACACGACGCGGCCCAGCACGTGCTGGCGTGTTTCGGGGGGGCCGGGGGGCAACACGCGTGTGCCATCGCCCGCACCCTCGGCATGCGCAGGGTCTTCATCCACAAGTAGGTGCCGGGGGCGCGGGGACCCCCTGGAGAGTTTGGGGCTGGGGGCGGGGGGTGTTTAAGGGACCTCTGGGGGCGGGGCTTGTGGGGACCTCCCCTCCAGGGGTGGGGCTGGGGGGCCGAGGGGAGCCCTTCTGGGGGTCGGGGAACCCTCCCTGGGGGGAAGGGGGTCGTGGGGACCCCCCATCTCCGGGGGGTTCCGTCGGGGCTCAAAGGGAAAGCCCTCTCTCGGGGAGGGGGTTGTGGGGACCCTCCTGTGGGGTGGGGGCTGTGGCGACCACGCCCTTTGGGGAGTGGGGCTGGGGAGGGGCTCTCGAGGGACCTCCGCTCTTGGGTGTGGGATGGAGGGACCCCTTTCGGGGCTGGGCCTGGGGGGGGGCTCCATGGGGCCCCTCCCCTGGGGGTGAGGCCGGGTTCGGGGGGCCCCATTGGCTTTGGGCAGTCCTGGGGGTCGCCGGGCATGCGGCAGGGGTGTCACTGGGGCTGTCACTGGCCGGGTGACAAGAGTGTCCCCGCAGCGTCCCCGAGGGTGTGATGGGGTGTCCCCGGATGTCCCTGCGGTGTCCCCCATGTCCCCAGGCACAGCGGGGTGTCCCCACGGTGTCCCCCCCATGTCCCCAGGCACAGCGAGGTGTCCGGGGCTGTCCCCACGGTGTCCCCGCGATGTCCCCGCGGTGTCCCCAGGCACAGCGGGGTGTCTGGGAGTGTCCCCGCGGTGTCCCCGCGGTGTCCCCAGGCATAGCAGGGTGCCCGGGGGTGTCCCCACGGTGTCCCCGCGGTATCCCCGCGGTGTCCCCAGGCACAGCGGGGTGTCCCCACGGTGTCCCCGCGGTGTCCCCAGGCACAGCGGGGTGTCTGGGGGTGTCCCCACGGTGTCCCCGCGGTGTCCCCAGGCACAACTGGGTGCCCGGGGGTGTCCCCACGGTGTCCCCGCGGTATCCCCGCGGTGTCCCCAGGCACAACGGGGTGTCTGGGAGTGTCCCCGCGATGTCCCCGCGGTGTCCCCAGGCACAGCGGGGTGTCCAGGCATGTCCCCACGGTGTCCCCGCGGTGTCCCCAGGCACAGCGGGGTGTCCGGGGGTGTCCCCGCGGTGTCTCCAGGCACAGCGGGGTGTCTGGGGGTGTCCCCACGGTGTCCCCGCGGTGTCCCCAGGCACAGCGGGCTGCTGTCGGCGCTGGGGCTGGCACTGGCGGACGTGGTGCAGGAGGAGCAGGAGCCCTGTGCCCTCCCGTACGGGCCCGACGCCTTCCCCCGGCTGGACGGGCGCCTGCGGGAGCTGGAGCGGCGCTGCCGGGACGCGCTGCGGGAGCAGGGGTTCACCGAGTGAGTGCGGGGACAGCGCGACACGGGGACACCACGGAGGGCGGCCCGGGGATGAGGGGACGCGGCGGCGGTGACGGTGACACCGGCGCTGGGGACCCGGGAGCTGCGGGCGGGCGGTGGCGGTGACACCGGGGACGGGGGACAGAGGACGGAGGGCTGCGGTGACGGTGACGCCGTCGCTGGAGGGTTTGGGACACGCGATGGCGGCGCTGGTGACACTGGGAATGGGGGCGCGGGGACGGGGCGATGCGGCGGGGACAGAGCGGGGGGTGACGCGGTGCCGGTGCCCCCGCAGGGAGCAGATCCAGACCGAGTCCTTCCTTCACCTGCGCTACGAGGGCACTGACTGCGCCCTGATGTGCTCGGCCCGCGGGCACCCGGCACATCCCGGCTCCTGCCGCGCCGGAGACTTCCTGGCCGCCTTCACCGCCCGGTCGGTGCCACCACCCCGGTCCCCGTCCCGGCAGCAGGAACCCCCATCCCGCCGCCACGGTCCCTGTCCCGGTGCCGCAGTGCCAGTCCTGGCACCGGGATCCCCCGTCCCAGCCCCGTGATCCCCATCCCGGGGCCGATTCCCCTCCCCAGCGCTCTGAGTGCTGTCCCGGAGTGTGATCCCCCACCAGGACCCGGCACCACAGTCCCTCATTCCGGTGCCAGAATCCCCCTCCCAGCACCGCAATTCCCATCCTTACACCATGATCCCTGTCCCAGTACCGCAATTCCCATCCTGGCATCGTGATCCCTGTCCCAGCACTGTGATCCCCCACTGTGGAACCACCATCCCCATCCCGGCACCGCTATTCCCGTCACCCCAGCGCCACCATCCCCATCCCGGATGCCTGATCTCTATCCCTGTGCTCCAATCCCTGTCCCAGCACCCCAATCCCTGTCCCAATCCCCAGTCCCCATCCCAGCACCCCAATCCCTGTCCCAGCACCCCAGTCCCCATCCCATCACCCCAATCCCTGTCCCAACACCCCAATCCCTGTCCCAATCCCCAGTCCCCATCCCAGCTCCGCAGTCCTCATCCCAGCACCCCAATCCCTGTCCCAACACCCCAGTCCCCATCCCAACATCCCAATCCCTCTCCCAGCACCCCAATCCCTGCCCCACCCCCAATCCCCCTTGCGCGTGTCCCCTGAGCGCCGCCGGTGCCCCGTGCCCAGGTACCAGCAGGAGTTTGGGTTCACCATCCCGGGCCGGACGGTGCTCGTGGATGATTTGAGGGTTCGCGGCACCGGCAGCACCGGCGGCATCTCCGAGACCCCCTGGCCCCCGCAGGGAGCCCCCGGGTCGAGACGGTGAGGGGAGGCGGGCTGGAGGACACAGAATGTTGGGGGAACAGAGGGACGGGGGTGACCCACAGATGCCCCGTGGGGGTGAGGGTGACTCAGGGAGCACGGGGAGGGTCCTGGGGGTGAACTGGGGTGACCAGAGGGGCTGGGTGTGACCCCAAGGGACAGGAGGGGACCTGAAGTGGGGCTGGGGGTGACTCAGGGGCGGTAGAGGGGTGACCTGGGGGCCAAGGGGTCACCCGTGGGGCCTGGGGGTGACCCGGGGGTGCCACGGTCCCCGCAGGTGACGCGGTGCTACTTCGAGGGGGGGTACCTGGACACCCCCGTGTACCTGCTGGGCGACCTGGGCTGTGACCACACCCTGCCCGGCCCCGCCATCGTCATCGACACCAACAGGTGGGGGGCCTGGGGGGACCCGGGGGGTCCTGAAGGCGGGGGGCTCTGGGGAACAGCGGGACCCCAGAGGGGTGGTGGGACTGGGGAGGACTGGGGGAACCCTGGGGGACGGTGGGACTTCAGGAGGACTCCGAGGAGCTGGTGGGCCACAGGGGAAGGTGGGGACCCCCTGGAGTTGGTGGGGTCCCTGGGAGGCTAGTGAGACCATGAGGGGATGGTGGGCACCCCAAGGAGTCAGTGGGGACCCCAGGGAGCTGTTGAGACCCGGGGGATGGCAGGGACCCCAAGACACTGCTGGAAGCCTTGGGGGGTTGGTGGGGACCCCACAAAGCCAGCAGAGACCTTGGGGAGATCGTGGGGGGAGCCCATGTGGAGGGGGGTTTGGTGGGGAGCCTGGGGGGCTAGTGGGGACCCCAAGGGGCCGAGGGGACCCTGGGGGGCCAGTGGGGACCCTGGGGGGTCTATGTGGACCCCGGGGCCTCCCCAACCCCCCTGTGTGGGGCCCCCCAGCACCATCGTGGTGGAGCCAGGGTGCTCGGCCACCCTGACCCCCCTTGGGGACATCTGCATCGAGGTGGGCTCGGGGACCCCCCGGCCCCTGGACACCCAGCTCGACCCCGTCCAGCTCTCCATCTTCTCCCACCGCTTCATGAGCATCGCAGGTGAGGGGTCTGGGGGAGGTCCGGGGGGTCCTGGGGGTGTCTGTGGGGTGGGGATCCCCTCCTGAGGGTCCCCACGGCCCCCAGCTGAACCCTGTCCAGTTCCCCTCTGAAGGTCTGGGATGGGCAGTCCGGGGAGTTCCCAGGGGCTCCTGGGGGACTCTGGGGGGGGCTCCCTGGGTTGGGGCTCCCCCTCTGAGGGTCCCTGTGGGCAGAGACCCCCTGGCCCCCGACTCAGCCCCCCCAGCTCTCCACTGCAGGTCTGGGATGAGGGTCCTGGTGGGGATCCTGGGGGTCTCCTGGGGGTATCCCAGGGGGTGTCCCAGTTTTGGGGTGTCGCCCTGAGGGCCCCCACAATCACAACCCCCCATCCCCTCAGCCCCCAACTCAACCCCATGCAGGCCCCCACGGCTGTCCCAGCTGGGGGGCCGTGCCCAGACAGGACTGGGGATCTCCTGGTGGGGGGGGAAGGGGGGGCGTTCCTGGGAGTTTCTCAGGGATGTCCCAGTTTTGGGGTGCCCTCCCCGAGGGTCCCCACAGGCAGGGACCCCGTGACTCAAACTCAGCCCCGTTCAGTTCTCCATCGAAGATCCCGGACAGGGGGTCCCGGGGGTGTCCCGGGGGTGTCCCGGGGGTGTTCCAGGGGTCCCCCGGGGGTGTCCTGGGGTGTCCCCCTGAGGGTGCCGTGTCCCCGCAGAGCAGATGGGCCGCATCCTGCAGCGCACGGCCATCTCCACCAACATCAAGGAGCGCCTCGACTTCTCCTGCGCCCTCTTCGGGCCCGACGGGGGGCTCGTGTCCAACGCCCCCCACATCCCCGTGCACCTGGGGGCCATGCAGGAGGCCGTGCAGTTCCAGGTGGGGCGCCCGGGGGGGACTCTGGGGGGATTTAGGGGGGGTCCTGGGGGCAGGTAAGGCCCCCTGACCCTGCTGATTCCCCCCCAGCCTGGAACTGGGCTGTGGGAGGGGGGTTTGGGGGTCCTGGAGGGGGTTTGGGGAGGGTTAGACCCTGCTGAGCCCCCCCCCAATATGGAACTGGGGCTGGGGGATTTGGGGGTCCAGAGGTGGGCGGGGCCATGCGGGAGGGGAGCATTTCCAGGTGGGGGGGATCCTGGAGGGTGTTGGGGTTGTAGATCCTACTGAGTCTCCCCCGATCAGGATGCTGAGCCCGGAGCTGTGGGAGGGGTCTTTGGAGGTCCTGGGAGGGGGTTGGGGGGCAGGAGGCAGCGCAATTCTGGGTGGGGGTCCTGGGGAGTTTGGGGGGTCCCGGGGCGTTCTGCTGAGCCCCCTCACGTGTGCCCCCCTCCCCAGATCCGTAACCTGGGCTCGGAGCTGAAGGAGGGGACGTGATCCTGAGCAACCACCCGCGGGCCGGGGGCAGCCACCTGCCCGACCTGACCGTCATCACCCCCGTGAGTGGGGGCGTGGGACCCCCGCCCCGGGGCACCGCGGGGTGGGAGGGGGCTGTCCTGGGCACCGCGGGGTGCAGGGACCCCCTCCTATCACACCGCGGGGTGCGGGACCCCTCCCAACACACTCCAGGGGGCGGGACCCCCTTCCCGGCACATCCCGGGGTCCGCCCCAGCTGACCCCCGTGGCCCCCAGGTGTTCTGGCCGGGGTCCCCGGCCCGTGTTCTTCGTGGCCAGCCGCGGGCACCACGCGGACGTGGGGGGCTGCACCCCCGGCTCGATGCCCCCCCACTCCCGCTCCCTGCGCGAGGAGGGCGCCGTCTTCGTGTCCTTCAAACTCGTCACCGGCGGAGAGTTCCAGGAGCAGGGTGGGCACGGGGGGAGTTCCAGGAGCAGGGTGGGCATGAGGGGCACGGGGGTACGGGAGGACGGGGACAGTTCCAGGAGCAGGGTGGGCACAGGGGGCAGGGGGACACGGGGGGACAGAGGGAGTTCCAGGAGCAGGGTGGGCACAGGGGGCAGGGAGGTACGGGGAGGACGGGGGAGTTCCAGGAGCAGGGTGGGCATGAGGGGCACGGGTGGAGTTCCAGGAGCAGGGTGGGCACGGGGGCACGGGGGTACGGGGAGTTCCAGGAGCAGGTTGGGCATGGGGGGACGGGGGTACGGGGAGGACAGGGGAGTTGCAGGAGCAGGGTGGGCACGGAGGGCACGGGGCACACGGCGGGACGGGGGAGTTCCAGGAGCAGGGTGGGCATGGGAGGGACAGGGTGGGACACGGGGAGTTCCAGGAGCAGGGTGGGCACAGGGGGCGGGGGGTACGGGGAGAACGGGGAGTTCCAGGAGCAGGGTGGGCACGGAGGAGATGTAGGGGGACACGGGGAGTTCCAGGAGCAGAGTGGGCGTGGGGGGACAGGGTGGGGCATGGGGGGACAGGGTGGGACACGGGGACCTGGCGTGTCAGCCACGCTCTCAGGGTCGTCTCAGGGTGTCCCCCCCCTCACCATTATTCCCCCCAGCGGTGACCGAGGCCCTGCTGGCCCCCGGGGAGGTCCCGGGCTGTTCGGGAACACGGAACCTGCGGGACAACCTGGCGGACCTGCGGGCACAGGTGGCGGCCAACCAGAAAGGGATCGGGCTGGTCCGGGAGCTCATCGGGCACCACGGGCTGGGAGCCGTGCAGGCCTACATGGGATACGTGCAGGTGAGACCCCCGGGACCCTCCCCCGGGACCCCCTGTGCCCCCCAGGACCCCCTGGGCTCCCCGGGAACTGCCTGGGCTGGGCACCGTGCAGGCCTACATGGGATACGTGCAGGTGAGACCCCTGTGCCCCCTGTGCCCCCGTGCCCCTGTGCCCCCCGTGCCCCTGTGCCCCGCTGTGCCCCCTGTGCCCCCGTGCCCCTGTGGCCCCATTGCCCCTCGTGCTCCTGTGCCCCCGTGCCCCCTGTGCCCCCTGTGTCCCCCGTGCCCCTGTGCCCCCAGGCCAACGCCGAGGTGGCCGTTCGGGACATGCTGCGGGCGGTGGCCTCGCGCTGGGGGACGACGCTCTCGGCCGAGGACACGATGGACGACGGGACCCCCATCCGGCTGCGGGTGCAGCTGGACCCCCACGAGGTCAGGGGGGACACACGGGGGCAGCCCCGAGGTCTGGGGGGAGGTGGGGACACCTCGGGGATTGGTGGGACACGGGGACACCCCCGGGGTTGAGGGGGAGGGCACGGGGACACCCCTAGAGTTGGGGGATCCCCACGAGGTGAGAGGGACCCCCAGCCTGGCCAGGCAAAGTTTGGGGGGGTACTCGGGGCCACACCTGGGGGTTGGGGGAATATGTGGGATCCCCCCCGGGGTTTTGGGGGTCCCCACATTCCCTTGTCCCCCCAGCAGGGCAGCTCTGGGGGGATGTGGGGTTGCTCTGGGGTTTTGGGGTCACCCCCGGGTTGTGGGGGTCCCCACGTTCTCCTGTTTCCCCCAGGGCAGCGCCGTGTTCGATTTCGGGGGGACGGGCCCCGAGGTTTTGGGGAACTGTAACGCCCCCCGGGCCATCACCCTGTCGGCCCTGATCTACTGCCTGCGCTGCCTCGTGGGGCACGACATCCCCCTCAACCAGGTGGGACCCCCCCTGACATCCCCCTCAACCAGGTGGGACCCCCGACCCCCCAGACATCCCCTCATGACATCCCCCTCAAACCAGGTGGGAACCCCCTGACATCCCCTCAACCAGGTGAGGACCCCTGAATCCCCCGACATCCCCTCCTTGACATCCCCCTCAACCAGGTGGGAACCCCTGACATCCCCTCAACCAAGTGGGACCCCTGAACCCCCTGACATCCCCTCAGCCAGGTGGGAACCCCGACCCCCATGACATCCCCTCAACCAGGTGGGACCCCTGGACCCCGACATTCCTCAACCAGGTGGACCCCGACCCACTCCCATGACATCCCCCAAACCAGGTGGGATCCTGGACCCTCCCGTCACCCTCGAGCCCCCGGCGTCCCCCGACAGGGACCCCCTGGCACCCTCCTGGGTACAGGACCCCCACGGCACCCCTGAACGGTGACACCCCTCGTGGCACCCCGGAGCTGTGGGACCTCCCGTGGCACCCCTGGGCAGAGAAACCCTGCCCGGCCCCCGGGACCCCCCACTGCACCCCGGCCTGGGACCCCCCACCCGCCAGGATGGTGCCGGGAGCTCGGGTGGGCTCGGGGTCCCAGCCGGCACTGCCGCCCCGCAGGGCTGCCTGGCCCCGGTGCGGGTGCTGATTCCGGGGGCTCCATCCTGGACCCCTCCCCGAGGCCGCCGTGGTGGGGGCAACGTGCTGACGTCACAGCGGGTGGTCGACGTGGTGCTGAGGGCGTTCGGGGTCTGCGCGGCCTCGCAGGTGTGGGGGGCTGGGAAGGGGTCCCGGGGTCCTGGGCTGCTGGGGCCGGGGGCGCGGGGCTCGGGGTCCCCGGCTCAGGAAGGGGTCCTGGGGTCCTGGGCTGCTGGGGACGGGGGGCGCGGGGGCTCAGGGGGTCCCGCGGCTCCAGAGTTTAGGAGCTCGAGGAGGGAGGAAGGATGGGGGTCTCGGGGTCCCCCCTGACCCCCCCACGCCCCCAGGGCTGCACGAACAGGTCGTTGGGAGTTTGGGGGTCCCGGGGTTTAGGGTCTCGGTGTGCCCGGGTTGGGGGCTCCCCCAACTGGGGGGTCCCGGGGGTTGGGGATCTCGGTGTGCCCACCGTGTTTGGGGGTCCCCCTGCCCTCCCCCGCTCCCCCAAGCGCTGCATCAACAGCGGGGTTGGAGTCTGGGGGTCCCCGCGTTTGGGGGTGGCGGGCTTTGGGGGTCTCGGTGTCCCCCCAGGTTTGGGGGTCCCCCCTGACGCCCCCCCGTGCCCCCAGGGCTGCATGAACAACGTGACGTTCGGCTCGGAGCGGGGGGTACTACGAGACGGTGGCGGGGGCGCCGGGGCCGGGCCCCACTGGGGGTCGCAGCGGGGTCCACACGCACATGACCAACACTCCGCATCACCGACCCCGAGATCCTCGAGCTCCGGTGCGTCCGGGGGCCCGGGAGGGCTGGGGGGTCCTTCCAGGGTGCTGGGGGCCCGCGGGGCTGCTGGGCCGTGGGGGGCTGCGGGGGTCCTGGAGGTTGAGGGGCTGCCGGGAGGGCGCTGCGGGACTGGCGGGGGTCTGCTCGTGGGTCGGGGGTGCCCTGACTGACACCCCCCCCGTGCTCCCCGCCAGGTACCCGGTGGTGCTGCAGCGGTTCGAGCTCCGGGGGGGCTCTGGGGGCTCCGGGCGCTTCCGGGGGGGTGACGGGGTGGTCCGGGAGCTGCTGTTCCGGAGGGCGACGGTGCTGTCGGTGCTGAGCGAGCGCCGCGCCACGCGGCCCTACGGCATGGCCGGTGAGGGGGGGCCCCACAGCCCCCCGGGACCCCCCGGGTAACCCGTAACCCCCCAACAGCCACGCGGCCCCACGGCATGGCCGGTGAGGGGGGGCCCCACAGTCCCCCGGGACCCCCCGGGTAACCCGTAACCCCCTCACAGCCCCCAACAGCCACCCGGCCCTACGGCATGGCCGGTGAGGGGGGGGCCCTACAGCCCCCCGGGACCCCCCGGGTACCCATAACCCTCCCCCCAGCCCCCAAAAGCTACGCAGCCCCACGACATGGACCCACCACCCCCAGGGACCCCCAGAGCCCCCCACTGCCCCCTGGGAACCCCCAGGACATCCATCACTCCCCAGAGCCCCCCCGTGTGGCCCCTGTGGCACAGCAGGTTGGGGTGGGGAGGGTGGAACCCCCAGGGACTTCCTAGAGCAACCCCAGACCCCCCAGCCCTCCAGGGACCCCCAGACACCCTCCCTGGTACCCCCGTTCCTCTGCAGGGACCCCAAGGCACCCAGAGCCCCCACCCTGTACCCTCAGAGCCCCAGGGGACCTGGCACTGCCCGTGATCCTCCAAGCCCCTGACCCCTTGAGCCCCACCGACCCCCTGACTCCCACCGACCCCCTGACCCCCTCTTCCCCCAGGAGGTCTCCCGGGGCCCCGGGGCTGAACCTGCTGCTGCGCCGGACGGCCGAATCCATCAACCTGGGGGGCAAGAGCTCGGTGTCCGTGGAGCCAGGGTGAGACCTCCTAAAACCCCTGAACCCCAACAACCTCCCAGATCCCTGAACCCAAACACAAGCCCCCCCAGATCCCCCAACATAACCCCCAGATCCCCTGAACCCCAACACAACCCCTCTGAGCAACCCCAACCTAAGCTCAGTGTCAAAACACCGGGGCTGAGCCCCAAAACACCCCCTGGCACCCCAAAACACCTCCCCCGGCACCCCCAAACCTGGGGAAGAGCTCGGTGTCCGTGGAGCTGGGAGTGAGCCCCAAACCCCCCAGCACCCCAAAACACCCTCCTCAACCCCCAGCACCCCAACCCCCCAGGCCCCTGGAACTTGCTGTGAGTGGAGCCAGGGTGAGCCCCAAAACCCTCCTGTCCCCTCAAACACCCCCCTGACCACCCCCAATACCCCAAACTTACCCTGACCAGCCCCAATACCCCAAACTCACCCCCTGCTTCCCCTGGGCTCCCCCCACAGGACGTGTTCCGCCTCCTGACCCCCGGCGGGGGCGGCTTCGGCCCCCCCGAGGAGGGGGCTGGGGGGGATCTCCAGGGCCCCCGGGACCCCCAGGACCTCTGGGTCCCCCCGGCCCCCCTGACCCCCCAGACCTTCGCCGAGCGTGGGAGCGTCTTCGAGTACCGGCAGGCGCAGGAGGCCGTGTGAGGGATCCCTGCTGGGGGGCTGCCCCCCAACCCCAGCTCTGCACAGGCCACAGGGCAGCCCCTCCACCGTGGGGCAGCCCCCCTTTAGATACGCACAGTCCACGGGGCAGCCCCCCATAGCGCAGCCCCCCCCAGGTACGCACACCCCGTGGGGCAGCCCCCCAGCCCCGCTCTGCATCCTCCATGGGGCAGCCCCCCCCTTCTAGATACGCACAGTCTATAGGACAGCCCCAGCACCCCCATGGGGAGCCCCCAACCCCTCTAGGTCAGAGCCCCACTCCAGTTATGCCCTCTCCAGGGCAGCCCCCACCCTCCAGGGGCAGCCCCCTCCAGGTACGCACAGGCTGTGGGGCAGCCCCCAGGCCCCGCTATGGGGCAGCCCCCCAGCTAGATAAGCACATGCCAGGGAGCAGCCCCCTACTCCGAACACCCCCAGTCTATGGGGCAGCCCCCCACTCCTAGATATGCACAGTCTATGGGGCAGCCCCCCCCCTCCAGCTATGTCCCATCTATGGGGCAGCCCCCCCAGATCCACACAGTCCACGGGGCAGCCCCCCAACCCCAGCTATGCACAGTCTGTAGGACAACCCCCCCTGGGGCAGCCCCCAGCCCTATTGTGGGGCAGCCCCCCTCAGATAAGCACAGCCCCCTAGCCCCAGCTTGTGCCTCCCCACACTGGGGGCTCAGCCCCTCCATCTGGGGGGGCCCTGCCCACATTTTGGGGTCTCCTCCCTGCCCCCCTTCCAGCTTCCATTAAATCTGCCTGAGCCCTCCCCCCTGGTGTCTGTGTGGTGAGAGGTGGGGGGTGCAGGGACCCCCAGGGACCAGCCCACTGACCCCTCTCGGGCCCAGGGAGCCCCCCTGGCTCTGCCCCACCCACCTGGACCCCCTTCCCACCCTGGTCCCTGCCCTGGCGATGGGGGCCCCCCCTGTGCCATGGGGCAGTGGCAGCACCAACCCCTCCAGTGCACTCCAGGCCTTTATTGTTCTGGGTGGGAAAACTACAGCTGTGCCAGATCGATGCCGGATTTGAGCTGTTTGGTGTTGGATCAATGCTGGATTGACACTGGATCAGTGCTGGATCTGTGCCACACTGATGATGGATCAATGCTGGATTGACACTGGATCAGTGCTGGATCTGTGCCACTCTGATGATGGATCAATGCTGGATCAATACCAGACCAATGGTGGATTGATGTTGGATTGATGCTGAACTGATACTGGGTCAATGCTGGACCAGTGCTGCACTGATACTGGTTTGATGCTGGGATGATACTGGACTGATGCCAGATCAGTGGGGGTGAGTGCTGGATCGATGCTGGATCCGTGTCAGACTGATCCTGGATCAATCGCAGACCCATGGCAGACTGGTACCAGGCTGATGGCGGATCAATACTGGTGTGATACTGGATTGATGCTGGATCAATTCTGGTGTGATGCTGGACTGATACTGAGCCGATACCAGATCGATACCAGATCAATGCTGGACTGATATGGAGCTGATACTGGATCAGTGCTGCATTGATACTGAGCTGATACCGGATCAATGCTGGATTGATACTGAACCGATACCAGATCGATACCGAGTGGATACCGGATCAATGCTGGATTGATACCGAGCGGATACCAGATCAGTGCTGCATTGATACTGAGCTGATACCGGATCAATGCTGGATTGATATCAGCGATACGATCAATGCTGACTGATACGGGATACCAGATCAGTGCTGCATTGATACCGAGCTGATATTGGATCAGTGCTGGATTGATACTGAGCCGATACCGGATCAATGCTGGACTGATACAGAGTGGATACCAAATCAATGCTGGATTGATACCGAGCCGATACCGGATCAATGCCGGCTGTTCCTGAAGGTTCAGGGCTGGAGCTGCTTTGTCCCAGGAGGAGCTGGGACCCTCCACCCCTGTTCCCGGGCTGGGGCTGCTCCCCCTCCCCTCCCCTGCCCGGATCCGTGCCCGTGTCCCAGGGCATTCCCAGCTCTTCCCTTCCCCCCGGGCTCCACTCCCAGCCCGCCCGGGCAGGACAGGCAAACACACCCCAGTCCTGGCATCCCATAATAGACTGCACTGGATCCCTGACAGTGGAATGGCACCACAGCAGGGGGTGCTGGATCAATGCTGGAGCAATGCCAGGCTGAGGCCAGAACTGATCCCTGATCCATGCTGGATCCACGCTGGAGTGAGCTGGTCTGGGGCTGTGTCCATGCTGGAACGATGCTGGATCCACACTGGAATGATGCTGCTCTGGGTCTGTGTCCACGCTGGAATGAGCTGATCTGGGGCTGGATCCACACTGGAATGATACTGGAACGATGCTGGTATGGAGCTGTGTCCACACTGGAACCATGCTGGAATGAGCTGGTCTGGGGCTGTGTCCATGCTGGAACGACGCTTGTTTCATGCTGGATCAATGCCCAATTGATGTCAGATTGGTGGTGGATTGATGCTGAATCAACTTGGATCGATGCCAAGCCCAGGCCAGGCTGCTGCTGGGTTGATCCCCATCTAACTGTGGCCTGATGCCAGACTGAGGCTGGATTGATGCCTGATCAATATCGGATCGATGCCTCAGCAGTATCAGCTCAATGTGGAGCTGGTGCTGGACTGATGCTGGACCAGTGCCAGACCAATACTGAGCTGATACTGAACCAGTTCTGATTCCCTGCCGGACCCAATACTGGGCTGATAGCGGATCAATGCTGGATCAAGGTGAATCGGTGCTGGGTTGATCCCAGATCCGGATCAATACCGGGCTGGTGCCGGGTCAGTGGTGGGCTCCTGCTGGACTGATACCGGATCAATGCCAAACTGATGCCAGACTGATCCTGGATCTGATCCTGGATCAATGCCAGGTCAATGCGGGACCAACCCTTCCCCGGTGCTGGATTGGTGCCGACGTCGCCTGTGACCCTGTCACCGTCCCGTCACAGTGCAGGGACACACGGGGGGCTGGGGGCTGTCCCAGGGGGTGTCAGAGCCCCCCCGTGCCGTGCCCGGTGCTGTGCTGGTGCTGTGCCGGTGCCATGCCCGGTGCTGTGCCTATGCCGGGCTCAGGGGCCGGCGGGTCCCACCCAGAGCCGCAGAGCCACGGGCAGGTGGTCGGAGAACGTGGCCAGCTGGGTGATGACGGAGACCGCGGCCACCTCCTGCAGGGACAGCGGCGTCAGGGCAGGGGACACGGGGACAGGGGACACAGAGACAGGGGACACGGGGACGGGGGCACTCACGGTAGACAGCGCCGGGTGCCTGCGGTGCAGCGCGTAGTCCACGCGCCGGCCCTGCCAGGGCCGGGGGGCGGCGGGATCGGGGTCCCCGTTGCACAGGATGGGCCCCGCCAGGTACTGCTGCCGCCCCCAGGGCTGGGACAGCGTCCTGCGGGCAGGGGACACGGCGTGAGGGCGGGTGGCATCGGCACGGGGACGTGGGTGTGGTGGCACAAAGAGGCGATGGCAGGGGACGTGGGGACAGGGGGACGTGGTGGAACACAGACACAGGGGCACAGGGGTGTGGTGACATCGGAATGGGGACACAGCAGCAGGGGGGTATGGTGGCACGGGGACACGGTGACACAGGGTAGCATAGGGACATGGGGCCATGGGAACGTGGGGACCTGGGGACAGCAGGACATGAAGATGTGAGGGCACAGGAACGTGGTAGCACAGGCACATGGTGACATGGGGATAGAGGGCCACCCCCCCAACACCTCCACCATCCCCTCTCCAGGCCGGTGGCTCAGCTGAAGCATCACACTCCCCCCCCTTCTGTGTTCCTCCATGTCCCCCACCCCTGTGTCCCCCCCATCCCCAGTGTCCCTAGCCTGTCACCTCTTCATCTTCTCAGGGGTGGACACGGGCTCCTCGTAGATCTTGAGGTAGTTGAGCAGAGTCCCTGGGGGGGGGGACAGGGAGGGGTCAGGGACATGAGCAGCACCCCAGACAAGACCACGGCCCTCCAGCGAGGGGACACGGGGCAGGAGTGACAGTGAGGACCCCGGGTGAGGTGACAGTGGAGTCATCAGGCAGGGGTGGCAGTGGGGACCCTGCAGGGGGAGGACAGTGGGGATCCCTGGGGCGGTGACAGCAAGAACCTGGAGGTGGGTGACATTGTGGACCCTGGGAGAGGTGACAGTGGGGTCCCCGGGGGTCTCACCTATGGCCCAGGGTTGGTCCTGGCCTGGCCCCAGGCGACAGGGGTCCTGGTACTCCTCGAAGAGCCGGTGCTGCTGGTTCAGCGCATCACCTGCCCGGGGACACGGCTCTGCTGCCACCCCCGGACCCCTGGGTGTCCCCCCACCTCCCTTCATGTCCCCAGCATCCCCCCATGTCCCTCCATAACTCCCTCATGTCCTCCCATGTTTCCCTGTGTCCTCCCCGTGTTCCTCCGTGTCCCCTGATGTCCCCCAGCACCCCTCGTGTCCTCCCCGTGTGCCTTCATATCCCCTCTGTGTCCCTTCATGTCCCTCAGTGTCCCCAAGGGGCCCCTGTGTCCCCCATATCCCCACGCCATGTCCTTCCATATTCCCTCATGTTCCCTCTGTGTCCCCCCATGTCCCCCAGTGTCCCTCTCTATCCTACGATGTCCCTATGTCCCCCTCTCCCTATGTCCCTCACCCATGTCCCTGCTGCCCCCTGTCCCCCCATCTCCCCCACATCCCCCCACTGTCCCTACATGTCCCCAAGTCCCCCTCAGTCCCCTCCATGCCCCACGCCCATGTCCCCCCTGTCCTCACTCTGGGAGCAGTTGTCAAAGTTGAGGTCCCCACAGAGGACGTCAAAGGCCACCAGGTCCCCACGCTGCTCCTGCTCCTGCCGGAACTCCCGGAGCCACCGGAGCACCAGGGTCAGCTGCACGTCACGGATGGTGGCATCACCTGGGGCAGGGACAGGGGGATGGGGACAGGGACACACACAGACATGGCGGCACAGGGGCACACACAGTGTCACCACCCACCCCCCTTGGTGTCAGCTGGGCCGAGGGACAGACAGACAGAGGGACACAGGGGACACGGACACATAGACACACAGACACGTGAACAGGTGGGTACGGGACAGGGACACAGTGGCACAGGGACAGGGTGGGACAGACACGTGGGCACAGGGGGACAAGAACAGGGGGCCAGGGACACACACGGCGTCCCCTTCGATGTCCCCCCGTGTCCCCACTCACACGCCGGCGCCTGCAGGTGGGTGCAGCCGATGAACCCCACGAGGCGCCGCCCCCGCGCCGACCCCAGCAGCACCTGGGGGGGACAGGGCGAGAGCGTCACCTCGGAGCTCCCCGGGCCCCCTCCGCCCCCTGTGACCGCCTCCCCCAGATCCCCCTCCGCCCCCGGGCCCCCTCACCTGTGCGAGCAGCAGCCCCTTGTTGGCCAGCGCGTCCTCGCGGGCGCCGTTGGGGAAGGGCTGGAAGCGGGCGGCCAGCAGCGGGAAGCGGCTGCCCAGGACGAGCCCGCTGCCCAGCACCCGCAGCCGTCGCTGCCGCAGCCCCCCCGGGCCCACCCCCCACAGCACGAACGGGAACCTGCGGCCCAGCTGCCGGCGCAGGACGGCGGCCGCGGCGCCGTCGAACACCTCCTGCAGACACACGAAGTCCGTGTCCGGCGGGATGTGCTCCGAGAGCACCGACGGCACCGCGGGGGACTCCGGGGGTGGGACGGGTCCCGGCGTTGGGCTGGACATCGGCATCGCCAGCGTTGGCACCGAGCTGTCTGCTGGTGACGGGCTGGCCGTCGCTGCTGGGTCGGTCACCGCCATCTCCAGCCAAGGCGTCGCGTTCGCCGTCAGCGAGGGGCTGGCCACGGGGGAAGGATTGGCCGCCGGCACCTCCAGCCCCGGTGCTGGGTACGCCACCATCACCGGATCCTCCGCCAGCACCTCCCACGCCATCTCCACCCCGGGGTCCCCCCGAGCGCCGGGGCCGCGCCACGACCGCGCAGTGCCGAGTGTGCCCCCGTAGCCCTTGGGCTCCCCTTGCCGCGGCTCCAGCAGCCCGGCGCGGTCTCCGGGAGTTTCCTCGGGGGTGCCGGGCGCCAGGAGCCGGGCGATGCGCCGGGCGCGGCTCCGCGTGCGGCCCAGGTTGCTGAACCTGGCCAGGCCGCCGGGCAGCAGGCACAGGTTGGCGCTGAGGAAGGTGAAGCAGCGGCGGTGCCGGGGGTCCCAGGGCGGCGCGGGCGCGGTGCCCGCCGAGTGCTGGTACACGAAGGGGCGGCGAGCGGCCTGCACCGGCAGCCACAGCAGCAGCCCCAGCGCGCCCAGGGGCAGCGACAGCAGCAGCGCCGGCACCAGCGCCAGCCCCGCCAGAACCCGCACGCCCACCCCGCAACACCGCCCGCCCCGGCCGCGCCACTGCGCCCGCTGCGCCGTGGTGGGACGCAGGGCCAGCAGCCGGTCCAGCGCCCACCAGCTGGGGGCCAGCAGCCCCCCGGCCACCGCGTCCAGCACCGCCAGCGCCGGCGTGGGGAAGGGGGACTCCGGCAGCCTCGTGGGGGGCGGCCACGGCATCGGGGCGTCGGCGGGGGGGTCGCAGGCCGAGTCAGGGGCTCCGGAGCAGTTGGGGCAACCTGTGGGAGAGAGACCCCGGTGAGGGGTGGGGATGGGCGGGAGTGGGACCTCTCTGCCACATCCCATCGCTGTAGGAACGTCCCAGCACATCTCGGCCACCGCGGGAACTTCCCGTGGCCAGGAGTGGGATTTCTCCCCAGCATCCCGGCCGCCACCGTGGGAACATCCTGTGGCCGGAGCGGGACCCCCGCCTCGTCTCAATCCCTGCGGGAAACTCACGTGGCCGGAGTGGGACCCCCCTGCCCCATCCTGGCCACCGTGGGAAATTCCTGTGGCCGGGAGCTGCCCCTCCCCCACGTCCCAGAGGCCACTGTGGGAAGTTCCCTTGGCCGGGACCGTCCCCCGCGTCCCCGGGACCTTCCCCTGTCCCCGGGCGGAGCCGCCGGGAAGCAGCGCCGGGAGCGGGGGGAGGTGACTGGGCTGGCATGGGAGTCCCCCCACCCTGTCCCTGCAGGGTCCCCCCTGGGGTCCCTGGGACCCTCAAGGCCACCTCTGGTGGGTACCGAGTTGGGACCCCGATGGCATCTGCTGGTCCCTTCCGTCCTGCCCGGTGGCCCCGACACGAGCCACCCTCATCCTGAGACCCCCCCACAGCCTCCCACTCACCTCTCCCCGAGCTCGAGGGGGGATCGGGAGACCACTGTTCCCAGGACTCCCCACACAGCTGAGCCCTGAGCCCGGCCAGGAGAACCCTGGTGGGTGAGTCCAACCAGGGGAGGCCCGGCCCCTGACCTTGTCCAAGTAAATCCCATCCCCAATCCTGCCCAGGTGAGTCCCGGCCCCTGACCCTGTCCAGGTGAATCCCATCCCCAATCCTGTCCAGGTGAATCCCAGCTCCTTAACCTGTCCAGGTGAATCCCATTCCCAATCCTGTCCAGGTGAATCCCAGCTCCTTACCCTGCCTGGGTGAGTCCTGGCCCCAATCCCGTCCAGGTGAATCCCATCCCCAATCCTATCCAGATGAATTTCAGCTCCTGACCCTGCCTGGGTGAGTCCTGGCCCTGATCCTGTCCAGGTGAATCCCATCCCCAATCCTATCCAGATGAATCTCAGCTCCTTACCCTGCCCAGGTGAATCGGTGCCCTACCCTGCTCCTTACCCTGTCCAGGTGAATCCTGGCCCGATCCTGTCCAGGTGAATCCCGGCTCCTTACCCTGCCCGGGTAAGTCCCAGTCCCGATCCTGTCCAGGTGAGTCCTGTAGGAGGCCGTGACCGGCTGACCTGGCCCGACAGGTTCCTGACACCTCCAGGCCCCGCAGCCACGCCAGGGTTGGACACTGCACGTGGTCAGTGACACCTCACCTGGGCAGGTGACTCCTGCCTGACTCCTGCCTGGATCCTTCCTGGATCCTGCCTGACTCCTGCCTGGATCCTTCCTGGTTCCTTCCCGGATCCTGCCTGACTCCTGCCTGACTCTGCAGCTGCCCACTCCCAGCATGAGACAGTACCAGACACTGGGAGCACTGGGGTCACTAAGGTCACTGGGGGTTCTGAGAGCTCTGGGGTTATTGGGACCAGTGGGACATGGGAATTCTGAGGGCAGTGGGGACAATGGGACATGGGGGTCTCTGGGGACATTGTGGGTATTGGAGGTTCTGGGGTCACTGGGAATGCTGGGGGCACTGGTAACACTGGGGGGGGCACTGGGAAAACTGAGCCACCCCTGGAGTGGCTCCCAGCTGTGAGCCCCTTCCACCCTGGGGGTCCCAGGCCAGACCCCGGGGGTCCCCCTGCTCCCGGCTCATCCCCTGTTCCCGTGGTGCCGTGGGGGCGGGGCTGGCACGTGCCACAGGTGACTCAGCCCAGGTGTGGCACCTCCTGCCACCACCTCTGGCCACGGGGCAGCTCCGACGCCCACGGGGAGGGAATTTGTGTCACGGGAGTGGGAGTGCAGGGGGACCGTCCCTGCGGCCGGGCGGGGTCCCCCTGTGCCCTGGTGCCCACCCGGAGGGGTCAGTGCCAGGGTCCCAGATGGCTCTGACACGGTGACATGGGCATTGTCCCCGCGGTGCTGGCAGCGGCCCTGGCAGTGTCCCCGAGGTGCTGGCAGCAGCACTGGCATTGTCCCCACGGTGCCAGCACCCGGAAAGGGCACAGAGCCAGAGCCCGGCACCCGGAACCGGCTCCGCCCCGCGGGGCCCCGGGGGCCGTGTTTGTCCGGGTGGGGCCGCCGAGCCCTCCCTGCCGTGGCCTTTGAGGTGGTTTCGGTGGCCGGGGGGCGAGTGGCACCGTGCCCTGGTGCTCGAGGGCTGGGCAGCGCCAGAGCCACCTGTGCCGGCTCCGAGCCCATCCCAGTTCCCTGCCTGTGCCGGTTTTCTACCTGTACCGGTTCCCTGCCTGTGCCGCCACCACCGCTGCCACTGCCACAGCCTTTGGGGTGGCTTTGGTGGCCGGGGGGCGAGTGGCACCGTGCCCCGGCGCCCTGAGGGCCGGGCAGTGCCAGAGCCACTTGTGCCGGCTCCGAGCCTGTCCCGGTTCTGAGCCCATCCCAGTTCCCCACCAGTGCCACTTCCCCGCCAGTGCCACCTGCCACCGCCGCCACCGCTGCTGCCACGTCCCGGCCACTCCTCCCTCACCTCCGCACCCCCCAGCGCCGGGGGCCATCGCTGGGGCCACCGCCACCTCCACGGCGTCACCGTCCCCTCCGTCCCCTCGTGCCCGGGGGTGGCCGGGGGCCACCGCTGTCCCCGGGCCCGTCATGTCGCTGCCGCCGGCGCCGGGAGCTCCGCAGGTGACAAACATCCGCCGGCCGCGGGGACACTCATTACGGCGGCCGTGCCACGTCCGGCCGCATTCCTGCCACCCTGCGTGGCCGCCGCCACCCCCGCGGGGCGCAGACCCCCGGGCCCACGGGGGTTGGTGGCCGCGGAGCTGCCGGCGCGCCTGGCCCGCAGGTGCCACCTGACCGGTTCTGCCAGGTAACCCCCGGGTAACCAGCCCCAGGTAACCAGCCCCAGGTAACCCCCGGGTAACCAGCCCGGGGGGGGGCCCGAGGCCACGGCGAGGGGCGGCGAGGAGAGCGGGGGTGGCCAGGGTGTCCCGCTTACGGGTGGTCACAGTGACAGTGGCACCTCTGGCACGGCCGTGACACCCGTGGGACTGACCCCACCTCCCCCGCCTCCTTTGCACAGACAAAGAGGGTCCACACCCCCCTCACTGGCCCAGGTGCCCCCACCCGCGGGGTGACACGTGGTGACAAAATGTGACACGGGGGGGACACAACGAGGAGTTTTCCTCCGGGGAGTTGTCCCCAAACTACCTCTTCCTCTTCCCTTTCCTCTGCCATTTCCTGCCGCCGGACAGAGTGACACCACGGCGGGGGGGGTGGTGGCGGGGGTTCCGTGTCCCCGCTCGTACCCCCAAACCCCCCCGCCTCTGTCTCTGTCACCGCCTGTCACCCCTCACAACCCGCTCTGTCCCCCCCGGCACGATGGTCACAGCGGGCGGCGGTGAGAGCCGGGGCAGGGCGTGACACAGGAGGGGACAGAGGGGACACAGAAGGGGACACAGAAGGGGACACAGAAGGGAACAGTGCCCGACTCCCCCCCGGGAGCCCCTTTACCCCCAGATGCCCCCGGTGCTGGGTCCCGACTCCGTTTTGCGCTCCAGAACCGAAAGGAAAAGCGCCCCCGAAAGCGAAAGGAAAACGCGGCGGCCGCGCCGTGACCTTCCCACACCAGCACGGCCAGTGCCCCAACTGGGCAGGCTGGGGACGCCGGGGGAGTCGCACCCCGGGGCTCGGTCCCGGGGGTGTCACTCGGCCCCGCAGACCCTCCAGTCCCCCTCGCCACCCTCGTTGGTGCTGTCCGGACGCGGCTGATTTGGGGGCTTCCAGGGGGGCCTCAGCGGGGTTCGGGGGGGTCCCGGAGGCTCAGGGGGTCTTTCGGGAGTACCAGATCCCCTCCCGGCACGGTGGCCGGGGGTGACGCGGGGGTTGGCGTGGTGGCACCGCGGGGACAGTTGGGCTGGGAAGGGGAAGGGTCCCTGGAGGAGCAGAGAGGAGACGGGGGGGTCGTCCCCGGTGCTGTTCGGGGTCCGTCCGTGCCGGGTGTCCTGCCGGTGCTGTGCCCGGTGCTGTGCCCGGTGCTGTGCCCGGTGCTGTGCCCGGTCTGTGCCCAGGTGCCAAGAACCAAAAGGTAAAACTCGCGGGTCGAGACAAGGCCAGGTTCAATAAACAAATAAAACAGGATAATGACGATAATGACCATCATCATCGTCACCTTCGGGAGTAAAAAAAGGAAGACAAACCGCGAGAGAAACAAGAGGTGCCCATCGAACCCCGAGGTGCCAGCGCCGTGCTCCGCAAGGATCCCTGTCCTCTGTGTCCCACCATCTCAACTCTGTCCCTCCATCTCCCACCTCTTCCCACGTCCCTCCACATTTCCCACATATTTCCACCCCTCCGTCTCCTCCGTGTCCCCCCCGGCCCCTCCTCCATCGACGTTCTCCACATCCCACCATCTTCTCCGTGTCCCTCCACCTCCTCCGTGGCCGGGGGTATCCGGGTGTCCGGGGGGTCACGCAGATGTCCGGGGGACTCTGGGGTGTCCGGGGTGGGGGGAAGGTCCCCCCAGGTGCCCCAGGAGGGTCCCAGGTGCCTGGGGGACACAGAGGTGTCCCGGGGGGGACACGGGTGGTGGGGGTTGACCACAGGAGTCCACGGGTGTCCCAGGTGTCCAGGGGGAAGGGACACGGGCAGCCAGGGAGGACACGGATGTCATGGGGAAAACCAGGTGATGGGGAGGAAGTGTCCAGGGGGTCTCAGGTGTCTGGGGGACTAAGGTGTAGGGGGACACACGAGTGTCTGGGGGACACCCAGGTGTTGGGGACGCCCCAGGTGTCTCAGGGGGACACCCACATGCCCGGGGGACTCGGGAGTCCGGGGGAGGGGAACACACAAGTGTCCAGGGGGGCACGGATGTCCAGGGGGCACTGAGGTTTGGGGGATCCCAGGTGTCCGGGAGGAGGGGGCACAGGCACCCTGAGGGTCCCTGAGGCGCAGGGGCCTCTGTGGGGCCCGAGGAGGGGTGGGGACCCCCGCCCGCAGGAATGTGTCTCCTCTGGGGACACTTTGTCTCCTCCACGATGACAAAGTGGGTGCCGTGTTCGGGGACAGCTGCCAGACTTCCCCCTGCCCCCAGACCCCTGGCCCCACGGCGGCCCCTGCGGCGCCGCGAGCAGGGGCGAGATAACGCTCCCCACCATGTCCCGATATAGCGCTGACAGGGACGGGCTGTCACCACCCCCCGGTGTCGGGACATTGGCCAGGGACCCCCCGGCCCTGCCCCACAGAGCCCCCTGTCCCTGCCCCACAGACCCCCTGCAACGGGGACCCCTGTCCCTGCCTCCACAGGCACCCCCTGATTCCCCCTACCCTGGGGCCCCCAGATCATGTGGGGCAAATTTGGGGCCTGGACCCTGGGTCGCAGGTTGATGCCATGGGGGTGAAAGGGGATAGTCCTCCCCTCCTTATCAGCCCCTCCCCACTCTGGAATGCCCCTCCCCGCCCCATCCTATAAAGCCTGAGGGGCTGCAGGGCCATCAAAGGTGCTGCTGTGGGGCAGAGACAGAGGTGGGGGCTGTGGGGGCACAGGGGGCTGTGAGGGACACAGGGGGATATGGGTGCACAGGTGGGGGCACAGGGTGGGCTGTGGGTACAGGGGATGTGGGGTGCACAGGGGGCTATAGGACACATAGGGGATCTATGGGCTGCATAGGGGGCTATAGGGGGAACGGGGGCTATGGGAGTGCAGGAGGCTATAGAGGGCACAGGCTATGGGGCACAGGGGGCTATGGGGCACAGGGGGCTATAGGGTGCACAGGGGGGCTATGGGGGGCACAGGGGATCTATGGGACACCCAGGGTGTCTGTGGGCCACTCAGCGTTTCTATGGGCACAAGGGAAAGCTGTGGGGCACAAGGGAAGGCTTTGGGGTCTATGGGGCACCCCGGGGGTCTCTGGAGTCCGTGGGAAGGTCATGGGGGTCTGTGGGGACTCAGGGATCTATGTGGCACTGGAGCCTGGGGGGTACAAACCCTCACCCCCCCTGTGCCCTCCCCCAGATCCCTCCATCCAACCTCCCGGACCTACCGACTGCAGGTGAGGGCAGTGCCGGGGGGGGCTGGGCGTGGCCGTGGGGGACACTGAGAGGCTGCAGGGGGTCCTTGGGGCCGCGGTTGGGAGTCTGGATCCCTCCCCAGGCCCCTGAGTGACACCCCCTCCCCCGAGATGGCAGACGTGGTGCTGGGGGGTCCATTGAGCGGGTCCCTGGGGGGGTTGTGGGCAGGGGTCCATGGGGGGGGCTGTGCGCGGGGGTCCATGCCCTGCCTGTCCCCCCCGTGACTGTGCCCCCCCCGCAGATGGCGGACGCGGTGCTGGCAGCTCTGGGGGTCCATCCATGACCTGGGGGTCCATGGGTGGGCTTTGGGAGGGGGTTCATGCCCTGCCCGTCCCCCCCGTGACTGTCCCCCCTCTCCCGCAGATGGCGGACGCGGTGCTGGCGGCTCTGGGGGCGGCGGCCCCGTTCCTGCGGCCGGGCGAGCGCGAGCGCCTGGCGGCGACCACCCGGCCCTTCGACCCCCGCGCCGAGTGCTTCGTCCCGCACCCCGCGCAGGAGTTCGTGAAGGGCCGCGTGGTGGAGAGACAGGGGGGCAGCGTCAGCGTGGAGACCGAGCTGGGAGAGGTGGCCCGGGGGGGGTCTCTGGTCGGGGTCACAGAGGAGGGGGGCCCTGGGGTGTCACGGGGGAGAGGGGGATCACCATCCCCACTGAGCTGGGAGAGGTGACACATGGGGTCAGCAGGGAGGCTCGGGGTCGCAGGGGGCTCACGATGGGGCAGTGGGAGGGGGAATGTCACTGCAGTGACCGAGCTGGGACAGGGGACATGGGGGCTGGGGGGTGTCACAGGAGCCTCAGGGGTCTTGGAGGGTTCAGAGTCACAGGGGCTCGGGATGGGGGTCCCAGGGGCTCAGGATGGGAGTCCCAGGGGCCTGGGATGGGGGTCCCAGGGCCTGGGATGGGGTCCCAGGGGCTCAGGATGGGGTCACAGGCCTGGATGGGGGTCACGGGGGTATGAGGGGGAGTGGGGAGGGGACACATCACCATGGAGACCGAGCTCAGACAGGTGACACAGGGTAAACTCAGGGGCTCAGGGGCATCCCGGTGGGCTTGGGGTCCCCTCCCCAGCGGGACTCCCCCCCATGACGTGCCCTGTGCCCCCCCAGACGGTGACAGTGAAAGAGGCCGACGTGCACCAGCAGAACCCGCCCAAGTTCGACAAGATCGAGGACATGGCCATGCTGACCTTCCTGCACGAGCCCGCCGTGCTCTTCAACCTCAAGGAGCGCTACGCGGCCTGGATGATCTACGTGAGACCCCCGGGCACGGCCGGGACCCCCGGGAAGGGGGGCGTGAGGGGGACCCTACCCCAAGGGGCTGGGGGGGCTGGGTCCTTGGGGCAGCTGGACCTGGCTGTGGCCGCCTGGAGCCTGGGGGGCTTCTGAGGGGTCTGTGGGGCACCCGGAACCTGAAGGGCTTCTCAAGACCCCTTTGGGCCGCACAGACCATGGGATGTCCTATTCCTGGACCCCCCAGACCCCAAAATGTGCCATCCCTGATCCCCTCGGACCCCCCATCTCCAGCCCTCCCTATACCTTGGGTGTCCCCTCCTGGGGGTGTGTCCCTCCTGTGGGGGTGTCCCCC